TGGAAGTCCATTTCCATTTACTTTGAGAGACACATTTCAGATACGATTTTTTTGGTATAAATTCTGGTGTGTTAGTCAGGCCATTTTAGTTTTATAGTTTTGAAAAAAAATCTTTCAGACTTTGTGCAGACTAAGTTCCGTTGAGAATACTCTTTGACTCCCAAGGTTCCAGTGTTTTCACAAGTACTACTAAATACAGTAACTTACCACAAAATGTTTAGTCAATTCACTTTACAGTATATTCTGTGAAGCACTTTGAGACGTCTCAAAGACGTGATAAGGGGCTATATCAAATGCAAGGATTATTAGTACTTTGTATTATCTGAGGGGAGTCAGAATGTTTTGTAGGGCTGTATAGGTTTAAAACTGTTTTAACCGGTCAAAGAGGTAGGTCTTAAAGTGGAATTTAAAAATAGATAAAGAGAGGTGAGGCGAAGGCATTGATGCAGAGAGTTCAATACGGAGGTATCCTTTTTTAAAAAAAAGTCCAGTGACCTGTGAAGTCACACAATGTTTTTTTCCTCCCAACTGCACTGCTCCGCTCCACATTCCAACCTCTCACTGTGTAACACCTCAAAGAGCTTCACATATTTTCTGTAAACTGTAGTGACTGTGTATTTTTAGATGAACACAGGAGCCATTCGCACACAACAATGTCCCACATTCACAGCCAAGAAATGAGTGACCAATTTTATCTGGAGGATTGTTGGCCAGGACAACAGGAGAAACTCCCTTCTCTTTTTTTGACTGAAGCATGGCATCTCCAACAATGCATAAATATAAAGGCTTAATATAAGATTGCCAGGAGCAGATCTAAAACAAAGTTTAGGAGGATCTTCTTAAAATATCACCTGAAAGATATTGCCTTCACAGCTTATCAGATCTGGTATATTTCTTTACAGAATGCCTATGTTCTGTATTCCCAACAGCAAGTATGCAGAATTTCATGTTCAATTATGCCATAAATCTCTCAATTTTAAACTTATACTCAGTGTCAGGCTGCTAATAGGTCAGGGCGACCAGTTGAGTGTTTCTTGTATCTCAAGTATAATCTAAAAGCTCCTGTTGTTAGCGGCACCTATTTAACACCTATTTAGCTTTTGAAGGGAACAGGGGAATAGTGCAACGAAACCTGATTGTTCCGTGCTGCAACACACAGTATTTGTTGCAGATTCCCAAAGTAGAAATCATTTCCTGTTGCAGTACTTTGTGTGTAATTAAACCTGTTCGATGTCGTGGAATCCATTCACCAAAACTTAAAAACATCTGAGACGGCCAGTGGTGGCCTGAATTTAACATGCAATTCCATCTATGTGTTTTCACACTCTGTCAAAGTGTGAGAGATCCTGTAATTAATTTATGAATACCCTGAGGTAAGATATGACCACAGCCTGAATAGTTCAGGTAGCTTCCCACCTGCTCATTGAGATTTTCACAACCCCTGCTTGTTCTCCCTTCCTTTCTGTGCCAATAACTTGCTATTTGCTTGCTTTCAGCAAAGATTATTTTCAGTTTTGTTCTCTTTTTCCCTATCAAATCCCACGTAATATTGTAATGTGAGTAGCCCCAGCTCCACTGACTCGGTGACACTTTAGTTAAGTAGATACATGAAGTATGGGATTTGAATAGCATCCTAAATTATATCCTAAAAGTGTTACAAAAAATGTTAAAGCCGAGATGTTAACTTTGGGCAAAAGTGATCTCTGATCATTATGCTAACTTTTAAATCCAGTCTGGAGTTTTTAAATACACAGTCACTGCACTTTACATTAGATATAGCGTCTTTCAACAACAACAACAACTTGGATTTATATAGCACCCTCCACGCCGGATGGCGTCTCGTGTCAGGAGGATTAGCAACTGGGAGAAACTCCCTTCTCTTTTCGACTATTGTCATAGGATCTTTAATGTCCACCTGAACAGGTACACGGGAGCTTGGTTAATGTCTCAAACCAATGTTAGAATGAAGAACCTGTAGATTAGGGTTCTCACAGGTAGGTGCAGAGTCAAACTCCATTTGCATTCCCATAGCAATGGGCTTGAACTCCATCCCTAGGACACAACCCCCTGCTCCATCTGTGTGTATGTTGGAGTGAATTGGTACTGAAATGTGACTTAAGGAATTAGGGACAGAGGGCATATTCATTCTATGTAAAGCCTGGCAGCCAACAGAAGGAAGGGACTTTTAAATCATCAATTTGGTGACAACAACTGTACCATCCATTTCCTATTTTTTTCAAGCAGGTTTCATTTTGATAGCTATTAAAATCCTTAGGGAATCTTGCGAATCCTCCTGGTAATAATAGAATTTGCAGGGAGTCCAAAAGGCATTGTCACAAAGTGGATTTGTAAGTGTTAATTGCGACTTACAGTTTTGAGAATATTTATCTGTGGAAACAGTGATTTGCAAATCCAAAGTGAACAACGTCCTTAAAAAAAGACCAACAAACAAAACTAAACCGACCTAACTTACCACATATCTAAATCCCTCTGCCTTGGCTCTCCCTCTGTACTTTCAAAATCTACCAGGGATTTTCTTTTTGACTGTGCTTCCAAGTTACCCCCCCCATCCTGCACGGGCTCTCACTCCATCTCCGTTTCATAAATGCAAGTTGTTATTGCACACAAATGTTGAAGACACAGTACAGGTAGGACAAAAAGAAAACCACATATAAAAGCTAATAGACCATTGTTTTTTTGTATCAATATTCCTCCTTAGAAATCAGATGGTATTCACAATTCCAGACTGGAATGTAAGTATTAATGGTTTTGCGGTTGGTTTCTTGGCTGCAGCCAACGCTAGTACAATAGGATTATACTCTTGCCTTTTATCTCTTTACGAATCAATGTCAAGGAAAGTAGTTTGTTTCTGTGATACTTTAGACATCTCTTCTCTTAAACCAACAAGACAAATCCCGAGGGATTCATCTATAATATTGTAAGGCTACAGAACAAATTACAAACCTTGATGTTGCCATGGATTTAATACCTTATTATATTGCAGGATTCCAATGCCATGTGGGTTATTGTTGCACCTCATACTGTTCTCTAGGACTGTGTATTTAACAGCCATAGCAACTGTGTTTCTTAAAAAGAAAAGTGAGTATCCTGGGACTGAGTGGCACAGTGGTTCAGAGCTGTTTCTTTTAATCTCTGGGCTCTGTTGGAAGTCCAGCCTAAATTGATAGGATGAACCCATATTGTACATATATTGGCTGATGTGTTATCCTACAAAAGTAGCATGGTGTCTTCTTCCAACCTCTCCGACCTGCTTACCCACTCCTCCACCTGCCCCCTTCACTCAGCAGGCTCTGGCCTTCTGCACATCCCTCCACTCCACACTATCGTCTCCACTCCACAATAGTTGCCTGTACTTTCAGCCACTATGGCCTGAAACTCCCTACCTCAATCCCTTCGCCTTGTTCCCTTTCTTGCCTGTTTTCAGATTGCACCTGAAGATTTTCCCCTTAGACTGTACTTATGGTCATCTTCCCTCTCTCCCTGGCTCGGGGTAATGCCACAAGAGCGGGGTACAATATAAATGCAAGTTGTTGTTTTCTCACTGAAAAGAAATTCTGCAATACTCGTGTGTACGTGGTTGCTAAAGACACAATCTAGTTACTGAGAGCAGTGTGCTTAGCTACCGTAGGCATGCACACAACATTGCACATGGGATTAGCAGCATTTTCTCCTATAAGTATGACTGTTAGTGCTGAAAAAGTAAGTTTTACACTATACTTTTATAGGATTACAGTCAGAAGAGCTAGGAAAAGAAAGAGGCTCAGAGACAGAAGTTTAGTAAATGAACAGCTGGCAATGTGCTACTATACTGTCAAGATATAATTCCTGCTATAACAATTTTTTAGATAGTACTGAAGCCATTTTGTATGTTGCGTGATGTCCATTTATGTGTCCTGTTTGTTGCTTATCCTCAAAGGGATCAATATCTGAATTAGCATGGATAATTAGCTCTCTATTGTAATTTACCTTTGAAGAGAATTTCACTTTGGTGATTTGAAGTTCTGGTAAATAAATATCCGTGTGATTCAAGATGCAGCTTTACCTTTCCAGTGGTGCTGTCACAAAAGAGAAATTAACTGTTGTCAGATATTGGGAGGAGTCAATTCATGCAGTTTTATTCACTATGCTTCTCATTGTTCCAGGTAGGCAAACGTATTACAGCCAGTAGAATAACCCAGTAAATAAATGTAAAACACAGTTCTGAAATGCATGTCTGGTGAAATTTGATTTCCTTTAAGATATCTATCCCCACGAAGTGCAAATTATCAATGTTTGACAATGCTATATCGTGTTTCTCGACAGATAGTTAGTTTTATCCCTTTTATCAAATTTACTTCAAAGATAAGATAAATGTGAAGAATGGGGAGCAAAGAGAATGAGAGAAATTTGGCAGAAAACATGTGAAAGTTTGAAGATGTTGATGTGTTTGTGATTGGGGATGCCACGAGAGCTGAGTGAAACCAGATCACAGTCAAACCCATTCACACGGTACATCCAGAGTCAAACCTCTTCACACAGAACATCCAGGATCAAACCACTTCATACAGAACATCCAGAGTCAAATCTCTTCATACAGAACATCCAGAGTAGTTGTCCAATACAATAGTCTGACGACGCTGTCTATTATTCATTTTCTATTTACCAATCAAAAATGCAATTTAGCCACAGCTGGATTGCCAATTCGCCACAAGTTGCTAGTGGCTATTGTTTTGGACAACCCTGCTGTATAGTCTATGTAATTCCACGTAATGTGCAACTGTAAAGCATTGGGCAAACCAAAGAGCGTGAATTAGAATTATTGTTTTCTTAAAAGGGGTCATTATAGTCAGACTCCCGGAGTGAGCACCAGCACTGAAACTTGATTCAGACACTTACAGTAGACATGCTGGTTGGCTAAGACAATTCAACATAAAGACCTTCAACAATGCTTTTTTCCAACATAATACAAGATAAATCTCATCCCAAATGTATACTTACAGGATTTCCTGGAATAATGCCTCAATAGTGTTGAACAAGAATAATGGAGGATTTAAAGAAGAGATTTGAATTCCAGAATTCGGTGATCCAGTCACAGGTAATGAGACTTCACAATTACTGAAAAATACTTTGCACTTCCTGGTTTTTAAAGTTCCTGAGACTAGAATTGTGGCGGATTATTATTAATAAGATCTCCAGGACTCTACTCCGCTTGAAGGGCGCTATATAATTGCAACTTGTTTTTGTTGTAATATCTAATTTTCCTTTTTGCGCAGGCTGTGGGGTATTTGGTCGCTGCTGTAGTTAAAAGAAAAAGAAGCGTCATCGCTGATAAACTATTCATCCACTCAGGTTTGTACTTAATCTGTGAGGTTGAAGTGCTCAAAGAGGTTGCCTTTTAGAGGGTCTGATTCCCACACTGATTAAGATCAGTCAATGCGGATAAGAGCACAGTGTGGTTAACGGGTCTTGAACGCTTCTCGTGCATGCACCCAGCTACAAATACTTTCCCGGCATTGGAGCCTGAGCTTGCCTTCTGGATTGGAGCTCCGTTACTGTGTTTCACTGTGTAGTGTTCTATTCTGTTTAGAAATTGCAATGCCCACTTTTCTCCGCTACCTCCACCCTATCATGAGTGGAAAGGCCTTCGGCATCTATTCCCCAATCTATGGAACTCCCTCTTCTAAACTTTCTGTTTTGCCCACTCTCTATCTGTGGTTGGCATTTGTCAGCCAGGCTCATTGTCAGAAAGTTGTGGGCTCAAGCCCCACATCCGGACTTTCAACTTTGGATTTTACAAGATTTACTGTAAAGGTTAGTTATTCTATTTTGCAGGCAAACATAGCAGTCAGTTTGCACACAGCAACAGTTCCACAAACAGTGGCAGAGGGAGCCTTGATTTAACATCTCATCCAAAGGATGGCACTTCTAACATTAATTGTGCTTGAATTAAAGTATTATTTGAGCAGTATCAAGATCTGTAGCTTAATTACACTATACAACTTGCAATTATATAGTGCTCTTCACGCAGGGTAGCATCCCGGAGCGTTTGACAGTGGCGGAGTCTTGACACCGAGCCGCGGGAGAGGCAGGGGGGAGATGACCGTAAGCATGATCAAAAAGGATGGTCTTCAGGCGGGATTTGAAAGTGGAGTGGGAGGGGACAAGGCAGAGAGAGATTTAGAGAAAGAGTTCCAGAGTTTCAGGGCGTAGTGGCTGAAGGTACAGCCACTGATGGAGAGGATAAGGGAAAAAACAGGAGGATGGAGCCAGCCGAATGAAGGCAGCGGGTGGTGGAATGGGCCGGAAAATTGGATAGGTAGGGAGATGCGAGGACATGAAGGGATTTGAAAACAAGTGAAAGGATCTTGAAATCGATCCTTTCGGTAATTGGGAGCCAGTGGAGCCTGGCAAGGACTGATGTGACTGGGATACAGAGTTTTGTGTGGGTGAGTATCCGGGCAGCGGAGTTTTTAATTAGTTTGATTTGTGTATGGTGGAGCTGGGGATACCAGCGCAGAGGGCATTAGAATAGTCCAGCTGGGAAGTGACGAAGGTGTGGAGGAGGGTTTAGGCTGCTTTGGTTGTGAGGTACGGCAGGAGGCGGGCAATGTGATGGAGGTAGAAAAAAGCAGTCCTGGTCAAGGAACGGATGTGGGGTAGAAAGGAAAGCTGGAGATTGAACCTGATGCGCAAATTGCGCATGGGTTCGGTGAGTCTGAAGGAGAGCCTGGGTAGGTTGAGGAGTTCAGACCCGCACGATAGAAAACGTTGACGGGAGCCAAAGAGAATGGCTTCCGTCTTGCCTACATTTAGCCACAGGAAATTTGCGCTCATCCAGGCCTTGATGTCCATCAAACAAGCTGACAGGACATCAGCGGACTGGGAGTCACAGCAGGAGGAGAAGTAAATTTGGGTGTCATCCGCATACATGTGGAAGTTGACCTCATATCTGCGGAAGACATCACCAAGAAAGAGCACGCAGATAAGGAAAAGAAGGCGTCTACAGATAGAGCCTTGGGCTGCATCGCAAGTGACTGGACAGGGGCGGGAGGAAAAACCATTTGCCGAGATGTATTGTTGGTGGTTTGTTAAGTAGGATGTAACCATTAAGCTTCAATGGATAACAAAAAAATAATCTGAGAGTAATCACTATAGTGAGTAATTATTAGAGTTCCAAGCTTAAACCCCGTCAGATTGATCTCTCTTTCAAAGGAATAAACAGAATGTTTAAAGGTATTTAATTGGAATTTTGAAGAAATAATCTATTTTATTATGCGAATAGATCTCCCCAGGCATCTATAGACAGGCTTCTGATATTAGTCTTTCCCTTCTCTTTAGCACAAGCTATATTCACTTCCAGGTAGGTTGAAATTTGGGTTTAGCATTTGACATGAAATGGAAGAATTGGACATGGGGTCAGTGATTAAGTACTTACACTTATCCCAAGATTTGTCCTTTACCATCTCCTATTTTCAAAGGATCATTTTTCTGTGTTGCTCACTGTGACTTGCTAGTTCTCCGATTGCTTATCAAAGCAATTAACTGGATGTACTCCAGTGCTATCAGCCTGGAGATCCCTTGTTTGAAGAGTATCCGCTTTCGCCTGTCTTTGTTTGCTTTTTGCTCTGGTTGCGAGACGTGTCTTTTTCTTGTCTGCATTCGCTGACTTTTGTACTGTAAAACCTTTGGGGGAGTCAGGGGTGGGTGGGTGGGGTTGAGACAAAGAGACCAATTGAATGATGGCTTGAGGGCTTCTGGTGACATCTTCAACTGCTCCAAATCTGAAGACTGTGCTTCTTTTTAGCTCAGAAAAACTGCCAGCCAACGATTGCATTAGCAAGAATGTCGCATTGTGTAAAAGCTTAGCTTCTGAATCAGAAGGGTTCAAGATCCATGTGTGGAGTTTTAAACTCTCAGTCTGAGCTGACACGCTACTACAGTGCTGGTGGAGCGATGTACAACCTATACCACCGTCGGTGTCTGCATCGCAATTATTGTCCCCTTATCTCTGGATCTCTCCTTTCCCTGCTTGGCGTCTGCCCTGCCATTGCAAACTACTCAAGACATTATTCTACGACGTGAATGATATTATAAACGCAAGTTGTTTGTTGTTACTTTGTAAGAGGTGCCATTCTTCAGATGAGATGTTAAACCAAGGGCCCATCTAGCTGTTTGTGTGGACATTAAAAATCCATGGCACTATTCAAAAAGTGAAGGGAGTTTCTTGCAGTGTCCTGGTCAACAATCTCCCAGCCAAAATTGGTAATTCCCTTCATGACAATTTGTGGGACATTGCTGTGTGCAGATTGGCTGCCACATTCCTCTACAAAATACACAAGCATTCCACTTTACAATATATCCTTTTGAGTGCTTTGCGATGTCCTGCAGATGTGAATTATCAAATGCAAGAATTATTTTATTATATTCAAAAGAATAACAAATGATAATCCTTATATTTTGATATAGCTCTTTCATGACAGAAAGACATCTCAAAATGCTTCACATTGTGCAGTTTGATAATTTTTATTTAGCATGATTAATTAATTAAAAACCTTTATAAACCTTTGTTTGGCTACCTTGTCTGGTGAAGATGTTATAACCAGATTATTGGAATGATGAGCAAAGCATTTGAATTGACCAGGGGGGATAGTTTATTTATCATGGCCTTTGTTTTATTTTCCAGAGTCCTGCACTGAGCTTGTTGTGGGACAAGTGCTGCAGTGATGATGTAGTTGTCCGGACGGGTTGCTGCGAGGCACTGGTCGCTCTCGTTACACAGAACCATGCTGACTTTAATTACGTAATGAATGGGATTTTGAACCTAATTCCTTCTGCCAGGTACAAGGGTTTATTGACTGAGCTTTAGGAAATGTCTCTTGTTTAAAAAGGAGATATTTTTGTTTGTCAGCAGGTGTGCGATCAGCCACTCTCTGGATCTCTCTCGCTAAACTGCTCCACCTCACACCTGCTCCATTTTGAAAGTCCTTCTAAAAAACCTACATTTTTGGTCACCTACCTTCTACATTGTTTGGGCACCCACTCAACCCTCTGTTGATGTTTGACATGTTTTCTTTCATCAAAGTTATCATATTTTATAAGTGAAAGTTGTTGTTTTGAAGTTCATTGGAAGTTACAAAGACACCATGGCCAGGTTTGGCTTTGCATTGGGGGATGATGTTTTTATTCTGTGATATTCACCCAAAGACTGGTTAAGAGTCTCAGACGCTGAAACCACCTTGATTCCAGGATAGTGCAGAGTAGTTTCTACTTGGTTGATCACATTACTGGGAGCTTTGGGTACTTCTACACTTCATGGCAGTGTGTATTGACACTTTCCCCACATCCGTGCCATGACCTGCTCTGCCTTCCCCCACCTCTGTAAAATCGCCCAGTTCCACCACTGTCTCACACCGCAGGCCCCCGAAACCCTCATAAATGCATTCATAACATCCAGTCTTGACTATGTAAACTCCCTGCTTGTCGGCCTCCCCAACTCCTCCCTCCATAGGCTGCAAATCATCCAGAACTCTGCAGCCTGTGTCCTCTCCCGCACCAGGTTCCGCAACCCTGTTATTCCCATCCTCGCCTGACTCCACTGGCTTCCCATCACACAGAGGATACAGTTCAAGATCCTGGTCCTCAACTTCAAAGCCCTCCATGATCTTGCTCCCCCTACCTCTGCGACCTCCTAACCCCTACCAACCTGCCCGCTCCCTCCACTCAGCGGCTCTGGCCTGCTTCACATCCCCAACCTCGTCTGCCCCACCATCGCTGGGCGGGCCTTCAGCCACTCTGCCCCCACCTTCTGGAACTCCATCCTGCAGTCCCTCTGCCTCCTTCACGAACCGTCTCAAGACCCTCCTCTTCGACCGTGCATTCGGTCACCCACCTTTCCCCCTCTACCCTCCATCCTCCCCGATCCCATCCCCCAGCTCGGGTCTGAAACATTGATTGTCCAGCACCTTGGGATGTCCTCCCGACGTGAAAGACGCTATGCAAGTGTGATTTTGTTGTTCTTCTTTATATTTAGGTGTCAGCCTGGCTCAATTGGTTGCATTCTCGCCTCTGAGTCAGACTCTTGTGCGTTCAAGTCGAGACTGAGCTCATAGTCTAAGCTGTCACTCCAATGCAGGGCTGGTGGAGAACTATATTATTAGAGGTGCCATCCTTTGGATGATACACTAAACCGAACTGCCGGTTCAGGTTCATGTCAAAGATCCCTTGGCACCATTCAAAAAGAGTGTTCGCTGCTCCAAGATCTAAGTAGATCTAACTATTCTAAGCCCAACTTTCTGCCCTCCCCTTATACTCTTTTCACAATGTATCTTTTCACATGTTATAGTATAATTGGTTAGATCCAATATCTCAGCAGCTGTGAAGTGCAAAAAAGGCTAATGTCATGGTTATTGGGTCACCTCTGACATCACTTCCTGCATGTTGCACACGCATATTATATGCGAGAAGTGCTGCTGACATCACCTCAGAGCAGGAAGTGACATCGGCAATGTTTCCAGCACGTAGTTTGCATGCAGGAAAAAGTAAAAGAACTGTCTCCGGTGACCTGACGATCCAGAAGTCCACCACTTGATAGTGCAGGAAGCCAGCTGGAATAGGGTTGGTATCTCAGACACAATAAACCTGACCATTGCCGCAAAAGAATGGCCGAGATGCAACAAAAATGGCCACTGATTTGAAAAGCACCTCCTTGCTGAGCCCATCATTGCTATTTGGGCACAATTCACTGGGCATTACCGCCACATAACACTCCTCTCAGATGGTGTACACATGTGAGACTCTGTTTGGATTAGGTGGTGATAGGTTTCCGTAGTGTATTCGAATTCAAGATCCTCATCCTCACCTACAAGGCCATTCACGGCCTCGCTCCCTCCTACCTCTCTGACCTACTATCCCCCTACCTACCCGCTCGTACCCTCCGTTCCTCTGGCTCTGGTCTGCTCCACATCCCCCGCCCCAACCACCCTACCATCGGTGGCCGGGCCTTCAGCCTCTCAGCCCCGAGGCTCTGGAACTCCATCCCCCAGTGCCTTCGCCACCTCCTCCCTTTCCTCCTTCAAGGCCGGTCTCAAGACCTTTCTCTTTGACCGAGCCTTCAGCTCCCCTCTCGACTCTCTACCCCCTCCTCGCTCCCTCCCTTCCCTCCCCTCACCCTGACCATTTCCCCCCTCCTCGGGTCCTGACCCAACTGTACAGCACCTTGGGACGTCCTCCCGACGTGAAAGGCGCTCTATAAATGGAATCTTGTTGTTGTTGTTGTAGTGTCAGACACCCGACTGACAAAGAAAACCGGAAAGCAGATGATGTTGAGGAGTAAATGATACCTTCTGAAACACATTTTGAGATGAGCAAGGGTCAAAGTTCACAGCAAAAAAAATAGCTAATTTGGGTTTTATTGGCTTTGATTCCATTTGTGTGGTGGGAAATAATTTTGAGTTTGACGATCGGGGTAAAGTAATTGAGATTAAATCCACCTGTCTATGCTCCCAACAGGCCAGATATCATGTTTAACCTCACCCAGTGAAAGAAATGCTGTACAACAACATCAAGAAACTCAATTCAGTTTTAAACTGGACTGTTCAATGTCTTGCTATTCAATACATTTGTTTAATATAATTGGTTTAAATTAGTTTCCAATCTGTTTTACGCCATGCAGTGATTCCAAATGTCCTGAGGTAATGAATTGTCTGATTAGAAATACTATTGATGGCAGGCTGACTGAGAGTTCAGGAGTCATTGATAGGACAAAGAATATTGTTTAGTTCAAACTATTGAGATGTTTCCTTAAAACTGCGTTTTAAAATGACCAGTGCAGCTCTGTGACAACGGAGTCCTGTAGGGTATTGGTTAGCGTGCTCGCCTCGCAAGCGAGAGGACCCAGGTTCAATTCCCGGGCAGGAAGAAATCTTAGGCAAGTTTCCTGACTCCACATGGCTCTGTTTATCTAGGAGTAAGTAGGAATCCGGCTGTTAGTCGATTGTTGGATCGCTTTCCAAAGGGTAATAATCCCTCACAAAAAATGTGGTCACTCAATCCATGATTGTTTATGGGTCACTGATGTGAGCAATTGACTGCCACGTTTTGCCCAACAAAATACACAGTAAATCCACTTTACAATATATTCTTTGAGGCATCTCAATGATGTGATAAGGTGATATACCAAATGCGACTATTATTATAACCTCACAGCTGGACCATATCAGAGATCTCTTTAAATTGAGTGACCTAACAGGGTGGGTCAGTAATAACTTCATGGCTCCTTTGTATTAGAGATATAATAATATAATAATCCTTGCAATTGATATAGGACCTTTGACATCGGGAGGCCATCTCACAGGTATATTCTAAAGTGTAGTGACTGTGGTGTTTGTAGGCGAATGTAGAAAGAATGTATTCAAGTTAAAAATCTTTTACCCTATGTCATATTGTGCTGCTTTTATATCCCTTTTCGTTTCGTTTTTCCAATTAACTGTGTTGTGACATGACAGAATAGCCTGTCTAATGGTGGATGTTTAATGAACGATTGTGTGATGCATAACTAGCCAGGGCAAAGCTGTTAAAGTTTGCAGATGTACTTAAATCCAGAGAACATGGGAATTCAACTGATCATTGGCTCCGTTAATGCTTCGAATTTGAATTAAGGCTGACTATTTCACGTTAATTCTAGGACCCTCATTCACTCGTGCATTTTTTTGTTCATTTCCCTCTTTAGCCTCTCCTTCCATCCCCACAAATCTGTGGCCAAGACTGTTAACCGGCTCCAAAACCTGTAGCACTGACTCAATGGCGAGTCGGGATGAGCTATCCAGTCACCTTGGCCATAACATGCGTCAGTTAGATCCTGTGGCCACTGGTTAGGTTACCTGGCTGTTCGCTGTTGCCTTCAGAACCTGTTATCTCCCAGCTATGGCTCTGAGTGCAGGACTGGCAGTGAGCTTAGCACTTGAAGGGAAATGGGATGTGTTTCACATCAGGCAGGGCTTTTAGAAATCATCAGGGGAGCTGGAGAGTGTATTTAAAAGGGAAACTCAATTTGTCCAAGAGCCTTAAGGTCAGTTGCCACTGCGTTCCATGCTTGCTTACATCTGGCGGCATTATTAGAGGTGCTGAAAACTGTGTGAAGATCCCTGGAGTGCGTTTTGTTTAAAAACCCTCCCTTAACAGTTTTAATGGATAATCCTCACTGCAGAAGGTTCTTACATCTCTTTACAATTTCCGTCCAAATTATACCAGCACAGCTGGGGAAGGTAGTGACAGCTACCTGGCCTTTCTTCTGGTTGGTAGGAGAAGTTTTAAAGAAAGGCCCACATTCCAAGGCTGCTTGCTGGGAGAGAAGGTTGTAATGAGTTGACTTCTGTCACACAGGTTGAGCTTTCCTGTAAGCAAACGTGTAGGCAATACAACCTTGCCCAAAGGTGCAATGTTATATGTGTAATACCTCATTCATTCGGCTTCAGCCATTCAATGTAATTTGCACCACGGGAAGGATTAGCTTTGGGAAAGAAGATTTGTATTTCACACTTTAAAGTTGCTCTCACTGGGGACTAACTGCATAAAACTTAGCTGTACATGTTCAAAGTTATGCCAACTGAGTGCAAACACTGGTTAGCATTTGACATTGCAAAACAGAATTTATTAATATGAAACCAATCCCAAGAACAGATCATTGCATCATCACCCATTGTAGACTTCATTTTTAAATTTAAAGTACTTCTAAAATCAGCTGCAGCACAAATTCAAAGATTTGGGGTTGCAAATCACAGGATCCCAAATCTTATCTCGTCCATGACGCTTTTGGTCATTTGTGTAGAGTCCTGTAGCTCAGTGGTTAGAGCACTCGCTTTGCAAGCGAGAGACCTGAGTTCAATTCCAGGCAGGGCGAAACCTTGGGCAAGTTTCCTTACTCCACACAGAGCCTAATAATAATCCCTCCAAAACCAAAAACAATAATAAATTGGTCATTTTCAATTTACGACTGTTTGTGGGACATTGCTGTGCGCAATTGGCTGCCGAGTTCACCCACAAATATACAGTCCATTCACTTTACAGTGTGTTCTGTGAAGCGCTTTGGGACGTCCTCCCGACGTGAAAAGCGCTATATCAAATGCAAGGATTATTATTATTATTCTCCGCAGAGTTCAGAGATGAGCAGTGTTACAGGGATGAGCCATGATTCAGGAATCAATAAACCAGGGCTCTGCAGCATTGAAATTGATGCTTAGAGGGGATCTTACAATTGTATGCAATGCTTCATACCATAGGGAAGGTGAACCTGGATCAATATATTACAAATATATAATAACACAAATAATCTTTGCGTTTGATACAGCACCTTATCATGTTGTTGAGACATCTCAAAGTGCTTCACAGGATTTTACTGTGAAGTGTAGTGACTGTGTATTTGTAGTGAACTCCCTTCTCTTTTCGAATAGTGTCATTTAACATCCACCTGAACAGGCAGACGTTTTATCTGAAGGATGACACCTCCGTTAATCAGGTTCTGCTAATTGGCTCCCGTCAGTGCCTCCTCACCTCAGGCGCTGGTAATATCAACATCCATGGTTGCACACTCTACCTCACGGAGCCAGTCCAGAACCTAAGGGTCCTGTTTGTCCCTCAACTATCCTTTCTACCCCACATCTGCGCCCTGACCCTCTCTGCCTTCCCCCACTTCCGCAATGTCGCCCGGCTCCGACACTCTCACACCACAGGCCGCCGAAACCTTCATACACGCCTTCATTACATCGAGGCTCGACTATACAAACCACTGCTTGTGGGCCTCCCCAACTCCTCCCTCCACAGACTGCAGATCATCCAGAACTCTGCAGCCCGTGTCCTCTCCCGCACCAGGCTCCGAGACCCTATCACCCCCATCCTCGCCCGACTCCACTGGCTTCCCATCACACAGAGGATACAGTTCAAGATCCTGGTCCTCGCCTTCAAAGCCCTCCACGGTCCCCCCTACCTCTGCGACCTCCTAAGCCTTTACCACCCTGTTCGCTCCCTCCGCTGAGCAGGCTCCAGCCTGCTTCACGGCCCCCACCTTGCTCGCCACACATCAGCAGGCGGGCCTTCCTCCACTCTGCACCCACCCTCTGGAACTCCATCCCGCTGTCCCTCAGTCTCGCCCCCTCCCTCGCCACATTCAAGACCCATCTCAAGATCCTCCTTTTCAACTGTGCTTTCGCTCCCTGCGTCCCCCTCCCCCACCCCAACCTTAAGCTCGGGTCCGTAACTCTGTCTGTCCAGCGCCTTGGGACGTCCTCCCAACATGAAAGGCGCTTTATAAATATAATTTTGTTGTTGTTGTTAATGCAACGCTCACCCAGCACTGCATTGGAGTGTTAGCCTAGACTGTGAGTTCCATATCCAGAGGCAGCAAGGCAAAGGGGCACGTGCGGGTTCAAAGGTGTGAAAGACAAAACCAAGAAATCGTTACACAGAAGTTATCCAAGAACTTGTTGAATGCTGTAATGGAAAGACTGCAGAGTTGGTAGTCTGGAAAGAGGAGTTGAAATGAGATAAAGATTTTTTCCCCCCCTCTGAACCTCTTTTTTACACGAAAACCTGATTTATGTTGCAGCAGATTCACGTTGATTTCATTTGGAAGCAACGTCCTGGAAATAGTTTTGAATCTAATGGATATATTTTAAAGCTAATTGTTCGGCGATTTTAGTGTAATTCGGCAAAAACTGTGTTGAATAGATTCCAACTGTGTAATGTAAATGGGGCATAAAGTAGAAGTCGGAACACCAGCTGGGAGTCGTGTCTGTTATGCCCACTCCTACTCTCCAAATTTGTGTTTTTCTCAGGCATAAAGTTAAGAAATTGGTGAAACTCATTTCCATATAGTGTTGAATACTTTTGCTTTATACTGCATGCCAGAGTAACCTGTTTTCTTCTCTCCCCACCCCACCCCTACACACACACAGAAACATCCAAGGGTTGATAAAGAGTATTAGTAAATTGCTGCAGATGCAGGCACTGGGATCTGAACAAATGGAAGAAGTGCCATATTTGTGTCCCTACACAATCAGGTAAGCGTTTTTTACCTTCCGCTGCTTGGCCACATTCCAAACTTTGCAGCCATCAAGATATACTGAGGATTGTAAAATGAATCTAATTTACACTGATTCAAACAAGACCTTATAACTGAATTGAATATTTGTGCAACCTGGTCCCAAGTTATTTTGAACTGATGTGTCCAAGAGAAACTACACTACTTGTATGTGCAAGGCTAACTGAAGTAGATAGATTGTTTCTTAATTCATGCCTAGTCCTTTGTTACAATAATATTAGGAATGTAATATCAGAGGTGTATAAGAGGCAGCCATGTATTCACACCTGGAGGTCCAAAGGTTTTAGCTCATACCTCCTGATCTTGCTTCAGCTTTTTGAGGTGACTTGAATTTCATGGGTTTGAGTCTGATGTTTTTTTCACATGTAATTTTTCAGTCAATCAAAATGACCCACATCTTGGTTTGGTTGTGGCGAAACATCCAGTTGAATGTCAAAACCACAGATTATCCACCTTCCTGACTAGGTAGGAGAAAAAAGCAGGCAACCTAAACAATACACAGTCACTGCACTTTACACTAATCCTCCTGACCTCAAAAGCACTATATCAAATGCAAGAATTATTAACATTATTATCCCATTGAAGTTTCTGTGTGCCTTGTTTTTATCGAGAGCTAATAAATAATCTGTTTAGTTTTACAACACTATCAACAGTTGTACTGTATCGGGGAAATAAAATCCCAATGCATCTACAGATGTAACCAAAGCTTTGGAAGACCAAGAAATGTGTCCTCCCTTTGTGCTCCAGTAGCTGGCCTATAAATAAAGCTCAAACCCCATTGATGATTATTTATTGTGAGTGTAAATCAAATTGGGAGTCTCTAGAGAAGGTTTGGAGATCCTAAGCAAAGGTTAAGGTGAACCAGAGGTTAAGCACACTCTTCAATTTTCATTTATTACAGTATGATGGTGCTGTTCTGTGTCAGCAGCCTGATGATATTAGACTAAAGGATGTGACTCTGATCGGATTTGAAAATAATATTTTAACTCTGTGCGTGCGTGTGTGTCCCCTCTTATCAAAGTATTTTTCTTTGCTTACCTTCTGTCTCTGGGTGATCTGATTTCAGGTGAATGACTGCCTTTAACTCTTCTTTTCCCTTGCCTCCCTGTGAGTATGCCCCTGAGCTCCGCCATCCTCCTCTCCTCTCATGTCCTCTCGCATGGTGTATTCATATTACATGTTGATATTGGAGGTGCATTCACCACAACACCCAGAGAAGAGTTGCGATTCATATTTGTGCAGCATAAATCCCAGCAGAGCAACATTGCACTGGGTGTATTCATTTAAGTTTGGTTTGGAGATTTTTGTCCTGGTATTCAAGCTTCCCCTGCCCCCTTACACCTTACACTACCAGAGTCATTGTCCTCTACCATCCCAATGTGATCTATCGTTTACTCCCCATTCTTTTCTCTCCACAACATTTGTGGCCAGGCCTTCTATCACTGTGCTCTATCCAATGGAATTTTCTTCCAAAACTATCTTCTCCTTGGCCTTCAAAAACTCCCCAAAACATTTTTTTCAACTATGGTTTTGGTCGAAGCATCTTTAAATCTCTTTAGAGAAGAGAAGTTTTTGAAGAGAATTCCATAGGATAAATAATAATAACAACAGGATTACACGTTACAGTAAATCGCATGAAATGATTTAAGACCTCCTGATGTGAGAAGTCTTATATTGAATGCAAATAATATTATTATTGTTATTTATGTTTAGTAAGTGCCTTGAATTCATGTGAAAGACGCTATAAATCTAAGTTGCTTTTGGTGAAATTTATTGATCCTGCACCACCTCTCCCAGCTTTACACATGCATAGAAGATATTTTTCATTCTTTTAACCTGTGCAAACTGAGTTGTTTGGCATGGCCTGGCTGGGTCAAATGGCCTGTTTCTGTGCCATTATCATTTTATGTTTTGGACAAAGTTTGCAAAAAGTTTGGAAAAATCATCAAGGATCTGCGACAAACTATTCAGCACATCTTATTTAAATTTAAATTGTGTTTAACAGATCAATCTCATTTCTGAGTGACTGGTCCGTCTTTCAAATTTCTGCCAGGACGATATATCTGGGACGAACAAAATTAGAAAAGGGAACATTTATGAATTTTCCTTTAACTTAATGATGCTTAAGACTGTGGCGTCCACAGGTGTGCACCTACCTATTCATCTTGGAATTCTCTACCAAAACTATCTTGCTATGCTACTTCTCCCTGGCCTTCAAAAACTCAAGACATTCGCTGTCCTTAGGAAATGTTTCTTGCAAGCCAGAAAATATTAATACAAGCATATTGTCTTCTTTACATCATTTACCATACAAATTTACATTTAGATAGTGCCTTTCACATCAGGAGGACATATTTAGCACAGAGGTCACATCTGAGTTGATCAGATGTCCTCTCTTGCTCCTACCTTTCTCCCGCCCATTAATTCTACTTGTCTGACCACATCGCTATGAGGTCAGTATTGGTCCATATAATCTAAAATCTACAGTCTACCCTCTCTAATTTTTTATAAAACAACAACAACTTGCATTTAGATAGTACCCTTCATGTAGAATAACATCTCAGAGAGCTTCACAATGGTGGGATGGGTGCTGAAGACATTGTTTTTAAAAAGATCACAAGTATGCCACTATTAGGGTTTGCAAACCCCATGCTCTTTTGAAATCCCAGGATTTCGGGAATTTAATGCCCCAAGTCTTACCTCGTCCAGGATGCCTATGCACCAGTGGGGTAATTCAGAGAGAGCGACCTTCTGAGAGGGAGAGTGCCCTGAAAGTTTAAACACCTGCCAGTCTGCTCCCGCTGGCTCATCCTCACAGCAATGCCCGGTTCCAGAGGAGCGAGAAGGCCTGCCCTCCCCTTCCACCCGGCATCGACCTTTATACAATCCCCAAATCCCAGAATTCTCTTCAATGAATTCTCTTCAATGAATTCTGAGATTTCGGACACATCATTACCATATGGGATCCCAGGATCACAAACCCCTAGCCACTATATTTACATATGATAGTCATTCTTACTTTGGCATAGCATCTTTCACGTTGGGAGGACGTCTCATAGCACTTATTGTAAAGTGGTATGACTGTCTATTTTGTGATGAACTTCATATTTCATAGTTTTGTTATTTAAGCTTGCAACATAGTAGTTTTCTCTGCTGATACTGCCATTGGTTAATGCCCCCAGAGACCTGGGTTTGATTCCCGGCAGGTCGAAATGTTGGACAAGTTTCCTTACTCCACATGTCTTTGTTTACCTAGCAGTAAGTAGGAACCCAGTTGTTAGTCAATTTGCAGATCACTTTTCCGGGGGTAATTGGAATTGAAAGGATTAGTTGAGGTACAGATCAGCTGTGATCTAATTAAATGGTGGAACAGGCTCGAAGGGCTGAATGGCAAACTCCCGTTCCTATGTTCCTATATAATAATTCCTTAAAAAAAAATTGGTCACTTCATTCCACGACTGTTTGTGGGACACTGCTTGCGTAATTGGTTGCCGCGTTTCACCCACAAAATATACAGTCAGTTCACTTTACAGTATATTCTGTGAAGCGCTTTGAGGTGTCTTGAAGACGTGATAAGGCGCTATATCAAATCCAAGGATTATTATTATTGTTGGTTATTTCCTCCATCCTCTCTGGCTCACCAACAAAAATGCCATTGCTACACTTTGTGCTAAAATCCTGTGAAGCGCCTTGAGATCTTTCAACAACATGATTAAAGCTCTATATCAAACACAAGGATTAAATGCCAGGATTACTAAAGTGGAGGGAACCCTTTCAAAATTACTGTGCTTCCTTCCAACCTGATATGACCATCTAATTGAGTCAAACACTGAATTTTACTGAGGTGGGGGGGGAGAAGAGGTTGGGAATCATAAAGGGTTTGCTGCAACTTCTTTTTTGTTTGCTGGATAAGGTTGGAAGGTCAGAAGAAATATGGAGACGACCAGTGTGTTAGAATAGCTATTGATTTTAGCTTGCAGTGTAATCAAGTTCAACATTTGTCTTGTTAGTGTCTCCTCCTTTAATTAAAAACCATACCATTTCTCAGACAATGTTGTTTGAAGCATCATTAAGGCCCTGTCAGACAGAAGCATTCAATCTGAACTATAATGACTTTATCCTGCGGATAAATGAAAGGAAAGCAAATTGCCCCTTTGTGTTAAATAGTCCTGAGAGACATACAGCAAATGGCCTGACTGAGGTTAGACCAACAGCGTCCTACTTATCCCTTTCATCTTTTACTATGTGCTTGGGTTTTAACCCCTTCTTACCTGGCACTTTGCTTTGAATTGGGATTCATTAGGCTTCAAAGCTGACAGGTGTTTACATTCTCTACACTTTTAATGTTTGGTTTACGGCAACATACAGGAGTCCTGTGTAATTGTCACAGAAATACAAAGTATTTCTTGTTGGGTGGGTTGTGTCTACTTCTCGGTATTTTCGCTGGTCTTTTCCCCTCGAAAATTTAAGTTCTGTACGCTTTGCTGTAGAACTGGGTGCAAGTTAGCTTTAGTCATTCTTGTTAGGTCTGTGTAGTGATTGAAGCTTTTCCATTAGAGATCTGTGCCTCATTTCATGCCCCATTTCAATGCAGACCCTTATCTTGTACCTGCCCGGTGAAGGGGGCAAGGTTAACTTATCATGTAGGGGCTGCACACACATAGGTGATATTGTTCCAGCAGTCACCTTAACTGTGCGGCTGATAAATTACGTTCAATGACACTAGATAGGTTTGTGGTGCTTAATGTGACGAGTCTCCATGGGATCCCCTCTGAGGACAGAGATGGTCAAGCAGATTGTAACTCGTCGCTCCGTCATATAAAGTGACAGGTTCTTGGTGAACATGACCTTTTGAACTCTGTGTTGTTGACCTTTAGAAGCCCCAAAGTACCTTTAGGACATTGGGATTTATTGCTTTTTTTTTAGACACCTTTATGCTCTAAGTGATTTTTAAGCCTTAAATCCCCACATAAAATAGATCAAGTAACAGGAATGGTCGTTTCCTAACGCTGTGCAACGCAGTTTACAGAAGAATATAGGTACTGCAGGATGATTCCATTTCAGTGCTCAAGTGAACATTGGCTGAAAGTTGAAGAGTTTGAAGGGGTTCGATTCATGTTTCAGATTTGCCCATGATTTGGAACTTTTGTCTATTTCTCCTTCAGGGAATTTGTTTGACAGTGGGTCTCGTCTGCAAAAGAATCTTTATCGTGTACTTGAATAGGGTGACAAGAGTGTTGGAATTGACACCAGCACCTTTGCAAAGGCTATGAGTGGTTCAGTCCCGATGTGACAAATTGTTTGACTTAAGAGTCTTGGTCAACCTGAATGAATCTCACCAATATTGTTCAGCTCTGGATATGCTGCTTGCCTGTATCTTGTCTGTGGTCCTGATTAGCTACTTAGTTTACCCACATAACAGTCAAAGTAACTAATTGTGTGAAACACTATGAGCTGCATCAACCTGATAAAAGGGATAACAATTTCACTTGGGTCTAGATTTACTCTATTTTGCAATAGCAGTAGCATAGTGAGTCCTGTCTTCCTTTACTGGAGGGAAGTATAAACTTTGGCTACAAAGTACATACAGCCACATTATTCTACAGTATATCCTGTGAGATATCTCAATGACGTGATAAGGCAATGCAAGGATTATCATTTTATAGCCCTCCTTTAAAGTAGATAAAATTCTCCTGATGTCAAGACCAATCTAAATCTATCTTTGCTGTTTTTGGAATGTATTTGGTCCTGATTAGCTACTTATTGTACCCACATAACAGTCAAAGTAACTAATTATGTGAAACACTATGAGCTGCATCAACCTGATAAAAGAGATAAAAATTCCATTTGGGTCTAGCTTTACTCTATTTTCTTAGCATTTCGGTGCATCCAGAAATAGACAAATTTTTAAATATAGTTTTAATTTTGAAGCTGGTTTTCTGTAAATTATTACAAGAATTGCTCCCCTAACATCAAAAGCAATTTTTTTTTGGCATAGTATAATAATCCTTGCATTATTATAAATCTGAAAAATACTATTTCTATGGAACAAAGAGCCAAGTGGAGAAGTGGCCCACTTAATGTCTGCCCTTTGTGTTTCACTTCATTTCCAGGAATCCTCCACACCCTTACATTGTTGTGTTGGAGAACAGGCCTGACAGCTGGCCTCTTTTGCTTCAGCAGATATCTGCTATTTTTCAGCAACCTTCAGAGAGGTAAACATTTTATTTCAATAACAAATCTTTTGCAGTATAGAACTGGCTTGAAGTGGTGGGACATGCTTGATGGGCCGAATGCCTACTCCTGTTCCTCTGTTAATAATTAATAATAATAATGTTCAGGTTGCTATGTTATGTGAGCAGGGGGAGAACGACCACTGCCATGAGGGTGGAGTTGTTAAGTGGGAGAGAAAATCGTTGGAACAAAAAAATGTACAGATGTTCTTAAGTTTGTGACTTATCTGCAACAGGCTCAGGGCATCTGTTGTGCTTGTGGTGGCCCCGTTCCTCAATTATTTGTACTGTGAGCCTTTGTGCCTGCGAGAGAACTCTGAGCTTCGCCTGAGTCTCCTCAAGGTCCTGCTTCAGTTCCGATGTGGAGAAGAGAAGGAAGAGCCCAGTCTGGTGGAGCAGCAGGTACTCCGTCTCCTCTTCAACCTGGTTCCGCACCTGCAGGTAAGGCCTATCAGCAGCCTGGTATGATGGATGCACTTTAATGATCGCACTGGTCACGGAAACACACAAGGCATGACCCCTGAGCTCCCTTATGAGTCCTTGTGGGAGTAATAAACACAACTTAACTTGACAGCTGGGAGCCTCCCTCTTAAATTTGAATACATCATTTAACTTTAGAGATGTGCAATTCTAAACCATCCATTTGGATCACTGGAATTTTTATATGCTGGCTGCAGGGTCTATTGCTGACATAGTACATTGGTCACCACCACTATAAACTTACTTCACTTCACCACTGCTTGTGGATCAATACTGTGCACAAATTGGCTGCCACATTCACGTACAAATATACAGTCACTACATGTTTCAGGAAATCATGTGAGGGTCTTTGAGGTGTCCTCCCGATGTGAAAGCCACTATAGCTAATGTCAGGGCTGTTACAATATGAACAACAACAAATTGCATTTACATAGCGCCTTTTAAGTCGGGAGGATGTCCCAAAGAGCTGTTATTAATATTTGTGTTTGATAAAATAACTTATCACTCCTGGTGGAACATCTCAACACAATTTTTTAGAGACCTTCAGTGCAACTGATAATTTGCTTTACATTCCAGTGCCTTCAGTAACTCTGAACCTGATTTGAGACCTAATGTTTTGAAATGTAATTATGCAGGTACATTGTGGAAGTGTCAGTTTGGTGTCTCTACTCAGTAACAGTAGAGATCCTTGTCATGTGGAGGTGTTTAGGGAGATGAAAGCCAATGCGAACGTCCATCTAAATGTGGGCAGTATATTACCTTCAAAATACACAGTCATTTTACTGTAATTCCTGTTAAGAGCTTTAAGACCTCCTCCTGAAATAAAAGACTATATATCAAATGCAAGAATTATTAGCATTATTATTATAATTATAATTATTATTATTATAATAATATTATAATTATTATAGTTTCAGAGGGTGCCTATAAATCTATAATAATAATGCTGGTTTCAGAGATTTATAAGCACCCTCTGAAACTTGGCTCAGATGCTGATCTCAGTTTCATCTACAGTAAATTTTGTTTCTGAACGGAATCCGGAGCATTTGCCATACAGTAGTAGCATCAAGCAAACACTGTACTTCACCCACAAAATACACAGTCAATCCACTTTACAATATATTCTGTTAAGTGCTTTGAGACGTCTCAATGACGTGATAAGGTGCTATATCTAATACTATTATTAAAATGGAGGTTACATTTGTGTGGCATGTGCAATGGACAGCAAAGCCCTGGTTTTGCCATTTTGAGCACACTTCAACCCCATTGTTCTGAAATCACATTACATTAGTGTACCCTGAAAGTACTATAGGATGTTTCTATTTTCCGACCTGTTTATGCTTGGCTTCCTAGTAACTGCTATTTTAAACCTGCAGACGGTCATACACAACAGCAACGCCTTGCTCTTCGACTGATTGTGCTGTGGGGTCACGTCTCTGAGCCCTGAACGATCAAACCATGGTTTACAATACATCGTACACATAATGGACAATTGTGGCACAGCCGTGTATGTCAACAATGCTAACTCCTGAACCTTTCTTTCCCACCAGATAAATAATTTGGCACAAGTTACAGAAGCTGCTATATTTCTCAGAGAACTATCACTCACTTTCCTCCGCCATGCTTCCTTTTGGAAATCTGAATTGTCCCAGCTCTCTCTGCAACTGTTGTGTGTCTGTGAGGTTAGCCTGAACATCGCAGGAGAGTTATCCTCCCTGGTTTTACAAATTCAGATGATTGCCACAAAACTCCCTGAGGTAAGCATTAGGACCTTTGTGCACATTTTGTGTACGTCACTGATGACCTATTATTTGTAACAGATAAATAATGATGCACCTTCTATTAGCACCATTCAGGCAAATGAATCCCAACATCACCACTTATGGAAACTGAAGTTGCACCTCGTGGGAGCCTTTCACAATCGGACCCCCTTATCCCACACTGTTGATTCAGTAGCATAAAAGTGGCATCAAACTGAAGGTTGTATGTAAAAAAAATCAAAATTCTTGATGCTTTGAAATGCCTAGAAAATAAAGTAAATCCTAGACCCAGGTGAAATTACGTCCCATCTGTCCTAACAAGAACAGCCTAAGCTTTTCAAGTTTTAGTAGACATTCTGTGTGTGCTTTTGCACAATAATGAACCTCAAGGTCAAGAAGATGTTGAGAAGCAGTCTAAGTTCAAACCTTGTGGTTTTATTAGATGCACAGTGCTTTACTTGGTGTGAGGCACAATGCAGCCAGTGCTTTATCAACAGTGATTTATTGGGTATAGTTTATTCCTAATTTGGTGATCATTATATTACTTCCTTTCACAACGGTCTTGGCTGCAATGTTCTCAGCTGCCCAGAGGGCGTTCTCTTGAAACCCAGCATTGAAAACGAAAAGTGAAATTGTGGGATCGGGTGTATTTAGGATGTGAATGTGTGGCCCCACTGTCGCCCCGCTGGTCCTGGGACATTTTATCACTCGTGGAATCTTGTTACCAGATCACAGCCCTTGCTCCATCTGGAAGGCAAACCACATGCTTCTCCGACTCCCTGGCACCACACCAAGAATTTAATTGGAGAAGTCGATTGCCAATTGAAATGCATTTTTTGTTTAAAATAAGCAAAAGTAAGCTCAAGTGATCCTGATCAGTTGGTATTAATACAGTAACTGCTGGCCAGTGTCCAACCTTCAGATCTCCTTAACTTGCTTCTCATCTCCCGGTGACCTCCTGAAAGGTTTCTCTTGTGTCAACCAGGTTTTTTTTTAATAAATTGCATCAGAATAATTTACCAAGTTGACTTTACATTTTCTTCTGCCTGAAACTATTTGAGTCATGCAAACTATTTGGTGAGAATGTAACTCAGAAATAAATTGCAAAGCCTAAATCTGTTTTTATGACAGTATGCCCTGGCACACTTGCCCATGTCTGCCCTGGCACTGGTGCATTTTTAGGAAAAAGTGTTAATTTTTCTATTTTTTTCTCCCCGTCAGTATGTGCCTCTGATCCTGGTCCCCAGCTGCCTCATACAGTTCCACAGGCACTTCAAGTACCCCGCTCAAGTGGCTATTCTTCATGTGTGAGCAGATAACATACATGAAGAGCTCTCGGCGATCACGTGCAAAATAGCATTTCTTTCTGCTTAATTAGTTGACTATGCTCTTCTCAGGCCAAATATTTTCCACTGCACAACTAGGTGTTCACCCACCTTGACAGTGAGTGTTAGCAGGCAATCTCCATCCACTACCACCAGGACTGCACCCTACTGGTGCAGGGGGATATTGAATGCAATTTTATTACTATTTGCTTATTTTTGTGCTTTCTAGAGTATTCCTGCTGAAGAGATGCTTGTTGGACTGAGTTTATTGCTGCTACAGACTCCAATGTGTCAGCAAGCGCCCATTTTGAATCTCGGTAGGTTTGTGTCTCAATTTATTTGTTATTACTACTACTGATAACAATAATTAATCCTTACACTTGGTGTAGCACATTCCTGTCAGGTGGACAGCCCAAAGCGCAGTGGCTGTCTTTTGTTTTTACCAGTAATGTTCACTATCTAGAAGCAATCAAACCTGATGTCCTCTCTCTGCGAAGATGAACTGCTCGCTCAGCAGAATTATAGAATAGACCAAAGAACTCCAGAAAAGAGCCAAGGTTTCTGTATTACCTGCTAAATAAAACCAGGCACCTTCATCAACATGGAGTTATGAGTTTTTTTTTACTATCAGGTATAAAAGGCAATTAAGGAGAACTACAGCTTATTGAGTTGCTTGGTGGATTGCTAAAATGCACTCAGATTAATCTGACACAGTTTTACAAACGATAAGCGAACTTGGGGACAATTCCCTTGCTTCCCATTCCCTGATCTGATTTGTAACTCAAGTCCCTTGATATACATTTGTAGCAAGAAGAATCACTTGGCAAAGGCTAACTTCATCCCTCCCTTCTAAATAAGGTGGATCAAAGAGTGGGAATCTATTAACTCCCTCTCCTGCCACCACCAACCTTTCCTTTTCAAGTGAACCACAGCCAAAATTGAGCATAAAATATACTTATGTTTGACCTTGTGCCATATTATGTTGAAATATCTTAAAGCATTTCACACAATGTTTTTTATTGAAGTGCTGTGAGAGAGAAGCAGACCGAAAATGGACCTGACTGAGTTATAGATGTTGAATGACCTGCTCAGAATATCTCAGTCAAGGTTGCTACAATTTTCATGCCATCAAACTGAGCTGAGGAAAAATAAAAGGAAACGAAGCACTGAGCAGGATTTTGATGTAGAAGACTACGCAGTACCCGCATTGAGATGCTGTGTAAAGCCTTCTATAAATTAAGCATGCTCCTCAAAGAGAATTGAGATCATAGCTACATTATTTCAGAGGACAAGAAAACATTTTGGAGTATGTCTGTAGTACTTGGGATTCCCCACTCTTTAATTGTGAGATTCAACTGTTATGAATCAGCTTAGAAGACTGAACACCTGTGTAGACTCTGCTGTTGTTGTGCTCTTTGCGGCTGTCCCATTTTCATGAGAGTTCCTTGATTGACGATTAACATGTTTTCTCCCATCCCAAGGGGAACATTGGCATCGAGTGAACATCTCAACTGCCCTTTTGGTGTTGGCTATTGTAATTGATTAGATCATAGAAATAGTAATCTACAGTGGCTATTTGGCTCACAGAACAAGGAAATCAATTCAATTCCACCGCCCTCCTTATCCCCATATCCCTTTAAGTCCCTCTCCCTGTCTGCTTCCCTCTTGAAAGCTAGAATGGACTCTGCCTCCAACACCCTACTCGGCAGAGCAATCCTCATCCCTGTAACTCTGGTGAAAAAAAATTCTCCTAAATTCTCCTTTCTCTGTTCTTGTGGCTATCTTATAACTGTGTCTTCGAGTCACTGGCTCCCATATCAATGGAAATAACATATCCTGTCAAAGCCCTTCATGATTTTGTACATCTCTGTCAAGTCCCTCATTCAACCATATCTGCTCAAATAGTAATAATTAATAATCCTTGCATTTGGTATAGTGCCTTTCACATCGGGAGGATGCCCCAAAGCGTTTCACAGGATTCAATGCAAAAATGGAGTAACTATATATTTGTAGACGGTTATTTGGGAGATTGTTGGTCAACGCATCGGGAGAAACTCCTTTCTCTTTTCGAACAGTGTTGTGGGATCTTTAATATCCACCTGGACATTCAGACAGGATCTCAGTTTAACATCTCATCCGAAGGATAACACCTCCAACAATACCCCCCCACCCAACATTGTATTGGAGTGTCAGCTTAGACTATGTGGGTTCATGTGCTAATATGGGGCTTGAACCCACAACCTTCTGAACCATAGGCAAGAGTGCTGCATCAGGCTGACACAATGAAAAGATTGGTGGGCAAGGACCCAGGGAATGAGGGTGAATAATGGCCAAGGTGCCTAGAAGAGAAGCAGTATGAGAAGCAATCTTATTTTCATTATAAATTCCTGGATGTACTGAAATGAGAGAAAAATAAGGAAAGTGTTTGTAATTTTCCTTCCTTTAATGTGTAGAGAGAGATGATGCAACAACATGCTCTGATGGCAAGTAACGGCAAGTAACTGGCGCAAATCAAGGGGAATAAATTATTTTCAAGCTTCCTCGTCTTTAGATCTGAAACTTGCTTTAAATTACAAAAGGGAAGTGGAATATATGGTGTTTTAGGCCATTGACAGGCCAGTCACCTGATGTAAAGGGTTTTCTATTCTTTAGCAGTCTGGAATGGGAGAAAGGGACTGTGGGTGGAAGACATGAAAAACCTTTTATTTAAAGCAGCAACAGTAGCATTTGGTGTTCGGATAACAAGCTTGACATCTAATGCCAGCCATTGCTTTATGGTCTGGTACTATATTGAGGTTTGTGTGTAGTCAGTGGACCAGTGTGATCTAATCTACATTTTCTGCTGATAGCTTGTTTGATTGATTAATGACAAAATCAGTTTGTCCAAAAAATATCTTGCGGTTTACTACTCATGCATTGCAGTAAATGAGACTCATTAAATGGTAATGGACCATTTTCTTGTAGAAGAAAGTACGCACACATATCATATCTTGTAATTTACCACAAACAGCAAGAACTTCAGGCATTATTATTTGTTGAATGTTGGAAACGCAGAGACCAAATCTGATTGAAATACCTTTAACTGATGCGCTCTGCATTTCCTTCATCAGAAACATTCTCTGAAGAGTAGCTTGCTAGCTTTGACCACAGCCCAAAAACTTACTTAAAGTATAAATTCACTAACTTGTGAGGTGCTGTAGATATATTAGACCCTAATACCTTTTCTACTTTAAAAGTACCTCTTTGACCACACTTTTGGTTGTATCAGCTTTGTTAAGCACTTTGGGAATTCCGAAAGGCAATAATTAAATGTAAATTGTATTGTATCACGTGGCGATAGGCACACTTTTTTATTGTCCTGTACAGTTTTTTCCCATTGACATTTTCTATTACTTTTTATATTTGGAGATAGCAAGCGCAGGGCAATAGGATGAAACATAAATGTAGTCCCAAGGTATACCACAGCTTCAAATGTTTTGTCTCGATAATTCATTCATAAGTTTAGATTTTTGGTTGCTCTTCGCAGCACTTTTTTTTAGAAAAACGTATGAATGAAAGAATGGACTTTCTGTGTTTTTAAACATTTTTTAAAATGAGCATCACATTATGAGATAGTCCACATACTATTCAAATAGATTAGCTGTGTCCCATAAATATGTCAGAAACCTGAGGAAAATTGAAGATTAATTGACCAGCTTCTCTGCAGCTATAATGATAGAAACATCAACCTCAGTGAAAAAATGAATGCCAGGTAGCTTGTTGGAAGATATGATGATCTGCTGTGATTTGTAATCCTCTGGCACATTGCCTTTCTGAGTTATAGTGACCTTTATATTACAATATCTGGAGAGTCACTGTGCTCACCTCAAGACTACACAAGTTAGAATGGTATGATTTGTCACAACACTCTTGCCTCTTCCATCCGAGCCAATTTCTTCCTCAGGCAAAGATGCCTGTGGTTTTCTGAATGTGTGCACTACAGCATGTGGAGAGGGTTTGATTGAACTTGTCTGTTGTTGACAGCGCTGAAGATCCTGTCTCCACCGTGTATGCAAGAGTTGCCCACAGAGGCTCTGATCCTCCTGATGCCTTTGCTGCAGATAGTGTCGTCAGCAGTGGTCATGGACTGCATATATGACTCGGAGGTTACAGCAGACAATCACAATCTTGCTGTGAAAATCCTTGACCTGATACGCAGTCTAGACGTGAAAGAGTGCACACGCAGGCAGAAGGTAATTGAGAGAGTTTCTCTATTGTATGATTTGTACCACTGATTTTCAACCAAAAAACAAACACCCGTTAATTTTTGGTATTGAAAACTCTTATTGTGTGACTCTACTTTACCCTAATGCACATTCTGGAGTCTTCAAGCTTGGCTCTTTAACATCTTACGCCTAAGATCTTACTTTCTGAGATTAGATGAACAAGTTGCGGGAGAGAGGGCACATTCTATTCTAGATTTTATTCTAGAACTTTCCATGCATTTCTGCACAGCGATGGACAGCCACATGAATCACCCAGCTGAGCAAAAAAATCTTATTCTTTTTACCGGTCTTTGCTTAAATGAAATTTGTTGAGTATAATTAAGTTTCTCCCCCTCCCTCGCCTCCCTCTCTTTTACTAGCCTTGCTGCGAACTTGTGTTTCCTATAACTGGTTGGTACATAACTCTCTTCGGGACCTGGAGAATCCTGGATGGTTTCAATACAGATATTGAAGCTGTATCTGACTGGCTAGCTTCTATCAAATCAATGCTGCCTTTAAATGACAAAGTTCCTGAATACATTACTCTCCTGCTCTCCTACATAATTGCAAAAGAAGATGGAGAGTGCCTACACAGAGCTTTGGAGACGACTACGGAATTAGCTAATGCTGATTCCTCTCAGGTAAGAGTATTGTAGATTTTGAGAGTAAGTGTCACCCCCAAGTGTAAAGGGAGCTGAATGGAATGGAAAGGAACGGTGGCAATTTTTCACAGATATGTTTATAATGGGGCACCTAATCATTTGGATCTGAGATAACGTGCTTTTAATGTGGTTTGCCCTGTAGACCCAACTAGAAAACAATACTCTCCTTCATTTCAAGAGCCACACTTCCTAGGTCAGTCTGTTACATCCCAGGTCAGTCCAAAATATTGACCAGCAAGCAGGAAAGTTTTTAAAACAAAGCAAAGCACAAGAAAAAACACAATCTTTTCCTGCTGCAGAATGATTTTATTTGTTTTAAGATTTAACAATGGAAACTATCCTGAGCAGTACGTACTGCTGTCTGTGCCACATCGAGGCAAGACATGGATTTCCAAAATGTGTTTCTGATCTCCAGTCTGTCCTAGTAGGCAGACGGAGAGGGATGGGGAAGTCACTACTCTAAAGTTTTGACCTTTTTTGTACAGCCTGAAATAATCTGCTCACCTCATTCCCTTTCATTTGTAGGTACCGCATCTCATCTCTGTTTTGATGTTTAAATTGGGACAACCACTGCAAGCTACCCTGTATCAGGCTATCCTTTATACCCTTCCCTCGCTTGGTACACACAAGGTTTGTATTAAGAAATCACTGGACAGTAGTGGTGAAAGTACTAGATTGACACAGAACTGCAAGGCACAATCTGGCCTCAGGGAAGGACTAGAGTACCCTTGGCTGAAAACAGCAGTTGTGCTCATTAGACAGCCAAATATTACAGCAGTCAATTTATGGATGTGAAACGGGCGCTTTTTAAAGAAAGTAAGTGAATACAAAATTCTGATTTCTGACTTTCTTATCCTTTCACATTAGGTTTGTGTTGCTCAGATACTCCGTGCCTTACAAATGCTCTGGAGCACAGCTAAACTGAAAGCCATATCTTTGCGCCTGATGACAATCTTATGGGAGAAACAGGCAAGGATGTTTTGCGCGTGATATTTACTGACATTTTAGTCCATAAACTGTCTTGTCACAGTGTTTGCTATTTCAGCTTTCTTTGTTAGCTGCAGTGTGCAGTTTATTTGTAATTAAATGATGCATTGGTAAAGGATATGGTAATATTGTAACAAGATGGCAGGGAAAGCCTTGAAATCACCAAATATCTGGGGTGGAAGTACTAACTAGATGTCTTTAAAAGCAGTTAAAAAACATTTTTTTAATTGTGTTTTGTTCAGTATTTCCCTTCCCTCACATTTCTTGCATTTCTTGTTTAATGTGCCTTTAGGATCGTGTTTATCCAGAGCTGCAGAAGTTTATGGCATTACTTGATGTGCCATCGATGTCGCTTGCTAAAGAAGATCAGTGGGAGCAGATGATTGCCAAAGCAGCATGTATCAGGGACATATGCAAAAAGAGGCAAGGGTCAATCAGTCAATAGATCTAATACAATATAAGTGCTTTGGTTTTTAGGTTTGGGTCTCAAGTATTTCTGCAATAAAATCTGGAGTAAAATTTAGATTGATAGTAAAATCGAGGCACTCTAGCACCACTTAACTTTTTAAAAGCTGCTTTCTTCCCTTGAGCTATTGATTTCAGAGTATCCTTGTTTTTCGATTTCCTAATTTGGACATAGCGGGACAGTTCTGAGTATTAACAAGTCTACGGATGGCTTGTGACGTCAGGAAGAAGCGAGCAAGAAACTTGTTTGCAGCATCAGATTGCTGTGATAGCATCACTAGTCCTGTGCTACTTCAGTGTTTACCAGAGACAGATGAGTTTGAAGCTGAGGAGGAAAATTATAATCAATATTTCTACTATGGACTTTTAGCCGTTCTCTTTCTCTGTCCATCGATCCCAAAGTTCCAACAGCAGCACAGGACCATTGAGTTCCGCAGAGTTTTCAGATATCTCTGCTGATGCATTGTGCTTATAAGCTGCAATCCTGTTCCACACTGGGTATTTAGCGAGCTCAGGGGTTAAATTGATGTTTCACTAGAGGCTTTTAATAGGGGCAATATCTATTTATTTCCTGTTGTGTGTGTTAGTGAGGGCGGTGGAAACCGTCTAATTTTGAGTTCCTTGATGGCGGTTAATTTTGCACTTGTGACTCAGATCCACGATTAGAGTGCATATATAATGTGCTTACATTATTGGTATTTCTCATTATTTAATAGTTAGATTATTCACCCACTCAAACTTCTTTTCCTTCCAGTTTCGGTCCAGTTTAGTAAGTCTGTCTTCATAAATGAATCTCCTAGAATCATCCTCATTCTTCTTTGGATTCTCTAATGCCTCAGTGTCCTTTTGAAACGAGGTTGCCCAAAGACAACACAGTATTCTACCAATTATCTGTACTAGGCTACAATAACTCGCTTGACCTGTAATCAAATGCCCTTGAGGTACAACCTAGACCCCAGTTAGTATCATGAATAATGCTTCATAGTGACTGAATAGCTTCAGTGTTCAGTGAATGATTAATAATCACACCCAAATCATTTTCACCTTTGCTAATGGACCCCCCTTTATTGTGCCCTTTTGCATTATGCATCACCTTAACATTTGTCATCATTACGTTCCATCTGTCAGTTCTTAGGTCTTCTTCTAATTGATGCTGGTCTCTTTGAATGCTGTCTCCTTTATGGCACAGTTACAGTACAGGCACTGTTCAGTGTGGTCCTTGTGCTGGAGTGATGGGAGGTGGGAGACTGTTAGTTGTATAGCTCTTAGTGCACCGTTCTCATCCCAACAACAACAAAATTACATTTCACGTTGGGAGGATGTCCCAAGGCACTGAACAGTCGGGGATTAGGAGCGTGGGGGGCCAGGGTTGGGATGAGGGAGGGCAGAGAGGTAGGAGACATGGAGGAGGCCAGGGCTTGCTGAACGGAGGGAGCAGACAGGTTGATAGAGGGTCAGCAGGTCAGAGAGGTAGGAGGGAGCAAGGCCGTGGAGGTCTTGAAAGTGACGACGAGGATTTTGAATATTATCCTCTGAAGGATGAGGAGTCAGTAGAGTCGGGCGAGGGTGGGTGTGATGGGGTCACGGAGCCTGGTACGGGAGAGGACACGAGCTGCAGAGTTCTGGATGATCCGCAGCTTGTGGAGGGAAGAGTTGGGGAGGCTGACATGGAGGGTGTTTCCGTAGTCGAGCCTTGAGGTGATTAATGTGTGTGTGAGGGTTTTGGCGGCCTGAGGGGTGAGGCAGTGGCAGAGTCGGGCAATGTTGCGGAGGTGGGGAAGGCAGAGCGGGTCATGGCATGGATATGGGGGAGAAAGGACAGTTGAGAGTCAAACAACTAAGCTCAGTGTAAGTGGAATTGGACCTAAGAACATGGATAAAGCTCCACTGAATGTCAGCTAATTGTTCACATTGTTTTAAAGCCACAGGAGTCTCGCTGGCTCTTTAACAGTAATACAAACCATAGGGGAGCCACCCTTCTTAAAGTTGCAATTTCTCAAGTTCAGAAGTTTATTTTGCATCAACTGGATTTACCCCATGAACACCCAGTTTGCAAAAGTGTTCGATTCCCGGCAGGGCTAAACCTTGGGCAAGTTTCCTTACTCCACATGCCTGATAATAATCCCTCAAGAAAAAAAACAATAATAAATTGGTCACTTCAATCCATTACTGTTTGTGGCACGCTTGCTGTGTGCAATTGGCTGCCGCTTTTTGCCCACAAATGTACAGTCAATTCACTTTACATTATATTCTGTGAAGCGCTTTGAGACGTCTAGAAGACATGAAAATGTACTATATCAAATGCAAGCCAATCTGTCCTGAAATTGCTCTTTCAACTCTAAGCCTATGTTCTTTTGTTCTACTGTCTAAATACTTCCTATGGTATTGATCTGGGTTTATTTTTCAATCCCATTTAAGATTATATACATCTCTATGAGCCCCCTTTGAGGGGTGGGATCATTATATTCGCTTCCTGTCTAGGTAGGAACAGTGCCTGATCCAAACATGGTTTAGAAATTAGTAAACTTCCGATTTCATTGGAAATTCTGTGCAATGTTAATATTAGCCTTTTACATTTTCTCTGTAGAATGGTAAAACATTTACAGCCCAGAAGGAGGTCTTTCTGCCTATGGTGTTAGTGCTGCCTCCTTGACTAGAGCCAAGCCCTCTAATTGTCTTACCCTTTAATATTACTTTGCCTCGCGGTTTAATCCAATTCCCTTTCAAGTGCTGCAAAGGATTTGACTTGAACAGCCATTTGTGCTAAAGCATGCATTTTTAACCACCTGCTGTGTCTTAATTGTGTCTTTGTATAATTAGATCTTACCAGCATGGAGCAGACATGCTAGCTGCAATCTCCAAGGTGCTGAACGAATGTACAAGAGCAGACCAGGCTACTCCTGCAGTACTCGTACTGCAAGGGCTCCATGCTCTCTGTCAAACTGAGGTAAGGATGGCCAACAAGGACTCAATGTTCAATAACATTATGGGATATAGTACACAGTTAGTTCGGGACACATGTGTAAGCAACGACAGGAAGATGAACTAGATGGACCTTAGTCTTTTTTGCATCTAGCGTTTCTTATGTTAATGTTTGCAGGGGTTAAGAAGGAGAAGAAGAAACTTTAAACTTTCAAAATGTTTATTTGCTGTTTTACACAAAAAATGAAGACTGATTTATAAAGTAACGTCAGTCATTATCAAATAAATAATGACAATAAATAAAATAATGTTTACCATTTAGGATAGTTAATAACAATACTCCTTGCATTTGATACCTTTCATGTCAGAAGGATGTCTAAAAGTGCTTCACAAGATTTACTGTATAGTGAAGTAACGTGTGTATTTTGAGGGTGAATGTGGCAGCCAGTTACCACACATCAATGTCTCACAAACACCCATGTAGTAAATCATTAATTTTATCTGTGGGTTTGTTAGCTGGGACATTGGGACAAACTCCCTGCTGCTTTTCAATTGTGCCATGGGATCGTCCACTTGAACAGGCAGACAGAACCTTGGTTTAACATCTCAGTAGCACTGCATTAGAGTGTCAGACTGCACTGAGTTCACAGTCATGATGGGGGGCTTGAACCCACAACCTTCTGACTTGAAGGTGAGAATGCTACCAACGAGCCAGGCTCACCATGACTGATTTTTTTACATTTAAAACTAATTTAAATTTTAATTTGCTCAGTGCCCCAAACCATATTTATGATTTATTTCTTACAGGCGAGGTGTAAGTAAGTGAGTTTACTTTAAGTAAACACACACAAAATGGGCTCTAAAGTGTGGCAATTTCTAATGGGAACGCTTAATTGTGATTCAGAGTTGCAAATAGGGATTACAATCAGTAAGTAGAAGAACATCATGACAATCCCTGAATTACATCCTTGTTTTCAACTTGATCCTTTTGTAAAAGAAATCTCTTTAGAAATCGTCAGATGCAGACATTTTATTCCCATTGCTATTTCACTAGATCGTGAGGCAGGTGGGTTTATTTGACATTTTTTTTAAAAAATGTATCTTTGTACAAGCCTCATAAAACTGGGTTCAGTAGAAATTCCACCTGGGTCTAGTTTTACTCTACTTATGTAATATTTTTGAGCATTTGAATTTGAGAAGTTCTTCAATACAGCCTTAACTTTAAAGCCGGTTTTTACTGCAAGTCCTTTTACTTCAAAGTTAGGACCGAATTCTATAATTTGCCAATTTTTGGATTCTTAAAATGCTACATAAATCTAGAAAAAAATCTACATCCAGGTAGAATTTCTCCATCTGTGTGCTATATGTGTGTTATGAACCACACATCTATATTTTCTGCTCTTTGCTCAAACTGCTCAGTTCACCGATAAAGATAACCGGGTGTTTGAAATGCAAAAGGCAGAAAATGCTAATATCAGCTGACTTTGTCTCACCGTCTGATGGAAGGTACCAATTTTACTCTATTTTACTGCTTTTTTTATTTAAAAGACGCACATGGGTGGTTCCTCGGTACAGTAAATCAGTGAAAGTGTAGATTGAATACAGCACAAAAACAAAGCAGTTAGCTTGATTTGTCATTACTGTCTTTTCCTGTTGTGGTTAACTGTTGAGCGAATGCCATTATTCTGGGCATGAGGTTTGTGTCGCAACACAAAACCTTTTCAGTATTGCATTTCTTAAGAAATGCTCAGTTTTGTAAATAACCATGGTAAAAGTGATGACGCATTTCTATGTTGAAAAGTGCCTTTTAGGTGTAGTGTCTTGGTAAAATGTTGTATTGCTGCTTTCTTTTGAAATGTCAAGTTAGTTATATCTTCCAGTAACTTCCTCTGTTATTCTGCTAAAATGAATGAACAGGGCTTTTTATCGGTGAGATAAAAAGTTATCAGCCCTCAGTCATGTTTCACAATCTGTCCTGATCAGCAGATCAAACAATTACACTGGGATAGATAACTGAAGTCAATATAAATCCCCTGTTTGTACATACATTAATATCAGCCTGGCTTAGTTGGTAACACTCTCATCTTTGAATCAGGAAGTTGTGGGTTCAAGCCCCATGTTAGGAGTTTAAGCTCACATAATCTAGGCTGACTTTCCAATTCAATGCTGGGGGAGTGCTATATTGTCCTTTGAATGAGATGTTAAACTGAAGCTCCATCTGGTTGTTCAGGTGGATATTAAACATTACATTATTCTGAAAGAGAAGGAAATTTCTTCTGGTTTCCTAACCAACACTCATCCAAATAAAAAATGATTGATTCAACAACCAGATTACATTTGTATAGCACCTTGGGATGTCCTCCCGACGTGAAAGGCACTATACAGATGTAATGTTGTTGTTGTTAATGGCTGTTTGTGGGACATTGCTCTGTGTAAATTGACTGCTGTGTTTACCTACAAATGACAGTCACTACACTTCACAGTAAATCTACTGAATCGCTTTGATACGTTTTATTAATAAGATGTTACATCAAATGCAAGGATTATTCTTATTATAATCATTCAGTCTGCAGTTCTCAAACAGACATGCTTGTATTCCAAGATCCTTTGTCACTGTAGTAAATATCTGAGCTGTTTTTCCCAGGGATTTTTTTTCTTCGTGGTCAGCCAAATACCTGACACATATGGAAACCCATCACCATGTTTAAGAAACTCCAAATTAACTACTGAAATTTCAACAATATGCCTTGTTTTTGTGGGTCTGGAATAGAATGCAGCAAATGGGGAGATTAGGTCTATATTTTTGGAGTCTAACCAGCTAAAACCACATAGATTACCATTGATATCACTGTCTGGCAGGCTTCCCACCTCTTGTCCAGGTATTTTTTTTGCCGAAAAAATACTTCACTTGACTGAGAAATTCCTTCATGACGTTTGTCTCAATTTAAAGTACCTCACCAGTGAGCAAAAATACACTAAAAGGATTACTAAAGGAGAATTATAAAATTCATTTTTTTAAAGAAAGCTTTAGAAAATTGATGAGAAGGTGATGGAATTTAGAAATAACATTAACATCAGGTGTCCAGTACTTTGCAGGTCAAGTGTTGTAATTTTATTTCTCACTCTGTCTCTGCCCTTTTAGGTCGTGGACATCCGGTCTACATGGTATGCTCTGTCACCAAAACTCTGTTGTGACACTCGGCCTTTAGTTGTAAAAGCCTTGACTGAGCTGTTTGCCCTGGTTCCTGCCCTGAATGTAAAATCCGTCGAATATGAGGTGGGTAGTAACAGTTACCAGAGGTAGTCACTAAACATTCAAAATTGCTTGTGAAATTAGAGGTGTAATGGAATTATTATTATATAGATGATATGGCATCTAATAATAAGATGGTCAGTGTAGCCCCTGATCACATACCTTATACACCTGCTTTGAGTGAAGTTTTTTTTCAAAATGTTTGTTGTAAGGTCAATGAGTTGGAATATGAGAATAAACACTGTATTGATGCATTTTAACAAAAGCTTGGATTTGTTTTAGGTTGATATGTCACCACTACATTATCAGAGATGCCGTCCTTCAGGCGGGACATTAAAGATCAAATTCCCATCTACCTGTTCTTTAGTGATGTTAAAGATCCCATGATGCTTTTGAAAAGGGAACAGAGGTTCTCTCTGTGTCCTAGCCAACAATTCTCCAGTTTAAATCATCTTTTGCCTTGTAGCTTTTGTAGGACCTTGTTGTGCATAAATAGCTACTGTTTGTCGTCTCCCAAACCAGTCCTGCAACTAACAGTGTCTACTTTTCAAATGTTGTTAGACATTTCGAGGTGTTAAGACATTCCAAAAAGACAAATTAGTATTCTTTCTTGTGAGAAGAATAAAAGACATAATTAACATGAAGGGTGGTTGATGCCAGGACACACACTGGACTCATTTAAAACAACAGCTTGAAGCTGTCATGTGAAGAAGGTAGGGTGGGTATGCTGGAAGGATGAGATCAAATGGGCTGTAGGGCCTTTTTTGTCTCAATCAACCTTGTGATCTTGTGAATATGTTGGCGTGCTCTGGCGTAAACCAAGTCACATGGTTTATTCTCCCCTGACTGTTCTCTGCTGTTTTTTGTGCTTTGAATATTACAACTGCTGTGAACATGTTCTACTGTCCATTGTCTGAAACTCATGTTTAACTAAGGCCAGATTTATTTCAACCTGATTTTTCTCTCCTTTTGCACAGAAATTCAGAGCACAAGTTGTGAGCATATTGTGGACTCATACCCAAAGTAAGGTGAGTTTAACCCTTGTTAAACCAGAGTCTGGTATACAGTTAGCCAAACTTGCATTTGCTTTCATTGATCCAATAGTTGAAAACTTATTTCCAAACCGGTTATGTGTGCCAGTATCTACTACTTGTCACCCCTTTTTATTGGTAACCGTAGTGCACAGATATGTAAGAGTTTATCAAGAACAAATATTTATGGGATTATAATAAACAAACCATATGCTGAATGTCTTGTCATTATATATAATGCTGTACAATGTATGTTAAATATTGGTATCCAGTTTATGATCATATTAGTGAGGCAAAATAAGATTTGTGCCTTCTTTATTATTGAGGAAACAAGTTGTTTCTGTTTTCTTTATTATTGACTTAAAAATAGAAGCTATTCCAATTCTACCTCTTTGAATGATGCCCTTCGTGAAGAGTGCTATATCGATGCAAGTTATTGTTGTAGAAATATGCAGTCACTTCACAGCATTATTCTGTGAAGCATCTTGAGACATCTTGATGACGTGGTAAGACGCTATATCATTTGCCAGGTTTATTATTATATAATAAGAATGGTGATATGAAAGTTTCTAGTCAATATGAAGCTACTTTTAAATAACATAATCAATTAATAGGTTACACCTGAATGGGATTTGACTATTTGTTGAAAGAAATTATTCTAATCTTATAGATTAGATCATATAGATCACTGCTGACATCATACCTGGTGCAGTTGTAGGCACTCTACTTGTATGAACGCATAGGCTAGTTTGTGCATATTCTGTACAAGGAGCAGGTTTGCGAGGCTGAATGACCTTCTCTTATTAAGCGCTTAATATTCTTATTTGCACTTTCCGTGGAAGTGAGGTTTCAGGATGGCTGTTTAATCAAATCCGTTTATTTTTGAGTACATTTTGAACGACAAAATAAGCAGAAGAGGGACATGCTACAAAGCTATTTTGAGAGGTTTTGTTTGTATTTTTAACATGGGGTTAAGTAATTCTAATAATCCTTGCATTTGATACCGCGCCTTTCGTTTTGAGAACATGTCTCAAATTGTTTCACAGGATTAGGCGGACATAGATAAAAGCGTGGTGTGACTCTGCGGATATTCCACCAATGTTTGATGGTCGGATAACAGACACAAGACACTTAATCAGATCATTTGCACAGCACATTACTTTTCGTGCTGTTGACTGTCCAATTTGTGTATCTTACACTGAAAATAGCAAGTTTCACGTGGAATGACTCAATATTTTTCACGATGATCATGTTGTTGATGGGAATCACTGATCAGTGAGGAGGGGGATATTTGAGGTTGGTGATCAAAGGTACAGTCAATGAGAGGCTGATAAGAGCGTTTTAAAGGCAACAAAATTACATTTGTGTAGGGCCTTTCATGTTGGCAGATGGTAATGAACAAGTTGATGAGATTTTGAAGAGAGTTCCAGAGGGCAGCAGTGTAGAGTTTAAAAGCAAAGACACTACTGATGGGATGGAATGAGTGAGGAAGGAACAGGAGGGCAAAGTTGGCAGAGAAGAGGATGCAAATAGGAGAATAGGACTGTAAGAAATGGTTCACTTTTAAGTGAGTGGTGTAAGCTGTTTCCTGCCTCTACGTATACATCCCTCAAAATAATGAGCCTTTGCTTATAGTGCTAGTGTCCTGTGGACCTGAGCTGCCAGAACTGCTGTGACCCCTGGCTTCCAGTGTTGACAAGCTAGCATTCTGTGTTCTGAGTTGGCAGGTCATCAGAACTACACAGAATACTCCAAACGTGATCTAACTTAGTTTGCAAGGTGCAAAAAAAAATGAACTAGTTTTATGCCTGTAAATGTTCTTCAGCCTGACTAACACCATTTCCAATTTGTTAATAATTATAACAAATTATTAAGGTTAATATATTTTAATCTTTTAAATGATGGGATCTTCAGCTTTTAACTCTTGTATAAATGATGAACAAGTAATCAGATCATTTCCTTGCTCTCTTAAGAACTCGCTCATCGCCAGTTCTGCATACAAGGCTCTTTCTGCATTCAGCACTGAGGAGTTCACAGTTCTTCACCTACCAGAACAGGTATGAATTGCATAAATGTGTAGCTTTTCTCTTTGTCTGGCGGCAAACCTTTCCTTCTTTACTGATACTGTATTTTGTAAAAGTTGTTTCATGGATTGCTTATTGCAATAAGTGTAATACTGTACACTTGTTTTTTTAAAAACAACTTTGTCTCTTTTTCTGATGTCAGTGACTCATGCTGAGTTCTGAGAGGGAGGCTTCGTGGCCTTCAGTAGCTTTCTAGTTTATCATCCAAGTGGCCATTCCTCATGTTTGAGTTTGGTCAGACACTTCACAACTGACCCACAGTTCTGGTTTGGCTCAGTGCCTGCACAACCAACTCCAGCTGGGGGTCCCTGAATAGGGATAAAGAATAGGAATCCTGGATGGTTTGACACCTCCACTTTCCCTGCTTCACGAAAAATCAGAGAAATTCTAGCATTCCACTGGAACTGCACATTAGTTAGCATTAAGTGATTGCAGGGCGAAACCTTGGGCAAGTTTCCTTATCCACACGCCTGATAATAATCCCTCAAGAAAAAAAACAATAATAAAATTGGTCACTTCAATCCATGATTGTTTGTGAGACACTGCTGTGCGCAATCGGCTGCCGTGTTTTGCCTACAAATATACAATTTACAGTATATTTACAGTATATTCTGTGAAGTGCTTTGCGACGCCTAGAAGACGTGAAAAACATTATATCAAATACAAGTATTATTATTACGTCCGGGGCTACAAGCTTCATGTTGTTTTTCCCATTTTCATCCTTTGTATTTTTTTCTCTCTCCCCTTCTTGCCCAATCTCTGGGAGATACTTGGAAGTGACCCATGTGAAATGTGGTTTCCAGTGGGCAAGAGATTAACCTCTGTTAACCATGGTGGTGCTACAGTAAGCAATGCAGAGTACATACAGTAAGGTGCTACCTCACTCCACGTGAACAGCTACAAGAATACCCAAGATCGGGTGGTTACCTGTACATCTTACTGTCCTCTGCACAATATACCAGATCATCATGCCGTGCCAACTAATGAATACTTGAACCTGAGGAGACCTTAGCAACTTGGAGATCAAGTCTACATCCTTTTGATGCTGTATTTAAACAAGATTGCAATCTTTAGACAGGACGATTTGTAAACGTATCCGACTATCCGTGTGACAGTGCACTGATTTATGTTGTATGGATGAATGTTTAGACTGGCGGCAGGTGTTTGCTTGGCTGCATACCTTTCACGTGGTCTTGAATAGAACAATGAAAGGACTTACTCAAGTCTGTGTACTTGAAAACTAGATTCTATCAGAATAATTCTTTTAGACTTAACATAACAAAATGAACTTCCGCCCAAACTTTTAGGATCATTTAGATTCCTTGGTGAGAAGGAGGTGAAGCCTAAAATATCCCAATTATGTTGGATAGTTATCTTTATGGTGCAATTATCCGATTAGAGTGTGAAATAATTAAGTCAATTGACGACTCAGATAGCAGACATCTTCTCCCTGATGGAAGGATTCAAAACACGGGGACGTATTTTATTAGAGCTAAAGCTGTTTGAAGTGCAATCAGAAAATGTTTCTTCACACAGAGTCCTGGAAAGAACTGCCCTAAGGGTCACTAGTGCAGAATTCATTAGGATGTTTAAAAGGAGCTAATACAGTGGATTGCCATTATAATGTCCTTCGTCTCAATGCAGGTTCATTCCTAGTCCATTCATTGTATATGCCATGTTGTACCTCATTCACTGTCTAGCTCAGTTGGTACAAACAACAACAGCTTGGATTTATATAGCGCCCTCCATGCTGGACGACGTCTCAGAACGCTTCACAGTAACGGATCCCGGGGCCGAGCCAGGGGGAGGGGAAAGAAGGTGGCCAAAGACGCGGTCTTTCGCCAAGACTTGAAAGTAGGAAGAATGGGGGAGCGAGGCGAAGGGAGTGAGGAAGGGAGTTCCAGAGCCTCGGGGCATAGTGGCCGAAGGCATGATCACCGATGGTGGAGCGGAGGATTCAGGGGACAAGGAGGAGGCCAGACCCGGTGGAGCGAAGGCAATGGGTACTGTTGTGAGGAGAGAGGCGGTCAGAGAGGTAGGGGGGTGTAGAGGAGTGGAGGGATTTGAAAACAAGCATGAGGATCTTGAAATCGATCCTCTCTGGGACAGGGAGCCAGTGCAGTCTGGCAAGGACTGGGGTGATCGGGGAGCAGAGTTTGGTACGGGTAAGAATGCAGGGGGCAGAATTCTGGATGACCGGATTTTATGAATGATATTGGAGGGGAGACCAGCGAGGAGGGCATTTGAATAGTCCAGCCGAGAGGTGACAAAGGCATGGACCAGGGTTTCGGCGGCTTTTGGGGTGAAATATTGGCGGAGACGGGCAATGCGTCGGAGGTGGAAGAAAGCGGTGCTGGTGAGGGACTGGATGTGGGGGAGGAAGGATAATTGGGGGTCGAACCTTAAGCTTAGGTTGCGTATGGGTTCGGAGAGCTTTAGGGCCAGGTTGGGTAGGTGGAGGAGGTGAGAACCGTGCGATTGAAGATGTTGACAAGAGCTAAAGAGTATGGCTTCCGTCTTGTGACATTTAACTGAAGGAAATTCGCACTCATCCAGCTCTTGATGATTGACAGGCAGGCTGGCAGAACATCAGGGGACTGGAGGTCGAAAAGTGAGGTGGAAAAATAGAGTTTGGTGTCGTCCACATACATGTGGAAGTGTACCCCTTGTCTGCGGATGACATCCCCAAGAGGGAGCCTATAGGTTAAGAAGAGGAGGGGGCCAAGGATGGATCCTTGGAGTACCCCGCAGGTAACCGGGTGAGAGCGGGAGGAAAAGCCGTTTGTGGAGATGTACTGCTGGCGGTTTGTGAGGTAGGACTCGAACCAGGTGAGTGTGGTCCCACTGAGGTGGATGATGGAGGAAAGGCGGTGGAGGAGGATGGCGTGATCGACTGTGTCGAACGCGGTGGAGAGGTCCAGGAGGACAAGGAGGCAAAGGGAGCCCTGGTCACAGATAGAGGATGTCGTTTGTGACTTTCACAAGCGCAGTCTCTGTACTGTGGTCAGGGTGGGAACCGGACTGGAGGGGTTCGAACAGGGAGTGGGAGGAGAGGTGTGCGCAGAGTTGATTGGCAACAACGCATTCTAGGACTTTGGTAAGGAAGGGCAAGTTTGAAATAGGGCGGTAATGGCTAGAATTTGAGGGATTTAGGGAAGTTTTTTTGAGGAGGGGGATGATGACAACAGTTTTAAGGGGGGCAGGGACTGATCCAAAGGAGAGGGACTGATTGATGACATCAGCCAGAGGAGGGGGAGCTGGGTGACCAGCAAGTTAATGGGAAGGGGGTTGAGGCAGCAGGTGGTGGGTTTCATCGAAGTGATGGTGGGTAAGAGGGAGGAGGGAGTCATGGGGAGGGAGGAATGTAGGATAGGGGTGGTGATAGGAGCTGATGCTAGGGAGGGTGAAGGGGATGGAGAAGTGGTGGTGGGCGACAAGAGGCAGGAGGATGAGTCTGCCTGGCGGATATTATTTGAAAATTTAGTTGAAAAGAAGTCCATGACCTCCCCACACTTAGCATTTGATGTGAAGATTGAGGAGGCCTGAAGGGTCACACGGAGGAGGTGTCGGGAGGTGACGGGGAAAAAGGACTTTAGGATTGTTTTTTGCCTCCAAGATGATGTTGGATTAGAAGGCCGTTTTCGCATGCGTTAAAGAATGGCGGTAGCTGTGGAGATGCTCGAGCCACAGTTGGTGGTGAACTGTCAGGCCAGTTTTCTGCCATCTGCGCTCAAGCAGCCGGGTTTGGGTTTTTAGGGCGCAGAGATGACTGTTATGCCAGGGGGATCAGGTGGGTTTGGAGATGGCCCTGGATTTCAGGGGCACGAGAGAGTCTCCCCCCCCCCCCCCCACCCCCCCTCTGAGTAATAAGGTTCTTGGTTCCAGTCCCACATTGGGACTTTGAATTCACAGACTAAGTTGACACTCCAGTGCTGGGGGAGGACAGAGATGGTGTCCTTTGAATGAGGCATTAAATTGAGTTCCCGCCTGTTCGCGTTCAGGTGGATGTTGAAAATTCTACGTGATCATGTCACTACTTGAAAAGAGAAGGGAGTTTCTCCCAATTTCCTGACCAACAATCCCTTAGATACAAACAGACCAAAGAGTGCTACAAAAGGCCTTTAGACAACTTTCTTCAGCTCAACGTGCGCAAAACTGAGGCCCTCCTGATTGGCTCGCGTCAGCGCCTCCGCACCTCAGGCGCCGACAGCATCAGCATCCAAGGCTGCACTCTCCACCTCTCAAAACCAGTCAGGAACCTCGGCGTTCTGTTCGACCCTGAGCTGTCCTTTCTTCCTCATATCCGCGCCACAACTGGCACCGCCTTCCATCACCTCCGAAACATTGCCAGACTATGGCACTACCTCACCCCTCACGCTGCTGAAACTCTGGTCCACGCCTTTATCACCTCAAGGCTGGACTATGGGAACTCGCTCCTCGCCGGCCTTCCCGGCACCTCCCTCCACAAGCTGCAGGTCATTCAGAACTCTGCAGCTCATGTACTGTCCCGCACCAGGCTTTGGGACCACATCTCTCCCAACCTCGCTCGCCTCCACTGGCTCCCCATCCCCCAGAGGATCGAATTCAAGATCCTCATCCTCACCTACAAGGCCATTCACGGCCTTGCTCCCTCCTACCTCTCCGACCTACTATTCCCCTACCTACCTGCCCATACCCTCCGTTCCTCTGGCTCCGGTCTGCTCCACATCCCCCGCCCCAACCGCCCTACCATCGGTGGCCGGGCCTTCAGCCTCTCAGCCCCTAGGCTCTGGAACTCTATCCCCCAGTGCCTTCGCCGCCTCCTCCCTTTCCTCCTTCAAGGCCGGTCTCAAGACCTTTCTCTTTGACCGTGCCTTCAGCTCCCCTCTCGACTCTCTACCCCCTCCTCGCTCCCTCCCTTCACCCTGACCATTTCCCCCCTTGCTCGGGTCCTGACCCAACTGTCTAACGCCTTGGGACGTCCTCCCGACGTATGTAGACATCAGATTGACATTTTTAAAAATGTAAATTTTTATGTGACCTCTGTCAAACAAATGCAGGTAGCATCTTCCAATAACTGCAGTGTTCACAAGATAGCCCGCATTGACTAGCATATAACCCTCAATCACAGAGACGTACAGGCTAGTGAATAAAATAATAATAATAATCCTTGTATTTGATATAGTACTGTTCACATTGGGAGGGCCTTTCAAAGCACCCTCACAGGATTTAGCTTTGCTGTGAAGTATATCGTGACTGTATTTTAAAGGCAAGCACAGGTTATCTCACAAACAGCACAGCTTGAACCGTGAAGGGATGCTCTTTAAACGGTGAGGCTCCTTTCATGATATTTCCTTCCCTTGTCCTGTTCTCACTGTAATTTTAGCAGTGAACAAAAATGAAACTCTAGTCACCCAAGGACAATTAACGGCTTTGACCCTTTTAGCTCCTGTGCAGGATGCTGGAAGCATACCTCTTTGTATGACTTGAATTACAGTTTGAAGATAAGTTAAATATAGAAGCTGAAGCTGGTAAGGTCCTATTTTGTTTCCAGATCAGGCCAGAGATGAAGCAGGACAATGAGGAGGAGGAGGATGAAGATGGTGAGACTGAATTGAATACAGAGGAAGAGGAGGAGGAGGATCTTTCAATCCCTGGTTCATCTTACATCAAACTGCTTTTAATGAGCTCACCTCCTGTATTCTGTGGTACGTACACAAGCTTGTAACTATTACTGTTGGGTGATACCCGATCGATTAATGAAAAGCAGTGGCCCTAGACTTGCAGTGAAATGTGTTCTAATTTGCCCAGGGATCCCAGTATTTTACAAAGGGAAAGACCTTGGGACCATATTTATTTACAATCTCTTCAAAGAGTCAAATACAGACTAGAAAGAAGCTTTGTTTTTAATGTAAATCAGAAATGCACCAGGAGCCTTTTGTCATTCTATGTCCACTTCAAGTATCCTGAACTTTGCTACTAAACACCTGTGAAACCCCAGTGACTCCTTTTGGATCTTTAGATGCGAAAGGTGGACTGTAATTCTGCACTTTCCCTTTGAACATGCAACGAGTGTTGTTGGAAAACAATCAGCGATTAAAGACTTCTGATTCAAATGAACTAATCCTGAAAAGGGCGAAGTATTTGCCTGCTTCCCTCACTACGTATTGCTAATGTGGGCTGTTGACTCATTCTCTCTTTCTTTCTTCCTCCCTATCCACGTTCACTTCTCTTTAAAAAAAGTTAAGATTATTAAATACACTTTATTTGAAAATTAGGAAGCATAGCTGCTAAACGTCACTGTATCTTACAGTAATTCCTGTGAAGCTCTTTGAGATATTTCAACAACATGATAAGGCGCTATGATCACCCAAATAAAATTGGTCAATTCACTTCGCTCCTGTTTATGGGACATTGCACAAACTTGTCTGCTGCGTTCGTCTACAAAATACAGTCACTACACTTTACAGTATATCCTATGAAGAGCTTTGACACATCCTCTTGATGGGAACAGCAATTTATCAGATGTATTATATCAAGTTTGAGAATTATTAAATGCACTGGAATGTAATAAGATAATTCTGCTGGATTTAGCCATGAGCAAGAAAAATGTTAAATGGCTCTAAATTTGTCAGTGTTTGCTTCAGTACTCTGTTTTGTATTTTTATCAAACTTGGTGATTGAGTACTGGGCTCCACTCAGAATGGGTGGCATATAGGAAAAGTGTCCAAATGTGGAGGCTTAAAAATATTTCATGAAGACTAGACACTAAAAGATGTTGCCTTCACATAGTTAAATGCTTTATTTTAAGAAAACTGGATTGTTTAGCAGTTTTAAGTATCAGTGATGTTAATTCATTGCAAGATGCCAGTCTGTAGCATAAACTGTGAATGATGTGAAAGCATTGAGTATCCTCTTTGAAGCATCTGGGTTATACTTGGTTTCTGTAACATGGGTCAATTACTAATGAAGTGATATTAATAATCCTTGCATTTGATATTGTGATATATTGCACCTTATCACATTGTCAGTCTCAAAGCTCTTCACAGGGTTTACTGTCAATTGTAGTGACTATATTTATATGTGAAATTCAAATTTTTAATTCAATTTTTAATTGAATATTTTCATTTTAAACCTGACCGATTGTTTGCTAGGACACCAGGAGAAATTCCCTTCTGCTTTTTGAATAATTCTTTAATAAGATCTTTAATGCCTACATGAATAGGCAGGTGGGATCTTGATTTAACATCTCATCCAAAGGACGGTACTTCCAACAATGCATTGTTCCCCCAGCAATCCACCGGAGTGTCAGCTGAGACTGAGTTCAAACTCTCAATATGGGGCAGGAATCCATGACCTTCTGAGTCAGAGGCGAGAGTGCTACAATCTGATTTTGTACAGTCCTTAGAGATGTTTGTTTTTATGTGAACAGTGCTGTATAAATGAAAGTTATTATTAAAATCGTATGCACATTTAATTTTTTTAAAATAAATTTGGTGGGAATTGTCTACAGATCAAAAAGCAGTCGAAAATTGAATAATTCTTCCACATTTTGAAAGGTTTTGGTTTGAGAATCCTCCGAGTTGTAACATTCCCTGCAATTTCCCCTACGGTGTTTTGTGGAAGTATTTACTGATTTTACCATCCTCAAACCCGTAACCAAAATAGCACATGCAATTTTGTGACTTGAATGTGTAAGGTTTTTTTCCCCAAAAAAAGTTTGCGATTAATTGTCTTTATTATACAAGCTCCTCGAAAAAGAAGGATGCACATTCTCCCTGTGTACGGTCCCATTATTCTTTGCACTTGTTTGTCCTGAGGCCAGGGATAACAGTGCAGCAATTGATGAAACATTAATCATCAGCACAATGAAGGGTTAAAATCATTTGTCTCATCAATGGAGCATCTGACATCACTTACTGGCAGCTTCCTGAAGAGCAGTTTTTGTGGGGAGGTGAACTCAAAGTCAAGATAACACATGGGAGTAATTGTCTTGACCGTGCTATTTATGTTTGAACTTGCAGTTACTGATTTTTGTCATTCATGACAGCCAGAAATAGTAGTTCTTTGACCTTTTCTTGCAGCTTTGGAAGAGTTTTTCTCATCCCTTGTGAACCAAGAATTATCTACGATGCCCCGTGGGGTGTATCATTCAGCGCTCCGGGGAGGAGCTGTGCGCTCTGACCAGGGGAAGACTGTATCAGGCATTCCCAGCTTCATGCTTAAGACTTATGAGAAGAATAAACAACCTGGACTGAAGTCTGGCCTAGCAGGTGAGCGAGCGCTTGGTTGTCTTTGACAAAGAGCTGTGGGCAGGAAGTCATAGTGCCAGAGGAATCGCAAATCGAAGGGATGAATTCATTTATCATTTCATGTTCATCATCTGTGTCATTTATCCTTCAGCTGTAAAATAAAAATTATTATTGCTGCCTTTCCACCTGCCCCCACGCACAGGTTGTATAGTTACAAACCAGCAGGGCTCACAAGATTATGAGAGGTTTGGATGAGGAAAGCTCTTTGGTCTATTTAACTCATCTTTCAAGAATAATCATCCTACCATCACAGCATCAAGCTGTTTCTTAAATGAGTCCAGGATCCTGGTCTTACTTCAGTCTCCCTGGCAATGAATTACAGGTGTTGTTTATTCTGTGTATAACAAAATGCTCACAAAAGTATGGGGATGAATGCTGAAATTCAAATCTGTAGGGTATTGTCGAGCGAGTACTTGGCTGACTTAAGGTGAGCTCCCTCATTGTCGGAGTCTGTCGGTTGCACTAATGTAATGTATTTCTTACTAACGTTTTTACATTGTTGTGTGCAATGCCATATCCAATGTTTTGTCAATCAATTCCTAGTCAATGTTCTGCCGTTTTTCTTAACATGTTTAATTCCTTCCGCTGGCTCTGGGCACCTTCCAGGTCTAAAACATAGAAGAGCTAGGAATAGGGCATCTGAGAGCTGAAATTCAAGTTGATTGAGGATGTTGGTCAGAATGGTATTTCTCCCATTACAACCACTTATTGCTAAATGTGTTAAAAAGGTGTTAAATACAACTGGAATTTCCGCTCTCTGGCATTATCAATGATATGTTGGGATGGATGTGTGATTTGTAAGCCTATGGATCCAAGTTTGAGGTCCTCCAAATACCACACACTTGATCACCTTTAGCAAAAAATCGGCTAAACATTCAGCCCGTGTGACGGCTGTTTCGCCAGACAGTCTGGTCTGTCATCAGGAGTGCCCTAGATAGCTGATGACAGACCAGTTGGGGATGCCCAGTTAGATCCTGAATATGCTATGTGTTACCCTGGCTCAGTGGTAGCACTCTCACCTCTGAGTCGGAAGGTTGTGGGTTGAAGTCCCACGTCGGAGCTTGGAATCACATAGTCTAGGCTGACACTCTAATGCAGTGCTGAGCGGGTGTTGCATTGTCGGAGCTACCGTCGATCTGATGACATGTTAAACCAAAGTCCCATCTGCCTGTTCAGGTGGACGTTAAAGATCTCACACCACTATTCGAAAAGAGAAGTGAGTTTGTCCCAGTGTCCTGACCAACAAATACCCCAAATAAAATAAGTCACTCACTCCATGGCTGTTTGTGGGATATTGCTGTGTGCAAACTGCCTGCTGCAGTTTGCCCACAAAACACAGTCACTCCACTTTACAGTATATCCTGTGAAGCACTTTGAGATGTCCCAACGATTTCATAAGGCGCTATATCAAATCAAAGATTGTTATTGTATCTGCTGAAAGTGAGTCGCCCACTTACAGGGTTTCTTCCTTTCTTGCAGCTGGCTTGTTGCTTTGTTATGATCTTCATATCCAGACGGACAGGGACGGCAAGCCGATCAATCGGTTCCTTGTTAGTAGGGGCCGTAGTTACCAACAGATGCTGGCAGCACTTATCCATGAGGTAAGGTTCTGTACACAACAGATTAACTAACTCAGTGGGTCTGAAGATCAAAATATGCACTGCTTATAGTTGCCAATGATCACAAATATAGGCTCCAGATTAGACCTCATGTTTGGCTAGTACACACAATCCAATATCAATTCCTGCATGTAATCCATGTTTTTTTAAATGTCCAAGTGCATTATATCAGTTTTTGAGCACCGAATGGACTCTGCATATCTTCAAAGAGACAAGCGTGTCTTCAAAGAGCTGATGAAAAGTTTGTTTAGATGTCTTTGCCACTAAGCATAAGAGTAGAATTTGAGGATTCTGTGGGGTCCCACATTGTTTGTTCCTGCGCCTGCTTCCCACAGTTGCTTTAGCTTGTTTTGTCAGCCTTTGCATTGTCTTTGCCCAAGTGCACCGCTCTGTGATTGAGGGTACAAGCAGGAAGCCTGTGTTAAAGCCTGTGCTCGTTTTGTATTAGCTGCCAGGAAGTGGGTAGAAACGGTGCACTTTGAATCTTTCACTGCAAGTTTTGTGCCTGTGTTTCACCTGCCCCCACATTGTTAAAATAGTTCCCTCCAGTTGAAATTCAGAACATTTAATTTTCAAATATAGTCATTGATAATTCACTTTCTGGCTGTATCCTAGACTGTGAACTTAGAATCCTGTGTAGAACTTGAACCTTGTTTGAAGCTTCAACCTTGTCACAGAGATGCGGGAATGCTGTCAGATGAGCCTGTTCTTTTGCTAATCTGTTTTGGTTTTATAAACTAAAATTCAAATAGTTGTTACTCTGGGCGGTCATTGAATCCGTAATTGGAAATATGAAAACCAGAACAATTCAATGGGTGATTTGGATGATGGTTTATGCCCCTCTTTATAATATCACTTGCTTGAAATCATTTTGTTTCTGATCATAACTGAAAAGCTAGCCTCGGTTTGCACCTTGTGTGACACAGCGCTTATTACAATTAAAGATATGATGGTTGCAATAATTGCCTGTGTTTTCGTTTAATTTCACAACTTCAAAACAAAATCCACATCTTAAATATCTTAAATATTTTGCTTATGATGATTGAAATAAATGTTCTTATAATTTTTTTTATTCTAGGTGCCTATCCAGCCGTCTGAGTGGCATAAATCCATTTTGCTCCCACAGGCATGGCTGGGATTCATGACTAGAACATACCAGGCAGTTTTACAGGTAAATTGTAGGAAATTACAATCCTAGCAATCAGAATTTTTCCCAGGCCTTGCCACATTCTTCTAAATAAAATTAAAAAGAATGTTCTGTACATTTTTTTACAATGCTTGTGACCAACAATTATCCACCAGAAATGTTATAATTTCACAAAATATGGTTAGGTAAAGCTGTTTAGACTTCGAGTCCATCAAGATGACTCAGAGAGGACCTTATAGAAGTGTATAAAATTTTAAGTAGGATTTAAAAAAAGTAAATCCAGATCAATACTTTAGGATTCAGCAAGACAGTCAAACAAGAGGACATAGGTTTACAGCTATAAAGAACAATTTCAGGACAGATGCCAGGAAATTTTTCTTTGCTCAGAAGGTAATTAACAACAACAACAACTTGCAATTATATAGTACCCTTCACACGGTGTAGCATCTCAGAGCGCTTAACTGTGTTGGAACCTGACTCCGAGCCAGAGACTGTGTCAGTCTGGCTCAGTTTGAAGCACTCTTGCCTTTGAGTCAAAAGCTTATGAGTAAACTGCATTGTCGGAGGTGCCAACCTTTGAATGAGACATTAAACCAAGATCCTGTTTGCTTGTCCAGGTGGATGTTAAAAATCCAGTGGCACTATTTGAAGGAAATTTCTCCCAGTTCCCTGGCCAACAATCCCCGAAATAAAATTGGTCTCTCAATCCATGGCTTTTTATCGCCTAGAAGATACACAATCAATCCACTTTACAGTATACCCTGTGAAGAGCTTTAAGACATCTCAATGATGTGATAAGATGCTATATCAAATGTAAGCATTATTGTTATATATTACATCAATGACTGAACAGATTGCAAGGTTGATGGGCTGTATAGCCTGTTCCTGTACTGCGATATCCTAATAGTTAATCCCACCTTAAAACTTACCTCTTTCAACCATGTTTATGAACGCCTGCCCTTCCCCCTTCTTACCAGTTCAGTGTCCAACCTCTTCCAGACATTATCCTACTTAAAGGGTGCTATGTGAATGCAAGTTGTTGTAGTTGATACTAAGTTGGGACGCCTCCTGCTGCTAAACATTAACAGTGACAATATTGACATTTGATTTAGGACCCTTTTCCATTGAGTTTCTTTGAAGTTCAGTGGCTGTTGTGAAAGCGATAGCAACAGATGTCCTGTGCCAGCATTGTCCCACAAACGGCTGTGAGAAGAATGATCAATTACTCTGTTTTTGTTTTGGGATGGGATGGGGGATTTGGATAAAGGAAGAAAATTGACCAGGAAACAGGAAGATCTCCCTACTTCTTGAAAATAGTCCTTAATATCCACCTTGCTGGTGGTTATAATAATAATAATCCTTGCACTTGATACAGCGCCTTATCACGTCGTTGAGACATCCCAAAGCACTTCACAGGATATACTGTTTAAGTGGATTAACTGTGTATTTTGTGGCAATAACAAAGTGGCTTGTTAGGGTTCTGGGAGCAGATTGGCTTCCCACTCTCTTGATGCGCTTTCTGATGGTGCGTTAAGGAGAGGACTAACATAAATCAAGGAGGTTTGCAATAGCTGCCACACAGTAGTTCTGTTTCTTTTAGTTTGTGTAGTTGAGTTGTTTCATTTTAAATTTACTGCAAGCTTATTGCCTCTCTGTGTGAACTGATCTACAGTTTCCTCCTGTCTGTGATCACTAAGCATTTCAGTGTGGAAGAGTGTGGTGTGATTGATGCTCTTTGTCTGTAGGGGAGACAGGCTGAGCTGGAGATGCAACAGAAGCATGGCAAGGATGATCCTGAGGAATTGCAGTACAAACAATTTATATCTTGGCTCTGGTAAGAAGTTTTGGGTGGGAGGAACTCTATTTGATACATATTGTGTGTGGATATGTGTAATATTATTTATATTGGACGTTTGCTAACAAAAATATTTCACATTAAATCCTACAAAGCTATTTGCGAAGTCCTCCTGACATGAAAGGTGCTATATCAAATGTAAGGCTTATTATTGTTATTATTTTTATTAGACTGAAGTTAACTTGGTTCTTTTTATTCTCTGCCAATTTTCTCCCTTCTCCCCCTGATTCCTCTTCCCTTCGGCTGATGTACAGTTTCACAGGCTCTGTAATCACTCTCTGGTTCAAATGCCCAGTATTGATATAAGCTACTCAATGGGAAGCATTGGTGGGTTTATTCTACCATGTGAGGGGCATCACAGTCGCGCTCCCCATCATGAGCACACAAACACTTTCTGGAGTGCGTGTGTCTGGAATGTAACCAAGAACACTTTTTTTTCACCTCTCTCTAGCCCAGTGGCAATGAGGGCAGTTGTAGCATCCCAATTACTGAGATTGTTGAACCATCTCAAATCACTTCACAGGATTTTACTGGAAAGTGTAGTGACTGTGTATTGCTAGGCAAACACTACCAAATTGGTACGCTAGTTTGATGCACAGCAATGTTCCACTAAAAACTATGAAGTGATTGACCTATTGCATTTGGGGGATTATTGGCCAGGACACAGAGAAATTCCCTTCTCTTTTTGAATAGTGTCATGGGATCTTTAACGTCCACCTGAACAGAAGCCGAGCCATCAGCTTGTTTCATCTGAAGGATGGCACCTCTGACAATGCAGCACAAGCCCAGCACCCTGTTGGAGTGTCAGTTTAGACTATGAGCTCAAAGTCCTGACATGGAGCTTATTGTGTGCCACCATGTGCTCAGAGGCAATTACAGGAAGCATTATGCAATTATATAATTAAGAATTATGTAGTTGACAGCCAATGAAGAGGATTTATCTATCCCACTGTTGAAATTTATACAATGCAATTTACAGAACCTTTCACGTCAAGAGGATGACTCAAAGCGCTTAAATTGGCGAACAAGAAAGTTTTTCATTTGGCCCAATGTACATGATTCAGGAAGTGATTTGTTCTGCAGACCACTAATCCACTGTGTAAATCATAAGGTGAAGGTGTGCATTGTTATTGGTTGTAGTACACTTGGGCCATTTTTGAGTTACTGTAGAACGTGCCTTGTGCCTTATTGCTCTTTTAGGGATGAGGAGCAAGCGAGGGGAGGAGAAACAAATCATGCCTGTCAAGCTTTGCAATATGTTAGGAGCCTCAAACGAAGCAATATATTTTCTATCTCTGAGACTCCAAGGTGAAAAACATATGGAGACGGTCTTTGAAATAAAATTCCTTCATACCATAGCGTGTGAGAAGTCAGGAGCTACGCCACTTTAAGGATGATCCTCCAGCCCTGAGTAGCTTGAGAATGACATCTCCACTTTTTGAAGGGTGGCAAAGGGAAGATTTTGTTCCGGGAAGGTTTTTTTTGTAAAGTTATATTAAAGGACCCTTAAAAGTCTGTTTTTAATCCACAAATTAAAAACCCAGATAATATTGTTTTCCCTGGGTCTATGTTTTTTATGCCAAAAAAAGGAGAAAACAAATTGTATTTGGAGGATTGCTGGCCAGGACACGGGGAGAAATTCCCCTCTCTTTTCAATGTCCACCTAAACAAGGCAGACAATACCTTAGTTTAATGTCTCATGCAAAGTACGGCACCTCCAACAATGCAGCACATCCCTAGCCCTGCATTAAGTCTTAAGGCTAATGTCAGTCTAAGAGTAACCGAGTTCCAAGAAACGACGTGGTGCTCGAACCCACAATTTCAAACTCAGACGTGAGAGTGCTACATAGTGAGCCAGGCTGACACAAATAAGTAAAATAAGTAAACTTTACACGTAAGTGCAATTGGGCTCACAATGTGGTGCATGGAAACAACTGTATGTGCACTATCTCGACCTTGGAACAAAAGTTTGGTTAATTTGTTTCTTTAAATGAAATTGAAATTTGGCAAAAAAAATTCCAATTAGACTTTCATCAAAAAAAGACACTTGTCGGTAAAAAAAAACATTATTGGTCCTTAAGTATTATGAATAAATACTAAGAACAAGGTCAGGTGGAGGATCCAGGTAATTGTTTCAAATTTTATTTTTAAACAGGGTTCGGGACCTGCTTACAGATGTGGTCAAATCAGCATCAAAGTAAGGAAAACTGGATTAGTTCAATCCAGCATATTTATTCCACAGATACTAGACACGAACACCAATTTACATTTATATAGTGCCTTTCACTTCAAGAGGATATCTCAAAGCGTTTCACAGATCTGAACAAAGCTGGGAGGGGGGAAGAGGAGGAGGTTGCTGAGGAAGGTGGGAAAGATGACCAAAAGTGTGACCGATAGTAGGTTCTTTAATTCCGTAATTAATGGCATACGTAATTCCCCTGTAGACCTGAATTTATACATGGCACAGAATACAACTGCCCTTGCACATAGTTTACATGTGGTGCATAATAGTGCCAAAAGGGGGAAGCGCTCAGTTTTCCAGCACTAATATCTCACAGTTGAGTACAGAATTTACCACAAAGAAAGAGAGAGGGGAAAGAAAACACTTCTGCATCAATTATGATATTCCTGCTCCCACACACCAGGAGTTGGTATGACCAGAGATTGCTACTCAGTTGCAGGCGATGAACCTTCATGTAACTGTGTACAACTACACGAACTCCTTTCGCATTGAACATTGTTAATCAGCAGAGAAAGCAGACTTTCATACTCACAGTCTGGGCAGAATTCAAACACTGGTAGCAATAGTGAAAGAGTTATTATTAGCCCACAACACCATTCTGACGTCAGTCTGAGTCTTTTTTTTGATAGGGAATTGGAGTATACATAGAATTTATATTAATGCAATGCCTTTAGCATCAGGAGGATGTCTCAAAGCATTTGAAATGACATCAAGGAAGTGACTGTTTCTTTCATTCTATTATTAATACTTTGCCAGTGACGGAATGGAAACTACTTTGTTTGATGTTGCCTTTGCATTTGGTTAACAGGGACAGTCCTGTGGTACAGGGTAATTCCATCCTAGCTTTGACTGGACTAGCTGTAACAGTGGCCAAGTACGAAAGTAGCTTGCCAGCCGAATCGGATGACGTGCCTGAAGTAAGTCAAAGGATTGTGATTTCAGTTTGTAACAGCTGCTTTATGCTTTTTCTGTTTGTGGTGTACACTGTAGCCTGGCTTTCTGCAGGCAAGCCAGTGTCTCCCAGGACCTCATTCCTCTATAACGGATTACTAGCGACTGCAGGATAGAGTTCTGGGACAGGCTTCTCTTTTGTGTGGAAAAGGGGGTCTTTGTGCAATTAAAATAACCATGAATGTTGCAGTTCCATATTTTGTTCTCTAAATAATTTACATTTAATACACTGTCACAAAACATCTATTGTAAAGTGCAGTGACAGTGCATTTCATGCGCAGCCAATTTGCGCACAGCAATGTCCTACAACCAGCCATTAAGTGAATGACCAATTTTATTGGGAGATTGTTGGGGAGGACACCCGAAGAAACTTCCTTCTCTTTTTTGAATAGTTCCATAGGCTCTTTAATGTTCCCCTGGACAGGGAGACAAGACTATTCGAAAAGAAAAGGAAGTTTCTCCTGGTGAGTTGGTCAACAATCCCCCAAAATAAAATTGGTCATTCACTTTATGACTGTTTGTGGGATATTGCTGAAGGACAGGAGCTCCAACAATGCAGCACACTCCCAGCACTACACTGGAGTGTCAGCATAGACAAAAAGAGTGCAAAGTCCCATCATGGTGCTTGAACCCACAACCTTCTGACTCGGGCAAGATTGCTACCAACTGAGCCAGCCAGACTGACACGGCTGACAGATATCACTTTATGTTTATTCATCACATGGTTTCTCTGTCTCTCTCTCTCTCCCCTCTTTCATCCATACAGATTGGATGTGAGATTTTACTCACCCAGCATTGGATTTCTATGGTGGTGGAGACATTGTTGAGCATCGTGGACAATCGCTATCGTCCAAAGGGCCGGATCTTCCCCTGGTTCCAACACGTAAGGCTTTTTCGCAGTTCTCTTCACACTTCACATTGGATGCACAGCAATATATCTGTGTGATTAAGTCAGCGAGCACATACACTCAAGTGGTCTTAATGTTTCAGGGCTTGTCTGATCTGAGTAAATTGGGATGATATTCGGGAGGTTGTGAGATGATCTGATTTAGGTGTTATAAATAATGAAACGTATCGACAAAGCAAATGGTGAATAACACTCATTCTAATTGGGAAATCCAACAGAATAGGATATATTCTTTAAAATTAAGTCTTTAAGAATGATTAAAAATTGGCTTCCAAATTAGTTGAGAAATTTAAGCATTTTCCAAAATTTTGTATGATTTTCAATCTTAAAACAACAACAACAAATTACGTTTGTATAACACCAATGATGGTTTTAGAGTAAACCAGGCAGAATTTGGGGTCTTATAAATTTTCTTTTTAAAACGAACATACAGCACATTCTGTGTGACTTCTCCATAGCGTGTTGTGATAGTCCAGATGTTTTCGGGAAAAATGAGTTGGCAGAAGAGGAATAATCTGGTGCTTTCTATTAAAAACAATATTGTATTCAAAGAGAACTTTGGGGATGAAAATTGAGGCAAAATAATTTATCTAGCAAATGTAAGGCACAAACTTGGTATGACGTGAACGATCCTGGACACAATGACAATGAATTCAGCTGAACATAATTAGACCATCCTCATGGCCTTAGCTGGAGTGTGGTGGTGGCACTCGGGACCTATGGAGAGAATCAGATAGAATTGAATTGAATCAGATGTAATTTACAAGGGGTGAGAGATGGATTGTAAAGTGGTGGCATCTTTACTGGGGAAGACGGTAACAAGAAGCCTGTTTAATACTTAACTTGGTGATTTTGCATTTCTGATTGTCGCAGAGGTCGTACTCTGGTGAGAACAAGGCCAGTGCCATCGCTCGTTCCTGTGCCACCACCGCCCTGACTCTGCTGGTGCCGGTCCTGATCACGTCGCGCAGAGAGAGCATCGAGGAGGTCCTGAGCATCCTGACCTCAGGGTTACCGGGGAAGCCAAGCGCCGACGAGTCTCAGGCAGTTCAGTTCCACACGGGGCTGGCCACGGGAATGTTCCTATCACGCCTGTACGAGGAGAGAGTCAGGTAATTACTGTGGTCTCCAAGCCTCCCCTCCATTTGAACTTTCCACAATTTGTGTTTAACCTTTTTAACAAGTGTTTTGTTTTCTTCCACGGATAAGCCTGGTTGCGAATAAGATCTTTCAGCAACAATTAGATTCTTCATCATAACAGTACATTCCATATCTGCCAAACGTTGGATGTAAGATGCTTAGCAAAGAGCTGGTGTCCTGTGAATCACCAATTGTATCCCACGAGCCAGAATTCATGGACACCCCGATTGGGAATGGCATTGGGTGGGGGGGTGGTTGTGGGGGGGATGATTGTTCCATCTCCCACATCTCATGTCCATTCAACAGGATAAATATTTACTCCTTCATCATATCCAGGCTGAATTCTCTTGCTCAGTCTCTCTCTCGCCCTCTGTATCTCTCTCTCACTCCATGTGTGTCTCTCTCTCTCTCTTGCACTCTGTCTCTCTCGCTCTGTCTCTCGTGCTGTTTCTCTCACGCTCTTATAGCTCAGTCCCGTGGAGTCCTGTAGCTCAGTGGTTAGAGCTCTCGCCTCACAAGCGAGAGACCTGGGTTCGATTCCCAGCAGGGCAAAACCTTGGGCAAGTTTCCTTACTCCACACACCTGATAATAATCCCTCAAAAAAATCAATAATAAATTGGTCATTTCAATCCACGACTGTTTGTGGGACACTGCTGTGCGCAATTGGCTGCCGCGTTTCACTCACAAATATACAGTCAATTAATTCACTTCGCAGTATATTCTGTGAAGCACTTTGAGACGTCTAGAAGACGTGAAAAGCGCTATATTAAATGCAAGGATTAATATTATCTCCTTCTCTCGCACTCTTGTCTCTCTCTCTCCTGCTCTCTATATCTCTTGCCCTCTCTCTCACTCTGTCTCTCGCTATCTTGCTCTGTCTATATCTCACTCTTTATCTCTCTTGCTTTTTCTCTCGCGCTTTGTCTATCTCTTGCTCTATCTTTCTATGGTCTCTCTCTCTCACTATTTGAGCGCATTGGGACATCCTCCCGACGTGAAAGGCGCTCTATAAATGGAATGTTGTTGTTGTTCTCTTGCCCTGTCTCTCTCTCTTACTTTCGTTCTATCTGTCTTATCTATCTCTCTCTCTTTCTCTCTCATCAATTCTCACAATTATTTCTCCACAACCAACAAAAAAAAAGTGGAGATCAAAACCTTTGCACTGTTTAGCAGGAGTTTGTGGATAGGTGCAATAAATTGACAAAATGGCATTTCAGATGATGTCCGAGACTCCAGTAGCTTTGTAAAAGATGCTGGATGTGTTGTCAGTGCAAGTGCAGTTGCGCACTGCAATGCAAACTAAAATAAGGTGCAAACAAAGAATAATATTCCAGATAACAGAAGCTATCTAGAATTGGCGTTAATTTTGAATTCTTAATTTCCTCTACGGCCGCTTTTTTTCCCTCTCCCCCCGCCACCATCCCCAATTTTGTTTTGTCCAAATGAAGTTAGAAAGTTAAATGTATATCCATTGATACTATATTGTGCATTAAATTACTGAATGCACAGAAGCAGAATCCTGTACGTGAAATAGAAACAATGTAAAGATTACAATGTTTGTTGTATTGTCTCATTGCAGTGACGTCTCAGGGCAGAAGATGAACCTGCTGCTCATGAAGTCCCTTGATGCTCTGGAGAAATGCTGCTTTGACACAAGCTTGGAATATAAGTATGGTTTCAGCTGTCAGATTTTCCCTTCTTCCTTCCTACTATCTATTGCTCTCGCTCGGGCACTAGCTCTCTCGCTCGCCGGGCACTAGCTCTCTCGCTCGCCGGGCACTAGCTCTCTCGCTCGCCGGGCACTAGCTCTCTCGCTCGCCGGGCACTAGCTCTCTCGCTCGCCGGGCACTAGCTCTCTCGCTCGCCGGGCACTAGCTCTCTCGCTCGCCGGGCACTAGCTCTCTCGCTCGCCGGGCACTAGCTCTCTCGCTCGCCGGGCACTAGCTCTCTCGCTCGCCGGGCACTAGCTCTCTCGCTCGCCGGGCACTAGCTCTCTCGCTCGCCGGCACTAGCTCTCTCGCTCGCCGGGCACTAGCTCTCTCGCTCGCCGGGCACTAGCTCTCTCTCTCTCTGTTTTTCTTGCCTTTTGTCGCTCTTGCTCTGTCTCTCTTTCTGTTTCTCACCCTTTCTTGCTCTGTCTTTCTCGCTCTCTTACTTTATCTCTCCCATGCCACCATTCAAACACAGAACCTTTAATAGTTTGAAATGTGTACATCTTTGCATTTCCAAACACTTGAGGGTTTTGTTTTGTGTTACGAGACGTTACCCTGCTGCTGTCTTTTCACTGCAGCTCAAAACATTCAATGAGCAGTTCCTTGTTTACAAGGGATTTGTAACTCTGAGAGCAGAGAGCCTGCCCCTCCCCTGTGTACTGAGACTCTGGACTGCTCCACAGTTCTGTTCCTCTATGTTGTGGGAAAGCAGGGGATGTGTTAAAAGAACTTACCTTGTTATCATTTCTCCATTTCTAGGGAATGGGATTCCTTTGGGCTGTGCCCCAGAGGCAAAAATACCAACTGCAATGAACCCCAGTTAACTGCTAATTCTACTTCATATATAGCCATTCGCTGAGACAATTGATTCATTCAAAAGGGAATTGAATAAGGAGGAGTGAAAACATAGGTGTCAGGCAAGCTTGGTTGGTCGCACTCTCACCTCTGAGTGGGAAGGTTGTTGGTTCAAGCCCCACTTCAGGATTACGAACTCATAGTCTAGGACAGTGATGGGAGAGCATTCCATTGACAGAGGTACCGTCCTTCGAATGAGATCCCTTGATGCTATTTGTGAAGAGAAGGCAATTTCTCCTGGTGCCCTGTTCAAAAATTCCCCCTAAATAAAATTTGTGATTCACTTCAAAACTGTTTGTGGTATATTGCTGCACGCACATTGACAAACAATTTTGCCTAGAAATACACTAACTATACAAAAATCCTGAGATGTTTGATGTGATAAGGTGCAGCATCAGATGCAAGGATTATGGGGAAAGAGCATGATTAAAATAAAAACTTAACAAAACCTAGGCAACCACAGCACAGAACGATGTGTTTCTTTCTGTGCTGAAATTTCCTGTTTGTTATTCTTAAATGTCAGTGCAGAACAAGGAATGTGGGCTTCCCGGAAGGTGTTGCAAGATCACAATATTGGTCTGGATGAAGAAGGCCCTTCCAACGTATTAAGATACATTTCTTGAAACCTTGCAACAACTTCTGCTATAGATTTTAATGATGTTTTGTTGCTTCTATGTTTGCAGTACAGGAGCCATCCTGGGAGTGGGGCTGGTTATATCCCTCATGAGTCACAGCAGCCAAACGGAGTCCCGTGTGCATGTCTCTATCACCCTCGACAAACTCTGTAACCGTTTGGATGAGAGTGCGACTGAGAGCAGGACGCTGCAAGAGGTATGACTGTTATTTAGGTTCTCATCTCTGTTGGGGCTGGAAAAAAACCTTTCATAACGTGATGTAAATTGTAGCATTGAATGTAACAATACCAACCCCCACTTAAATAACCTGGACCAAAGCAGAAACTTCTGTAAGAAATGTATAGAGCCTCTTTCAAATGCTTCATAGTTCTAGGTAAATACTGTTCCATAAAAGCAGCACTTTGTCTGGTTGTCTTAATGACAGGATCTCGCCTCTTATCCTCACCCCAAAACTCTTTACCTTTTCTTCACCCCACCCCACCCCCGCCAAACTAAAGACAATAGACAAAAAGTTTACAGTGGAGCCTAATGTATGTCGATTCATAGCAGGAGTTGCTGACTCCTGCCAGGGACGAGAGTATGTCACACCAAGCTGCGGGCACTCCACTCTACCACAACCTACTTCCAGATACAGAGATCCTGTGGGTCAGGATGACACATGTCTGGTTACCAGCATGAAGCGCTATTAGGAACTCCGCTGTTGCACGTAGATTCTTACCAAGTTCTTGGTAAGTTCACCCTCATCCTCCCTGTTTACCTGAGCCAGTCAGGATTGAAACTGCACATACAAAAGTGGGGAAACCTGACCTCTGCCCTGAGTCCCAGATGTAACAGGTTTGAAACTGCCTTGGGTCTCCGCTGTTTCTTTTTAATTTCAACACATGCCACAATAAATGTGTTTTAGGAAGTTATATAATGTATGGAATGCAGCATGAATGTAAAACGATGGTTATTTCTTGTACCAAGGAAAGGTTGTGCAATTGTTTACAGGGATATATGTCTAGGATTATATCCAAGATACTTTAAAACTTTGGTTGTGCTTCTTTAAGTGATTTTTTTGTTTCCAAAAATATGTTGCCCAGCTCCCATGCCTAAGCAAGTTGGTAAAGGCTCAAAATTTTTCAAGGTTCAATACCCAGACTGGGCGAGTTAGCTGATCTTTCTGGACCCGCAGTTGTTCACATTTAGCCTCAGGAATCCTGGGAAAAGGGGTGGGGAATAAAGCTAAGCATCTGAACTAGTCTTGAACATCTTCTGGCCCCAGGAGACCATTGGCTTCGCATGTAGTGAGCTGTGAATTTGATCACTTAACTTCTGACACTGGATTGTGTAAACTGAACCAGTCAGTGAGATTGTCATAAACATCACCTTTTGTTCTCAGGTACTGGCCTATTCAGTGGCCTGTGTGACTGTCTCTGCTTTCAATGCTGGTATCAAACAAGCCAATGAGGTCGAAGAGATCATGAACAAGCTGCGATCTCTGACCGAGCAAAACCAACAGGTCCGTTTTAATTGTGTTCTTGTGCCCACAATTAGACGTTGTAAAGTTTCACCTAGTCTTAGCCTGTAAGACCATTTTGTCTTGATACTTCAAAGGATGCAGAATTGTGGAAAGATTCTCCATTTTTCATTTTTAAGATACTTATTTTTAACAATTATTCAATAAAGGCTGAATTTAGGAATTTACAGAGTTTACTACAATTCTGCAGGATCTTTATTTCCAAGATTTTTTAATTTTAACAGGTTAAGACTAGATTGAATTTCAGAGCTTTGGAGTTACATTATTATATAAAATGTTTGATATTTTTAAAATTCTGTCTTTAACCGTGTTAATATAAAATGCTTGTGAATCAAAGCTGTGTCTCAGCTAACAAGGAGATGAGTGCCCTCACATCTCAACGTGATGCACGGTATCTTGTGAGGGACACTGACTGAAGTGGGTTTCCGTCAGACAAACTTGTTGCAAATCCTGGTCAAAGAAGACTAGAGCTCCAACCATGATGTGAAGTGTGCTTATACTTGGACATTGTATGGAGATTGGAGCAGGGAAGACCTGGGCGTGGATGATTGATTTGGGATCAGGACTCCTATGAAGATCCTATGAAAGGCTTGGTAAAGGGGTGTGCTGGAGATTCCCCTAAGTTGTTACTTCAGTCACCAATCCATCAACCCCTATTTTCGAGCCCTGCTTTCCATTTCTGTATTCAGATCCCTATCCAGCAAGCAATCAAATCTGCACGGATAAATGCATATTATTCATGGCGTACACTGTCCACATCAATTGCTCTGAATATTATCATTTGACCGTTTTATTCTTAGACTTCAGGATTTGCTTTGGCTCTGGGAACAATAGTTCATGGGCTGGCAGTCTGTGGCCATGGCAAAGCTGAAGACCTCAACAACCGACTACTTTCTGCTTGGCTGAAGATTCTCCTGGCTGAGGTAAGGCTAACAGATCAACACTGATTAAAATCAGCCTGTTCATACTATTCCTTTAGATCTCTCCATCGGTTCAGGATCTGCTGAAATACAGGGCAAACCCCGTTATATTCTGGATCTATTGTCCCAGCTACTGCAATGTAAGCAAAGCTTCCAGGTCATCAGGTCATCGCTGATCCTGCCGCGGTCATTGCTGATGTTGCCGCTGACATCACTTCTTGCGCATTGCACATGCGCACTATCACAAGAAACCCCACTAACGTAGGGGACTTGTCACAAAGACAATTGTGATCACAAACCCTGGGTTTTGATACATCTGAACTAATAGGATGAAAAGATAATTTTTTCCATCTTACTTGAAATATCTTAAGCAAATTTTGTTTGAAAGAGTAGTTTGTTTCACAGTTTGCAAAATTAACCATTTGCCATGAATTAATTCAAAAACAAATCTCAAAAGTATGAAGTTTTTGGAATCAAGAAATTATTGTTCAAACTCACATCTACAGCTCCAAAGATATGCTGCATATATTTAGGAACTGGTATGCTATGCGGTTGATTACGCCTGATTTAATGGATTTACTATTTACAGTCTATGCAGGCAAGCCGATGTCCGCGATAGCCTCTCAGCTCATCTTGTTAAAGTGATTTCTTCTGTAAGATAGAAAGCCTGTAGCGGTAACCAGGATTTCCTGGAAGGCTTTAGTTCCTTGTGTTTTCTGTGAGAAAATATTTGATTATCTGATGCTTATAATGTGTGCCATTTGTACTGTTGTTGATTTCAGTGCACTCATGTTCAAATAACCCATCTCTTCCAACAGTTTAATTGATGCCATTTAATGTCCTCATTTCTCCTACAGGGTTGCCCCACAATGCACCGATTAGCTGCGGTAAATGGTTTGGTGTCTTTGGTGGGATCTGAGAGCTCCCTGATACAGGTACGTTTCACAGTTCGTGGTGGGGGCGGGGGTGGTGATTCTCATTGCTCAGGGGGAAATTTTTTTTAAAAAAAAGTTGGATCATGGCTTGAGCATGGTTTTACGAGGGGGTAGTTAATCTCTCACAGAGTGTAACAAATTGGATTTCACATGCGGAGAAATCGAACTTTCACAGTAATTTTGACATTTCTCACCTGTTTAGATTTCTCAACAGTTTAGATTGGGTGGACTCACTTTATTGTTGACAAATACAAATGTAAAGTTTCTAGGGCCTTTCATGTTAGAAGGACGTCGCACGAAGCTTAACAGTGTTGGCTGTGAAAAAACCTTTCTCTGGTGCTTTTCATATGACAACTAACACCATGATAATATCACATCTTGCATTTTGTTCTTCCCCTACGATTGAATCATTGGGAGAGTCCCATGATCAGATAACTACTTTCCAGTGTTAGAACTAGTCAGTGCTCTAAGTTGACACAGCAAGACTTAACTTCTGTGCACATAGTTTGGAGTTACAAAATATTTAAAACGCCCAACATATCACCTTTATCCAGAAATGTGGAGGACTGCGCACACTCAGGTTGCTATAGCTACGAGACGCAGAGTGTATAATTATGACATATAAAGTAGAATTCAAGTCATTAGCAATGAAGTCTCCCTCAAAGAACAGGTTCCGGAGAACCAGATCTGCTCTGTGAGGGACTCTCTACGGATACTCTTAAGAAGATCCCTCCTGTTGTACTGAACCCTTTGTCATATGTTCTTTCTTTGATGCCCAGCTGAAGTCAGACACCATCCAGTCCTCCCAGTTTCAGTCTAAGCTGAATGAAGTTATCCGAGCAATAACTCAGGTAAGGTTTGAGATGCATCACAATACAATGTTAGTTTTAATACGAGGACCACTGAGATGAACCTTTTATGTAGCTCTTTAAATATTTCCCATTTCCCGTGAGGATTGGTTACCGGAGATACCACCTGGCCATTCAATGGAAGCCCCTGTTAAAAATTTGCCTACACTCTCCAGCTCTGCTACCATTGACCGAAGTGAGCACAGCTTGGGCAAGACTCATTGTGAACAGTGAAGGCTGTAGTGAAAAACGTTCCTTGCTCAATTGCACTGTGAACCATTTGAGCCAGCCAGTGACCTGCTTTTTGGAAGAACTATGAGTTATGGGGCTGGGGTGGACCTGGGCTGGGGAAATTCTCACCCCCATGAGGAAGGAAAGAGGTACAAACCTGAGAGAAGAGGGAGTGGTCCAAGAGCAACTGAGGTCTAAGGGAAGGGTAGGCTCAGAGGAACAATAACCAATCCTTTCAATCACTTTTCATTGAGTTTTATTGCAATTGAAATCAATTTTTTTGGTGGGTGGGGGGGAAGTCCCTTTGATAACAGATGAGTGGGAACTTTACCAGCACATACTCTGCCCTGACAGTTTACTTTAAATCCCAACCTTGAAGAGCAGCCATGAATGAAGCATAAGCAATTTTTTAAAAAAAATCTATTTCTCACACTAGCTGACCTTCAGGCTTTCTGCAAGATTGCTGATTTAATGCTGATCAGGCTCATTAGACACATGGTAGAAAAATATGTGATTCTTAAAACGAACAGGGAGAGAGAGAGAAGAGAGGGGGATGGGAGTGAGTATTGGGTGCGGGAGGAATTTCATTCCACTGCAGTGGAAATTAACTGAGGACAAGAAGTAAAAGGCTTGTGGTGCTGAGCAACTGTGCCACCCAATCCCCTCCAATCCTGAGTCTGTGTCAAATTGGCATGATAAGAACTTTATATTTCCACATGTGGAATTATTGATTTAATCCCCTTAAAATGTTGTGCTATATTTACATAGAATGTGGATATTAATTGTTTAAAAATTATATTTACAATCTAAATAGCACAACTATAGTTTGCATGCACAATGGGGGTGGGGGGTTGGGGGTAGGGAATCACTAAATGCATTTGCTTTGTGCTAAATTCTTTTGCAGTTCACAGTGACATTGGTTGGCTTTCTGTGCACTTTCTTCTTATGACATTTTAACTGCTCCTTGGATGACTTCCACAACTTGCTCTCAAATGGTTGCATGAGAGACTTTTATGAGCCCTGTTGTTTATTTCAATATAGTCTGTAAATGTGGGAGGATTCTCACTGCAGTTCCGTTTCCATTTGATCGTGTCGAATTCAGACCAATCGCAGTGTTGACCATATTTATGAAGTCACTTTAATGGCCAAGCTATAGTTTGACAGTCCGGTTGTGTTACTGTCTGGCTCATTGGATTCTATGAGGTAGAGGAGGGTGGATATTTCACTTCTTATTTCACCATGGGTGCGGCATTTATCTATAGATTCTTAAAAACCTGTGGGTTGCGCCTTAAAAAAAAACTTCTTGCTGCCCGCACCACCTCCATGATCGCTCAATGGGTAAAGATCTCTGTGTTGTCTCTCCCTAACTTCTCCACACACCAGAGGAGGAAGAAAATTGGAGGAGATAAAGCACACTGGCTTATTTTTATGTTTTAATGTAATGCCAACAACTTACTAAAGATATTGACATATTTTGTTTGTGGCAGGCATTAGTAATGGGCCTGTATACCAAGTTCCAAAAGACCATCAAATCTTTTTCTGCCACACGTAAAATAAACTCCCAAGTAGAGGAACATCAATGTTTATTTTTATTTTCTCATTTAGCAGGTCCTTTTTGGCTGAAGAAACTGACATGACCATTCATGTGTAAAGTAGCTTAGATTTAATAGCTTATCGGAGTTAGGTGGATATGTCTGTTTTTAATTTATTGATAAAAGTTATTCACACAGAAACCTTCCACGGTTCTTCAAAGTGATTCACAGTCTTGAGAAACTTGGGACGTGGAGAGGGGAAGTGAAAGATCGCACAGAATTGATCTCTTTCCCCACAGAGAGTGACGGAGAATCTAACTGGGAATAATTCTGTGCTGCTCTTATATCCCTCCCTGCCTCCTTGTGGCCAATACAAGTGTCATTGGTGCACATCTAAAGGCAGGGTTTGCATTTCATCACTGGAGACTTGCAGATGTTTCAAGTATGCAGACAACCAAAAGAGCCTGGTGTTTTTTCGTCTTTCATTTTCTTGAAAAAAAATCTGGGTCAAAAGAATTTGATTAGACTGTACATCGTATAAAATGCCTTTAACGTCAGATCAGAACATGCGGCATAATTTATCTTGCATGAAATTGTTTTAATTTGTGTCCGTCTCATTCAAGCTGTGTGGCATAGCAGTAATAAAATGCGACCACTTTGGAACACACTGTTAGCGTAATGCAAAGCAGCTGTTGGACTGAATCACAGTTGCAGAGCCGGCTTTGTTCATTCATTAAACATTCGCGGACAGGTTACTTTTACGGGCCCTTGCCTCTCTCTCTCTCTCTCTCTCACTTGCAGCAATGAGACTTGCTGAATGAAAAAAATAATAACAATAATCCTTATATTTAATACAGTACCTTTTACATCGGGAGAACGTCTCACAACACTTGACAGGATATATTGTACAGTGAAGTCACTGAGTGTTTTATGGGTGAACACAGCAGCCAATGTGCTCACAACAATGTTCCACAAAAGGTCATGAATTCAATGACCAATTTTATCAGAGGATTGTTAGTCAGGATACTGGGAAAAACTCAAGGAATATTACTATAGAGGAATATTACTGTAGGGGAAGACCTTCCCCTACAGGCCTTTCAATATGAGGCCTTCCCTCTCTCTCACACACATACACAACACCCCACCCCCAAAAAGTTTAGTAGTGTACTATTTAAAAATATATCCTTTTATGCACAAAATCCAACTCCAAAAAAATTAAATTATTTAACAGTGTGTGAGAAAGGTTGCCCTTTTCTCATTTATGTGAACTGCTGTAAGCTACGTCTCATTTTATTTTTGTTTGCACGTGATCCCACCATGAAAGGTGCTATGTAAGTGTGAATTGTATTGAATGTACATTTTCTAATGCATTATTTTTAAATCTAGACTATTAGCTTTTCTGGAGTAATTGGGCTCCAATCCAATGCTGCATACTCTTTGGGACATCTGCATCTAACCAACATGTCCTTCAGTCAGAGCAGGACATCAGGTCAGTTGAACTATTAAAAATAGTTTATAAAGGGTTTTGCAGCTAACACACAGCAGGAGCACATACTGAGGGTTACACAAGCACAAGCATCTAAACCCTGAGTGCTTGTTACTGTCTTGTATATTCAGAGGCCCCTTCTGTGTTGAAAATGTGTTTGTTTCTATATTACACAAGCCAATATTTTAATAAGTTCAGAATGCTTAATTTTGTTTAACTATTCTCAGTAGAATCAATGTAGGTGATTATTATTATAAAATCCCTTTTTTATAACAATAAAATGTGTATTTGATATGGTGCCTTTCACTTCGGGAGGATGCCTCAAAATACAGGATTTACTGTAAAGTGTAGTGACTGTCCATTTCGTAGGCCATTATTGGTGATCAGCTGCTTAGGAAGAGAAGTTTTACTGAGATGAGACTTTTTTGAAAGAAGTTGATGGGAGGGATATTTGACATGTTAACATAGTATAATAATTGTTACATTTGTTATAATGCTTTTCACATTGGAAGCTATGTCACATCCACAATTCCAGGGTCCAGTCTTTTTTCAGCTGAATGATTTCAGTAGCTTTTGGGGAGAAAAAAATCTGTGTCCTATTATAACCAGATGGAAGGGTGAACCAGATGTGCTTACTACAGATCGGCACATTTTGACACACTTTCACCATATAGCAGACAATATGAATACTTGAAAATCTGCAAAATTCAATTTGGGCTCAAAATTGTGGTCTGGGTCTCACTTGTAAGTCACCTTGGTTTACAGGGTCCCATTTTTTAATATTAATAATACTTGCATTTGATATAAAGCCTATAACATTGAAAAATCTCAAAGTATTTGCTATTAAGGGTTCTAATTGTATATTTGTAGGTAAATGTGGCAGCAAATTTACGCAGAACAATGTCCCACAAACATCCAGGAACTGAGATCAATTTATCTAGAGAATTGTTGGCCAGGACACTGAGGAAGTCCCTTTACTTTTTAAATAGAGCCATGGAATCTTTAACGTTCACCTGAACAGGGGGACAGGTCCTCAATTTAATGTCTCATACAAAGATGAGCACCCCCAGCACTGCATTAGTGTCAACCTAGATCATGAGCTCAAAGTGGAGTTTGAACTCACAACATTCTGACTCAAAAGGCAAGATTGCTATCAACTGAGCCAAGACACTGCAAGATAGATTATTTGTAGATTTATAGAGCAACAGCCATATGTTAATGAGCTTAGCTTTTAGTAACGTATAGCTGTCTCTATCATTTTCAAATTAAATTGACCTGAAGAGTAAGTTTCCCAAATTACCGGGATGTCTACTGGCTGAGATTCTACTGTGTTTTGAGGGAGAAGTTTTTTTTTAATTGAATTCCTACACCTGTTTCCAACTTTAGGCAATTGTTTTTAAGAAAACTCAATGTGCACAAAGCCACGTTAGTGCTCGTTGCAACTTCACAGACACCAAATCAATCTTCAACCAAGACCATAAGGTAGTGCAGTGTTCTGTACACACACTGCACAGTGACTGTGTCTACAACTGGAAGTTTTTTTGGGGGGAAATCAACTTTTTTTCTGGAGACCCTGATTCACAGATTTTTTTTACATATCTTTTATACAATGCAAATGTCAGAATTTATTTTTAAAAAATACACCATGTTAGGCTGGGGAAAAATGGGTTTGTATTAAAAAATCTTTCTTTTTTTCTCTCTCTTTCTCCACGCACCCCACATACTTTAATGTGACCCACAGTACAGCATGCACACTGTGCGTCTGCAGATGCAGCATTTTTCCAGTGATTAAGCTACCAGGACGCTAGGATTACTTGCCTGGTTGCCATGAAACCGACTCATGCATTTTGCTGGCGCTCAGGGAGCTGACGAGTGCAACTGAATATGACAGCAGGCTTTTGCTTGTCAGCATCAACTTTGAAACATGCTTTTGATGTGTGTTTTTAACCATCTGTCTGCTATTTAATTAGGACTTTGAGTTTTTATATAAAAAGAAGTGAACCTGTCAGTTCAAACTGATGTGTTGCCCTCTGCAAAAAATGCCTTTTTGTGCAGATGGGACTGAATTCCTGTTGATTACATGTATTTTTTTAAATGTGTTTATTTTTTAAAAAACTCTACTACTCCGAAACACCGCCAGACTACGGCACTACCTCACCCCTTGCTGCTGAAACTCTGGTCCACGCCTTTATCACCTCAAGGCTGGACTATGGGAACTCTCTCCTCGCCGGCCTTCCCGGCACCTCCCTCCACAAGCTGCAGGTCATTCAGAACTCTGCAGCTCGTGTACTGTCCCGCACCAGGACCACATCACTCCCACCCTCGCTCGCCTCCACTGGCTCCCCATCCCCCAGAGGATCAAGATCCTCATCCTCACCTACAAGGCCATTCACGGCCTCGCTCCCTCCTACCTCTCCGACCTACTATCCCCCTACCTACCTGCCCGTACACTCCGTTCCTCTGGCTTCGGTCTGCTCCAAATCCCCCGCCCCAACCGCCCTACCATCGGTGGCCGGGCCTTCAGTCTCTCAGCCCCTAGGCTCTGGAACTCTATCCCCCAGTGCCTTTGCCTTGCTTCCTCCCTTTCCTCCTTCAAGGCCGGTCTCAAGACCTTTCTCTTTGACCGTGCCTTCAGCTCCCCTCTCGACTCTCTACCCCCTCCTCGCTCCCTCCCTTCCTTCCCCTCACCCTGACCATTTCCGCCCTGCTCGGGTCCTGACCCAACTGTCCAGCGCTTTGGGATGTCCTCCCGACATGAAAGGCGCTCTATAAATGGAATCTTGTTGTTGTCGTTCCAGAGGTTGCCTCACGAGTAGAATAGCAAATAAAGTCCACCACCACTCACTTTTGAAAAAAGCGGGAATCGTCTTGTGCAGTTGCAGTGTGAATTTGTTACCCTTGATGAGATCTGTTGTCTTTTTTGCAGTGCCTCCAGATTTTGGCTATCTGCCAGAGAATAGCTTCATCAGGTGTGCTGTCAATTACATCATTGATGCAGGAAAAAGAGGTATGAAATGGAAGTTGTTTGGCTGTAGGAAAAGTCTCAAGTTTATTTTTTAAATGAATAAAGAATCCAATGTGTAGTGCAATAATAAATAGTGTATTTTTGCTGGATGTCTTGACGGACTTGGATAGTTGTTGCCAAGCTTGTCCCTGGATCCAGTCAACAAGAAATGTGCAACAGTTGTGTGTATGTGTGTGAGGGGTGGGGGGGGAGAGAGAGAGAGAGTGAGGGGAGAGGGTGGAGGAGAGAGAGAGGGGCTGGAAGGGAGAGGAGGTGGAGGGGAAGAGAGGGGGGGAGAGCGGAGGGCTGGGGGAGAGAGAGTGGGGAGAGAGAGGAGAGAGAGTGTTACGCTCTGTTTTCCTACAGTATAAAACATGCACAGGTAGGTAGAATTACCTGCACAAGTCACTGGAATGTTGTGAACTTGCCTGTCTCAGTTATCACTGAGATAACCAGAGAACTGATTAGTCTCCACTCTCATGATCACCGTTGTTGGCCAGAACACCTATTTTCAAACAGCACCATTGGATCTTTAACGACCACCTGAATAAGCAAACTAGGCCTCAGTTAAAAGTTTAATTCAAAGGACAGTACCTCCAGCATTGCAGCGCACTGCCAGGCCTGAATTGAAGTGTCAGCCTCGACAATACACTCAAGGTCTTGATGTGAGGCATGAAACCCACAACCTGCTGTATAAGAGGTGAGAATGCTACCAACTGGGCCAGGCTTATCTCCCCCACCCTCAAAAAAGGAATTGTCACAATTTGGCATCAGATAATTGATTAGTATGTGTTTTAAGCTGGACTGATAACAGTTGTGAGCAACACAATTTACCACTAAGTGTTTAGCTGCGTTGTCACCATTATAAGCTCATACATAACAAACTGTCAAATGGTGACTCCCTCAGTTTGAGGTGCAAAGCGTAAGCATCCAGAGTAAGCCTCTAATGCTGGATATAAGAGTGTTTTCATAAATAGAAAACATCAGCCAATACTTTCCTGGTGCCACTAAACCAAGCTTCAGCAATGTCTCTTCAGCCTTTTGGCACCAAGATCCGTTACTGTGAAGCGCTCTGAGACGCCGGCCGGCATGGAGGGTGCTATATAAATCCAAGTGGTTGTTGTTGTTTTGGTGAACATCGGGGAGATGGGATTAAAATTTCTGTCCAGATCCAATAAACAACGGAACAGGCATGACGGGATGAATGGCCTCTCTTGATCCTTTCCAACTTTAATGTGCAGCACAAAGCTATGCTGTGTAGCTTACAACATAGAGTCACCAGGGTGGGGGATCAACTAATACAGTACAAATTTACGACGTGAAAAACACTGTATAATAAGTGAAATAGTTCAGCAGGAAATTCTGTTTCCAGTATCTACTGTATACACATATAATCTGTGAGCACAAAATCATTTTTCTAGACCAATAACTCCATCAGCACCAATAGGTTGGGGAGTTACTGCATACAAATATCCTCTTTCTCTGTTCCTTGATTTTCCATCCTGGAAAGATTTTACTTAGGAAATGTACCTTGAGAGAGAGTGACATTAATTTGTGAACACTCCATGTTGTCTCTCCCTCCCCAATATTTCCTTCCTATCACGCCACACCCCCCCCCACCCACATTTTCTATGCTGTTTTAACTTTGTTTTTGTTTTGTTCCAGGGCCTGAGTCCTTCCCTCCCCAGATGATGAAGGTTTTGTTAGGGCCCATTGCAGCTTGTGGGAACAGTTATCAATATCCTCCTGTTAACTGGGCAGCCATTCTCTCTCCCCTTATGAGGCTAAATTTCGGTAAGTTGTGATTTAAAAACCTGTAAGAATACAATGTATTAAGGACATCTCTTAAGACAGCAGTGGCTAACAAGTGGAGGGTGGAGAGGCAATGGTAGAGCCGGGTGATGTTGCAGAGGTGAGGGAAGGCAGAACGGGTCATGGCACGGATGTGGGACATTTACTAGCATGTTTCGGCACGAAAAAAAGGCAGCGCTGAAAAAAACGGTAATACTGGCATTATAATTACATTTACCCGGAAATTCCGGCTTTCCGAACTGGATCCCCCCCCCCCCCCACTCTCCCCTTTGGGTAGCTGGAGGTTTAGTGTATAATTGTATTGTGACTTGAGTATTTCAGTGTAGAATCCATAAGAACTTTCAAAAGAAAATCTAAGCAAATATTTGGAAAGAAAACATTTAAAAGGGTTTGGAGAAAAGGCAAGGGAGGAGTGGGACCAAACGAAGAGCCAGCACAGACATAATGAGCCGAATGGCTTTTTTTGTGCTGAACTATTCGATGATTCTGGTTTGGATTAGAGGACAAAAGAATCCAGCTTCCACTTCCACAATGTTACAAGAAATAGGGTTATTAATAATTGTGAAACATTATAATTGGCTGGTCAATAATGTTTTTAGAAGGTCTATTACTGTACAGGATTTAAACAGTGATTACTCTCCTGCATGATGAAAACATGCGTAGAAAGAAGGTTCCACAATCGCCTTATCTCAAATCTATGGGGAAATACATAATTAAACTCAGCATTGAGCACTGGCCTCCCAATCAGGGTTAGTATCTCTGCTGGATTTAGGAGGCTGAGTACAGACCTGTAATGTATCCACACAGGATTAGCTCCCAGCGACTTTATTGCTTCACTGAAAACAATAAGCAGGAGCGGGTGAGGCTGAACAAGGAAATATCAAATTATCGCAAACCTTGGAAATGCTGCAAATATAAGCCTTCTGGTTTGAGGACCAGTTGGAAAGTTGTAAATTTAATACATTTTATAAAATAATGTGTGTGTGTGTATATATATCTGTGGAAAAATATCAGAATAATATTGTTCCTTTGACTATTTCTTCAATTGCTTTCTTTCCAAAGAAAAATACATACAACTTATTTTTCAAACAAATTTGGGGAGTAGCTTTAATGAGTCTATTTGCAAGCTCTTTCGGTCCTTGCTGGAAATGATGAGGGGTTTCAGCACGCCAGGGTCATCCAAGGTTAATGTCTGTGTCCAGCGTGGTAGTCAGCCTGATATTATTGAGCCTGTTGTTTTCAGATGGACTGGTTCCTGCTGTGGGGATTGTAACTTGCTGTTGATTTGGACCGTGTCAGACCCTGCTGTTATGGCATTGCTCCAATGCGGTAGACTAGGCAAAAGAATCTTCGCTGGTTTTCATCCATGGATGGTTAACGCAATATCTGCACAGGGGGTTTCAAAGAGAAATGTTAGCATAGTAAATGATAAATGTTTTTATATATTCTCTCTCGCCTTTTCCCCTATGGCCCACGTCCTATTAACCAATCACATTTTGCCCTTGTATTTCTAGTACGTCCATGGAAATTCCTTTCTACCTGGGTGAGCTGGTTTGCCAAGTTTCAGCTCACTGAAATGAAAGCTAATATTACAGCAATAAAGGTTTATTGCATAGAATTGCAAAAACAGCAACAAGATTACATTTCTATAGCGCCTGGAGGCACTGGACAGTCAGTGTTTCAGACCTGAGCTGGGGGTCAGGATCAAGGAGGGTGGAGGCCAGTGGAGGTAGGAGGGTGACTGAAGGCACGGTCGAAGAGGAGGGTCTTGAGACAGGTTTTGAAGGAGGCAAGGGAGGGGGAGAGGCGGAGGGACTTCAGAATGGAGTTCCGGAGGATGGGGACAGAGTGGCAGAAGGCCCACCCGCCAATGGTGGGGTGGCCGAGGTGGAGGACATGAAGCAGGCCGGAGCCCGCTGAGCGGAGGGAACAGATAGATTGGTAAGGGGCTAGGAGATCGCAGAGGTAGGGGGATTGCGGAGCCTGGTGCGGGAGAGGACACAGGCTGCAGAGTTCTGGATGATCTGCAGCCTGTGGAGGGAGGAGTTGGTGAGGCCGACAAGCAGGGAGTTTGTGTCGTCAAGCCTGGATGTTGTGAGTGCGTGTATGAGGGTCTCGGCGGCCTGAGGTGTGAGACAGTGGCGGAGCCGGGCGACATTGCTGAAGTGAAGGGAGGCAGAGCGGGTCATGGCACGGATGTGGGGTAGAAAGGATAGTTGAGGGTCAAACAAGACACCTAGTTTCCAGACTGGCTCAGTGAGGTGGAGTGTGCAAACATGGATAGTGATGCTGTCAGCACCTGAGGTGAGGAGGTGCTGACAGGAGCCAATCGGGAGAGCCTCGGTCTTGTTGACGTTCAACAGTAGAAAGTTAGCTCTCATCCAGGACTTAAAACACTACAGCATGAAATCAGACCATTTAACCCAACAAATCTGTGCCAGTTTTGACACTCCAAAGAAGCCTCCTCCCCTCTGATTCCCTAATTACTGGCAATCAGATTTATATCAGACTCACCTTATACTTATGTCCCTTTATTTTGGAGTCACCGAAGTTTGAGACTAAGGATTACCTTTAATGCAAGTATAAAAGCTTCCCACATCTAAAACGTAACGCTTTTTAACACAATTTTAATTGAAAAATGGATTTAATTCTACTCATCCTGTTCTTATCTAATCGTCCTACCTCTTTTCTATTCCATTTTTAATAACAAGTAAAATTAATCTTTTTTTAAAAAAGGGGGTTTAAAATGTCTTGGGGGTGAAAGTTGCAATGTATTCTCGGCTTTGCTCAGCCCAATGCCTTGATCCATGAGAAAATTTAAGTGTATAGTATGATCGGCTTCTCAGAACGTTGTTAAACTGTGTCGGGGAGGGCCATTGAAAAGGGGGATCGGGACGTTCACCACCGAGACCAGTCGAAGTTTATTATTGACTGCTCTCTACCTTCAATATGTGTATTAATTAGCACCATCATATTAGTTAATGCATCACAACATTACAGTTTCTACTTTTTAGTGAGTACTGCAGCCCAGAGAAAAGTGAGGTTAGTCATCTGTTAGGGGACACTGCAGCCAAGACAGGGGTAAACACACAGTGGCATTCCAAGAGTTAAATGTCCAAATACTGACCTGGAATGCATATTTAACTCAAGAAAATGCAGAGGTTGAAAAAAAGTGCTCTGACCCACTATCCTGGGCTATAATGTACTTCTCACTTTCATTACCTTGTTAACTCTTACCAACAATACAGCAGTCAGTAATGAGCAGCCAACAGCCACAACAATGTTGCAATGAATCAATCTTATTCCCTGTAAATTAGCCGGGGCATTGAGTTTGGTAATCTATGTTTTGATTATGCAATAATGTGGAGTCCTGTAGCTCAGTGGTTAGAGCACTCGCTTTGCAAGCGAGAGACCTGAGTTCAATTCCAGGCAGAGGGCGAAACCTTGGGCAAGTTTTCTTACTCCACACAGCCTAATAATAATCCCTCCAAAACCAAAAACAATAATAAATTGGTCATTTTCAATCTACGACTGTTTGTGGGACATTGCTGTGCGCAATTGGCTGCCGCGTTCGCCCACAAATATACAGTCAATTCACTTTACAGTGTGTTCTGTGAAGCGCTTTGGGACGTCCTCCCGACGTGAAAAGCGCTATATCAAATGCAAGGATTATTATTATATTATAATAATAGAATCTTTATACTTTACACCTCCTGTGTGACCAGTAAAGGCTTATAGTAACTTTTAAGTAAACAGTGCCACACGGTGACCAGGACATTGTACTTCAGTAATGCTGTGTTTCTCCATTCCTTTCTGTAGGTGAAGGTATTCAGCGAGGCTGTACTGAGATAGCTGTGACCCAGGCACAGACGTCCCAAAGTGCTGCAATGTTCTTGGGAATGTGGCTGGCACCACCACTAGTACACAGCCTTAATGTAGGTATCAGTGCTTTACGTTTGCTCGTTTTGCAAGGGCATGCAATATGCAATGTTGGATTTTTCTGCAAATATTCACATATGTTGCTTAAACATAGCCAGTCTTTTTTCCACATTCCATTTTTTAAAATTAAAAACTCCCAATTTGAATACTGTAATACAAGTGCAGAATTGATGGTAAGATGAAAAGAAAATATGAGTGAATTGTATTCCAAACTTCAGAGGATCCAGTTCAAGATCCTGGTCCTCACCTACAAAGCCTTCCATGGCCTCGCACCACCCTACCTCTGCAACCTCCTAACCCCCTCCAACCCGCCCGCTCCCTCCGCTCAGCCAGCTCCGGCCTGCTCTACGTACCCCGACCCACGCGCCCCACCATTGGCGGGAGAGCCTTCAGCCACTCTGCCCCCAACCTCTGGAATTCCATCCCCCAATCACTCTGCCTCGCCCCCTCCTTAACCTCCTTCAAGTCCCGCCTCAAATCTCTCCTCTTCGACCATGCTATCGGTCACCACCCTTCCCCTCCCCTCCCTTCTCCCTCCCTGACCCCAGCTCGGGTCTGAAATGTTGTACTCTGTCCAGCGCCTTGGGACGTCCTCTCGACGTGAAAGGCACTATACAAATGTAATCTTGTTGTTGTTATTATACACTGCCTTCACGTAGGGTAATGACACAAGAATGCTTTACAAGGCCAGGGGTGGACACTGAGCAAGGGAGATGGGTTAAATCATTTCATCCCCTGTCAACCCCCTGGGAAAATAAGTTCTTCTGCAACAACAAATTACATTTGTATAGCACCTTTCACGTTGGGAGGATGTCCCAAGGCACCTCTCCTTTCACTCCTTTTTACTCCCTAGTCACAGACTTGAATTCATGCCCTCGTCTCAAATTTCCTACCTGCGGAAAGTGTTTTACATGATTGATTCTCTCAACCTTTCATTGTTTTAAACACCTCTCTCATATCACCCCTCAACTCTTCTCTGCTCAATTGAGAAGAGTCCTATCCTCTGCAATGAGGAATACAGGCTCAGGTCTTAACTTTCTCCCAGACATAACCTCTGTCTAATCCATTTAAAAATATCTCTCATTGCTGATGATAGAATCTGAATTTTACCTGAAATAGTCCATCATTGGTTAATAAATTGCAACTGTTTGGTATTATATTGTATTACTAGAAGAGAGTAAGTAAATTTGGTAATCGACTTCATTTTGCTATTGAAGACTTCACATTGTGTGCTTGCACATTTTCTACAGTTGGAGATGAGAAAATACCTCAGCACCTCTGTGGCCTCTTGGATGAAACCTGTGCCAGAGGATAAGCTTCAGACTTTTGTGGAAGTCCTTGCCGTCCAGCATTTTACCGCAGGGAACAGAGAGAAGAGTCCACATCTTTGCCAGTCTATACTGCGAGGACTCACCGAAGCCATGAAGGTTCCTAATCCTGCACAGAACATCTGGGGAATACTGAGCAGGACTGCGGAGAGGATCTTTGAAATGCTGCCCAACCAAATCCAGGTGCAGTTTTTTTCTGTGGAATCTTTGCTCTTCAGAGGTGGAACCTTATTGTTTTCTGAGCTAGGATAAGAATGAGGGTATGTTTGTAGGATGACTTCCAGACCCACAGCAAAATAGCAGCTGGGGTGTGTCAATTTAAGTCTCTCATAAATCAACTGGATGAATATTTGTTTAGAAACTATACTGGAGGTTCTCGGGACAGGCATTGACTGAGGTGATTAAATGCTCTACGGAACACAACGATTTCTGTGGTGTTTGAGGGAGAGGGGAGAGGAGGACAGGAGAAATGTCTGTTGGTGGGTGGAAGAAGTCTAGGGTTCATTGGCAGAGAGTTGGGGGGGTAAATTAATATTTTGGAGTTTTGCATGGAAGGATCAGGTTATATTAATGAATCATTTTCTCTGAAGAGAACAAATAGTTGTAATAGAGTCCATGATAAAATAGATTACATGCACACTATAGGAATAGGGTTGAAATGGCCTTTTCTCATTTGATGTTATGTTTTGTGTCAAAGGGTCTAAACACACTAGATTGCGTGTTAATTGCACAGATTAAAAACGATCACATTTCCTAGAAATAATATCCAGTTGTTCGTTTCTTCTATTTAATATACCCGTAATTATCCACAATGATGCCATGATATTGACGCTAAAGCTCTTTATTGGAATATGTGGCCATTGGTCATGTCTTTGATCCGTTGTAACAGTCAGCAAGCCAAGCAGACTGATGCTTGTTGATACTAGTCGCTTTTTCCTCAACTTGGCATGACTGGATCCCTAGAATCCTCTGTCAATTACTTGTAAATCAAGCTGTCAATCCCTGTGTCATATTTTAAATAAACCTTATAAATGTTCGACTGCGCTTTCCGCCACCCCCACCCGCCACCCCTGAGCTCGGGCTCGCAATCAGCATTTTCAGACGTTCCCTGACTCGAAAGGTGCTGCATAAATGTAAATTGTTGTTTGACTTAGAAGAAGGCCATTTGGCCAATTTTTGGGTCAGGCTTAACTCCTCCAAGAAGATACCCACCCTACTACCAATTCCCTTCTCCTTCCTCTTCCCTCTAATAAACTTAACATTGAAAATTTTCACCCACAAAATATACAGTCAATTCACTTTACAGTATATTGTGTGAAGCACTTTGAGACATCTCAATGACACAAGGCACTATATCAAATGCAAGGATTATTATTATTAGTTGTTGGTAGTTAGTAAAGCCGGTGACCCTTCAATTGGAAATCCCAAATCACTATTATTCGTTCATTATTTCTCTTTTTCAGATAAATGAGCTGAACCTTTATATTGAAATTTCCAAATGCCTTTCAGAGCTCGGTGATGATGAAATAGACAGAATCACCCAAGTTACCAAGGTAATGCCAATGTTTGGAATATACATAAGATGTACCCACATTTCTTGATTTTTCATCAATATTAATTTATCATTCATTGGATCTAAATATTCCTTTAACGAAGGATATCCAAAGCACTTTGGCACTTATTAACATCCCCTGTTTCACTGTGTACACTCTCCTTATATAGGGCTCTCAGTTTTCTTTGTTATAAGGCTACAGAATATTATCTCAAGATTCAAACTTGTGTGACCGCAGAGAATGTTCATTTTGTGAGGCTTGTGCCATAATAAGAATGACATTTGGGAGATTGTGAGGGATGATCATGAGAGGAGTGTGACCGACAGCTGTGTTAAAATTAATGATAAATGGGGTTACTCAGCCGTGGAATTTCTTAATGTTTGTTTCGAAGCCACTGTAAATGAAGGGAAATAAATGGAGAATCTGTGACGAATCATAAAAGGTTCACACCCCAAAATTCGATGTACATTAAAAAAAACTGCAGCTCTTGCTATTTCCATGTGATACCCGTGCAGATCATCTTAAAGCAACAGTCACAGTGGTTTCAGATCTCTAGCGTTTCATTGGAACTCACTATTGAATCAGTAACCTGTTACCTCCATTGATAGATCTGGCAGTGTGCATTTCTAAACAACTACAACATTTGTACATAGTTATGTAACACCACTTCAGATCATTCCATCTGTCTTTAGTGGATGGTGTATCCTCTGATTCGTTTTCCATCAACCTGGAGGATTCTCCAAAGCTCTCTTCTACATTTTCCTTTCCCATGAAAATGAATTTCAAACATTTTCCAAGCTTGCCTATCTTGCTGATGAATTCACTCTGTACTGTACACTTCTCATCAACTTTTTCATTAAAACCCGATCTCCTCCATGTTTCTGATCAGGACAACAATCACTTTCTTTCAGTTTCTCTGGGACTGGTTTGTCATATCTTTCAGAATTATAACCATTTCTCTTACGTATAACTTGTCAACATCTCTTACCTTTTAATGGCTCCATTTTTAATGAATCCTTCTTCATCTATAATGTTCTGTAGCTCCCCACTCTGAACGCCACTGATCTCAAATGAAATTGCCACATCTTCTTCATTGTTAAAGGAACCCACATCAATTGGAGAGGACGGTAGCTAGCTGCACAACTAAGAAATCCTTGCAATATTTGTTAATTATGTAGATAATGACACTTGTAATTCCCTGTGTACAAATACATTTACACATGGCATATAATATTCCTATGTTTATAGATAGCATATGATACACATATTTACAGTTTTTGCATGATGCATAATAGACCCACTTTTTTTATTGATACAAGGTGATTAGGAACACCATTGAATATTTTTCTGTTTAAATCAGTAACGCAGCTGAAATTCCTGTTCCAGGACACTATTGTGAAGACAGCCTTTGTCAGGGCAGAGCTAGTTTCCCAGGGTCGAGTTCCTCTGCTATGCTTCAATGACATTATTGCTACTACAGTGGGACATAGCCAGCGAGGGATCATCTGCTGGATTATGTTGCAAAGCTTTTACCAGTGTCGACTGATCAGCCATCAAAACACAGGTAAGGGGACATAATGACACTGTTTGTTCATGAAGAAAGTTAGAAAAATGTAATTGTTGTGGCTTATGTACCCAGCTCACCTTCTACATCAGCGTGCGTCATCTTGGCCCACAACAACAATTTGTATTTATAAGGCGCCCTTCATGCAGGATAGCGTCCCAGAGAGTTTGAAGTAACACAGCACTCTAACATCCAGATCAGAAGATTATGGGTTCAAGTCCATTACTGGGACGAGCTCATAGTCTAGGTTAGTCTAGTGTAGTGCTGTGTGTTGCATTGTCGGAGGTAAAGCCTATTGGATTGAATGTGTTCCTGTTGGATGATAAAGAATCCAGGACACGATTCAGAAGGACTTTTTCTAGTCTCCGATGTTAAAATCTTCCTTGTTGTTGGTAGCCTTGTCTACCCACAAATACATTTGCCACACTTGACAATCAGCACTTGTGAAGCACTTTGAGACATTTATACACAATAAGGTGCAATTAAAATGCAAGTTCTTCCTTTCTTCAATTCTTCAGTCGTAAGCCTAGCAGCCTGGTTGTGAATCAAGGTCTTAACAATTTTACATCAAAGTGCTTTTCTGCCATGCTGTCTTGTTCTCAAATCCTTTGTCAATAACCAGTCACAATCATATAGAAGCAAAAGGAGGAATGCAATGAAGGTACGACTGACTTATCAAACAAAACTCTGTTTTTGTTCAGGTGTAATGAAGCGCATGGAGTGGTTATTGGAACTTATGGGACATATCCGAAACGTTGCTTATGGATCGACTCCAGTACAAAGTGAAGATGTTAATGCGGTAACTTTTGTGAGATGTTTACTCCTTTGAAATACTTCATGGTTTCAAGTGCACTTTATGCTGAGATTTTTGGGGTTACTGGGAGTTTGATATAATGTTCAAGTTTGTATTCCTTATGACCTTTGATGCTGACTATTTGAAGGCAGAGCCTGGAGTTACTAATGGATAGTGAAGTACCTAAATATTTACACAAAGCTGGAGAGAATCCATTTTGGACTCTGCTCTGGAACAAACTTTACAATGCGATCGCCTTTTACGAGGTTTAGCCCTGTGGCTAGGTTTTGCCTGGTAATGAAACATAGTCCAAAGTGTGCTGTTTCATCGGGGCTGTGTGGCTACAACGAATACCAGTTTCCAATGTGATGTAAATTATAAAAATTAATGGAGAAAAGAACAGGGAATGGGATTAGAGTAACAGCTCCAGCGTAGAGCTAGCACAGCACAGGCACAATGAATGACATGGTCTCTTTCAGTGCTGCAATCTGGTTCTATGACTCAAAGATACAACTGCATTGCTGCCCTTTCACTCCAAATTGTACAGTTTGTGTCAGTCTGACTTGTTTGGTAGCGCTTTTGCCTCTGAGTCCGAAGTTGTGGTTTCAAGCCCTACGTCGGGACTTGGGATTGGTATAGTCTAAGATGACACTGCTGGGGGGATGCTGCTTTATTGGAGCTGCAAATGAGATGTTAAACCCGACGTGAAAGGCGCTCTATAAATGGAATCTTGTTGTTGTTGTTGTAAACCGAGGCCCCTCTGCCTGTTCAGGTAGATCCTTTGGCACTATTCGAAAAGAGTTTCTCCAGGTGTCCTGGCCAACAATCCCCCAACTAAAATTGATGCCAATCACTCCACGTCTTTTTGTTGGAGATTGCTGTGTGCAAATTTGCTCTCGCATTCGCTCACAAAACACACTAAGTTACATTGAAAATACTATTTCAATAAAGCTTTACAAAGTGATTTGGGATTCTAAGAAGGAATAGACCAGAATAGTAGGGGTGGAGGCTCATGTGATGTATAAACACCAGCATGGTCTAGTTGGGGAAGTGGCCTGTTTCCTTGCTCTAAAGATCTATGTAGGATTGTTGCAACCCACGAATGTTAATTGCATCTTAATTTTGAATTCTATTTCATCCTGTATTAAAATATGACAAATTAACAAAAGTCAAACCAGGAATTTGTATTTGCAGAAAAGTAGCAATTAAATTACCACGAATTGTAAACATTGAAAATGTTTAAAAAAAACAATACTCTTAAACACTTCAAAACTCTTTATTGAACAGTCAAGGAGAACAGGAATGATCTCTTCTGCCCCTCAGATATAGTGTAACTGACTGAGCTTTTGTACTATGTTTTGGGTTTAAGACCGTAGACTTCCTGCTGAACATATTTGCAGCTGCTGTAACTGCATGGAGTGACCACGCTACACCCCTGTTACTTGGAGTCAGAGCCAGTTCGTTGCCATGGAGTGAAGAGGAAAGGTTTGATGGTAAATCACAATGCTTCGGCAGCAGCTCACTCAACCTGCTGTGTGTACAGCAATGTCTGAGACTTTTACCATGTACCATTCTCCTCTTACTCACAAAGGAGCCGTGGAAAAGTCACACCCAAAAGGTGAGTTGACACATAGATTTTCATTATCAACCACCTTCTCAAATCTCACGCTGTCATTCTTGCTGAGATCTTCTCTCTCCCATCACCCTGCAGTTTCTGCTGTAAGTTCGTCCACATCTTGGGAAACTTTAAATTCCTCTTTACTCTTCTATATTCCATTCCATATTCCGCCCTCCTCCGAAACATCGCCAGACTACGGCACGCTGCTGAAACTCTGGTCCACGCCTTTATCACCTCAAGGCTGGACTATGGGAACTCTCTCCTCGCCGGCCTTCCCGGCACCTCCCTCCACAAGCTGCAGGTCATTCAGAACTCTGCAGCTCGTGTACTGTCCCGCACCAGGCTTCGTGACCATATCACTCCCACCCTCGCTCGCCTCCACTGGCTTCCTATCCCCCAGAGGATCAAGATCCTCACCTACAAGGCCATTCACGGCCTTGCTCCCTCCTACCTCTCCGACCTACTATCCCCCTACCTACCTGCCCGTACCCTCCGTTCCTCTGGCTCCGGTCTGCTCCACATCTCCCGCCCCAACCGCCCTACCATCGATGGCCGGGCCTTCAGCCTCTCAGCCCCGAGGCTCTGGAACTCCCTCCCCCAGTGCCTTCACCTTGCTTCCTCCCTTTCCTCCTTCAAGGCCGGTCTCAAGACCTTTCTCTTTGACCGTGCCTTCAGCTCCCCTCTCGACTCTCTACCCCCTCCTCGTTCCCTCCCTTCCCTCCCATCATCCTGACTATTTCCCCCCTGCTCGAGTCCTGACCCAACTGTCCAGTGCCTTGGGACGTCCTCCCGACGTGAAAGGCGCTCTATAAATGGAATCTTGTTGTTGTTGTTTTCTGTATGTCCATATTCCCCCTCCTAAGCCAAGTGTCGCACTATTTCCTTCCATCCCTGGGAAAGAATGCCCCCTCACAGATCCCCTCAAGCCTTCAGAACTCGCCCTCTCTGGCCCTCCATTAGTCATGACCTCAGTACATCTACTGAGCCACTCAATAACTCCCTCACCTTCGTTCTCAACACTACCCACCCCTATCAAATCCTGAACTGCTTCCCATCCCCACAAGTCTCCCTGACACAACACTCATCTCTGACGTCCAAAGCCCACGAGCGCTCAAATCTCAAATGTCTCCCAAGTCCATTGCCAGATCTGTCTGGACCACCTAAGTTTTATATTTGGCCCTTGAAAAGCTAATCATTTTAATACAGTTTATTTTAGTTGAAAAGCTACTTCAAATATTGTCAAGATAATGTGTTGCATGAGACAGTCTGATGTGATTAAAATCTGGACTTGTGAAATGACCGTAACCCACTCAGGAGTTAGAATCACAGATTACTACAGGACAGAAATGGGCTTTTCTGCTCATCAATTCTGTGCTTATGTTTTTCTCCAGGAGAGCTGCATGATCTATAATCCCACTCTTTCTCGCTCCCTATCCCCTTTAACAGCCTAACTTGTGGTGGTATCTATTATATGAAGGGCAGGTTGTGACTTTACCTATATGCAGAAGACAGTGCCAGAAGACAGTCGAGTATTATTTGCAAAGAAAGAAACTGCTCCACTTTCCTATTTCCTGCCCTAATTTCAAGGAGTAATTTTAATTCTTACAAGTGATTAAAACATTTCTACGTGTTTCCAGTCATCCACTGTTAATCGTAAGGGATTTTTGTTGTCACATCCTGGACTGGCAGTAGTCACAGGCTTTGTGGCAGGTGTGGAGAGGGAGGAGCCCAGTGTGGCTTTGGTGTTGCAGTCAGTGACTGAAAGGGATGCTGGTGTAAGCACCAGGCGTTACTGGTACCCAGTGAGCTCAGAGATACATGGCAATACAAGAAAGAATCAAGGATGAAATCAGTCACTGCTGAGCTAAGGCAGGGAGAGACAGCAGGATCATATTACTACAACCTACCTCTGTGACGTGCTAAATCCGTGCCAACCTGTCTGCTCCCTCCGCTCAAGGTGGGCTCTACGTTCTCCACCATCGGCGGTCGGCCCGTCAGCTTTTCTGACCCCACCCATTAGAACTCCATCCCACAATCCCTTTGCCTCGTCTCCTCCCTTGCCTTCTTCAAGGCATGTCTCAAGATCCTCCTCTTCGACTGTGCCTTTGGTCACTCTCCTACCTCCACCCCACTTGATCCCAACTCCCAGCTCGGGTGTAACTCCTTGACTGTCAAGGCACTATACAAATGTAATTTGTTGTTGTCTTTCTCATTCAGATGTCGACAGAGTATTTTCTGGGAGAGAGTGTATTTAAAATGTCTAATTCTAGCTATTGTGTTGAGATAATGAATACCCCAAACCAAATATATTTTTTCACACTACAGTTCATCGACTGGCTCTTCAACATGGTAGAAAGCCCAAAAGAAGCTGTACCAGTGGTCACACTGAATACTCTTAAAGGTACGAGATTACATCCATCCAAACTCGTGAGACAATATACATCACAATGTATTTTCCTAATATAGTATGTCTAATTTATTCTGAGTCTTTGTTGGTGTTGGTACTAATTCTGTATGAAATGTTAATAGCCAGCACCTTGGAGCACTGATATTATTGTTGCCTAACATTGACCACAGATTATCCAAGATTAATCACAGGATGGCAAGACAGGTCACTTCATCCTCCCAGATCATCTACCAGCCACACTATCCTCACAGGACAGTATTCAGTTGTTTCCTGACCTCAGCTCTTCTTCCTTGTAAACAATGCTGTTGAGTACTCTCTGGGTAAAGAAATACTTAGTGTCTGTCATGCAATTGTCCTTCACAACTCTGGCCGTGTGCCCTTTTGTCTTGCTGCTTCAGAGTATCTGAAAGTCTTGTTCTGCATACTTTCTCAATCATCTCTAAGATCCCCTCTGAAGTGGCTCTTTTCAAGGCTGAAGAGCCCCAGTTATCTCCTCATAACCTGGGTCAATATAAAGTGCGGCTGCATTTATTCCTTAGAACCCGCTATAAACAGCGCCCTCCGCTACAAACTGCTACTGTTGGTGGAGCGGCTCCGGACACACGAGCGGTGCAGAGAAGTGGGAAATGGGCTTCGCTCCACTCCTAGGCCCCGCTGTTGAAATTGTCTGCATATATCTCTCTCTCTCTCTATGTTTGTGAATGTCTCTGTCTGAGTCTGTCTCTCTCTTCTGTACATATTTGAGTGAGTGTGTGTGTGTGTATATATACGTCTGTTTGTTAGTGTCTCTGTGTGATTGTCTATGTCTCTCTCCTCTATGTATGTGGTTGTGAGTGTGTCTATGTGTGCCTCTTCTGTCTGTGTGTGTGTGTGTGTTTATGTGTGTCTCTCTGGGTCTGTCTCTGTAGTTTAAGTCAGTCTATACATGTTCACCTTTCTGAAACTAAGATATAGAATAAAATAGCCTGTCCCACCGTGGATCCAGCAGCTTGTCACAAGGGTTGAAATATGTAGCTCAGGTTTAACTTGGATATAATCTTAAAATGTTTTGAGTCTAAAAGCCTTGAGTGTGGCAACCTCATTTCATGGATTCTTAGGTAACCTCTACTTTGCTCTTCGTCATTGATAACTCCTGGAGGCATCCTATGAGTCTGTTGAGATGTCCTACTGATTACAGGCAGGATTCCCAGTTAGGCAACTGAGTCACTGTTAGTGAATTCTCATTGCAACCCCCAACTATTTAGACACCAATGTCTATTCATAGTTGGTTACAGAAAGTTTTAAAACTATTGGCTCCCTGACCCTGTTGCCCTTTAAGCAGTTCTAATATTTAGATGACTTTCCACAACTCTTTTGATCGATATTTGCTATTTCCAATCCTTCAAAGGCAGCCTGTGTAACCATTGCCGGCATTATAAAGCCTTTCCTCTGCTTTTTAGTTTAAAACCTGAAACCAGTTTTAGCAACATTCTTTATTAAGGTCGTAACTGGCTTCACGATCTATTACTATTTTTTAAGAAAAAACTTAAACTACAGACAATATCCCTGAATCTAATTCATTCACAAAACACAGCCAGATATCCGAGGGGGAGAACGGAGCCCAGTACCCAAATGTTTCATTTCAAGTTTTCATCGTACTTTTTTGGGGGATTTTTATTATATTCCATGGCCTGTGAGGGACATACAGGTTGCATGAAAGAATGGACCCCTTATTAAAATAAAACTTGACAGCTCAAATTCGGGATCAAACACCTCCTGGTATGAGCCACGGTCACACATTCACAAAGCAATCGTGTACAATGGCGTGAAATAATGGGGGTTGCTCATTGCATTCCAATGTGAACAGATAAGCTTCTGGTTCAGAGCCAAGACCACCCATGTCCCGTTGTGCTGGGGTGAATGAAGCAGAGCAGTGGAAAGATGTTTCTTTGTGTACTAAACGGATTTGTTCAGCAGGTTGTGTTCATCATTTTATGCCATCCATGAATTGTTGAAAATTTTGCAGTTTGCAAGGGCTCAAAATTTGCGGGGGTGTGGGGTGAGATGATGATTGGGGGAGGAGTAGATTGTGGATGGAGAAAAAGGACATACGTTATGTCGCAAAATGCACCAATCGAGAAAGCTCTGGTAGAAAGGAGGAAATAATATTTCATGAGCCAGAGATCTCTGGTGACTGTGATTGTGAATTGATAGGCAGGTGACACTCCAGGAGGGTGTCTAATCTGAGGCTCCTGGCACCAAAAGTAAGTGCATCCAATTAACCCATTTGGTTTGTGCCCACAGAGCTACTCCTTCCCCTCCCACCCTGCTCTCCGAATGAAGAATAGTACTGTTGGCATCTGCCCTTCCGGACATTCTCCAAGTGACTATTCTTAATGCATGAGCCCAGACTGAGAGTCGGCAGCTATACAAGCCTGAGGGAGCATCACATCCAAGCCCAATTCTCTCCTTACTCAACATCCAATAACAGAAACTAGAATCTTATGTAGCATCTCTCATATGGGATGATCAACTTGAAACGCTTTACAGAGATGTTACAGACCAGGAGGAAAGATAATCTAAGGTTGTTGACAGAAGGCACAGTTTTTTTTGACAAGGTTTGAAGGCAAGGAGAGAAGGTGAAGGTTTTTTTTGAAGGAGTTCAAGAGTGCGAGGGTACAGTTATGGATGTTACAGCAAATTACTGGAGTAGGAAACCTGACATTTTGCCTGATTTTAATTGTTGGAGTGACTTAGTCATAATTTCCAACAGCAGAGCGATTCAGAGTGAGAAACAGGATTTATATCTCCAGTTTTAAAATTCCCCTCACTGGAGACTGAAGAGAGCTCTCTGGATAATATAACACCCATATATCTGATAATTAAGTGCCCAACACGGCTTTAGTTTTCTTTAATGTTCTTTAAAAAATGTAAACATTTGTCTACAAATACACATGCAAATTGGCATTGTTTTCTATAATCTGCCATTTTGTGACATTATGTATATTTTGTGGGCAATTTGCCCTGAATCAATTACAGTCAATTCACTTTACAGTATATTCTGTGAAACGCTTTGAGACCTCTCGAAGACGTGATAAGGTGCTATATCAAATGGAAGGATTATTATTATGTCAATTAAACCATGATAACTATTAATAGCTGCAATTTGTTTTATGTAAAGAAACTGATTTCTATCAAAATTGATAATACTGTAATCCTTCATAAAGTTTTAATAAAGTTTTATTAATTGTGACCTTGGTAACTAATCCAATCCCATCCTCATGTTTGGTACAGTTTTCTTGGATTTTTTAATAATCTGTAAAAGTGCTAAAACACCCATAATGTCAAAATGTCTCATTTTTTTATGGGTATTTGCTGTGAAGTGTAGTGACTATTTGTTGGTAAGCAAGGCAGCCAATTTATGCAAAGCCTTGGCTCTCACCAACATGCACCTAATACTCTCTGGAATTAGGTAAACAAGGTCTGTCCCTCCACAGGGAGAATGCACATTCCATTTCCAGGGATATTCCAATGTGTAGGTGGGGTACATGTGTGGAACTCTGTCTGGTTTGGACACTCTTAAGCGTTAGGTTTAAGCATATGTCAGACAATTAGTAAGTAAAATAAATTTGTGCAGTTATGTTCCATAAACAACCATGAATGAACGACAGGTTAATCTGCAGATATTCTTGCCAGGACACCGGGAGAAACTCCCTTTTCGAGGAATCTTTAGCATCTCTGGAACAGGCAGATGGACCTCGGTTTTAATTCTCATCTGAAGGATATGGAAAGGTTAAGGAAAGTTAAACGTGCACTGTTATTTGTACTATTCTGTAACCAGTGCCCTTTTTGCGTGTTTTACAGCTACTCTGCTGGCATTACGATTCTTGCCTGAATTTAAGAAGAAGGCCACCTGGACTCGAGCATATGGCTGGTAGCTTCCAAGTTGTTGATGAAATGGAAGCCTTTCTTTGGCAGCGAGTTAGAATTTCCTATGAACCGACAGAATGGGAACTTGATGATGCACTCTGGTGGCTGAAAGCTCAACGCGTTCATCTTGAAACCAAGCTATTTCCTGGCACTGATGCAAAGCTAGCTCGAGAACTTGCATATTGATCAGCTGGCATTTGTACTGCAGCATGTGTCAACAAGACCTCATTTACCTGTTTGAGAAACAAATTGTTTCAAGCCACGCATGGTATTATTAACAATATCAATATAAATTCTCTGTTCTTTGGAATTGTAGCCAGAGGATAATGAAATAAACATGAAAACTGACCCAGCTATTCCACGTTTGATGCTCCACAATTACTCAATACAATTATGGATTAAAATATCTTTGCACTCTGCCGAGATCTGTCAAATATGTAGTAGCTGTGTGTGTGCCTCAGGACTCCTGTGTCTTCAGGAATGGTGTCACCTCACTTCTAACCTCTTTCATGTGAAAATTCTCGTTCGTCACCAAAAACATAAGACTGGAGGTGGCCAAAGAAGCAAATTCACATTCGGTAACTGTCAAGAGCGGTCCCAACTTGAAATTCCTGCATCCTTGACATTGATTCAAAAAGTGGCTGGAAAGTATCTGTTAAAATGTTCTGCAAACTCTGCTGCTTCAGACTGGAACAGCCCTGTAAAGGTCACAAAGAAGCACTGTGGTTGTAAGAGTGTTTGCAGTTGCTGCACAGGAATGTAAATATAATTAGAGAACCAGTCACTGTACTGATAGAGATGAACACTTTCACTGGCAGATGTGTTCTACATGCTATCACTAAATTAAACCTAAATTGGGGTGGGGGTTGGCACTGGGGGTTTGAAGTATGGGTTTGAGTGCTGCTAGAGTTTAACCAGTTAGAACTTCACTGCTTCCAATTGGGAGCACTGTTTGGCAAGCTTCCCATTGCTTGGCCAGATAGGACCACCCTACTTATTAAGGCTTTGGTTTGCAGAGTTAACAACAACAAATTACATTTGTGTTTTAGATTCTTTATTTTAAAATAAAAATATTTAATGTTTAGGTACAAAATCAATACATGTTAATTTGTATTAGACAAGGTTAATAGACCATATAGAAAAACAGCTTCAAAATGAAGGTTGTGTTGTAGTTAAATTCTGGACCCTAGGAAAAACTAATCAAAAGTAACTTTAGACCAGGTGGAATATCTCCTGCTTAATCCACCGAACATGGGACCACACTAAAAGCCTAAATGTTTTGCTATAATTGCTTAGTTAGTGATAACCTTTTGTATATCTGTGTTGGAACATGTAATAAAATAACAATAACCTTTGCATGTGATGTAGCGCATATATCATTGAAATATCACAAAGCACTTGACAGGACTTTACAGTGAAGTATAGGCCGTCTGTATTTTTTAGGTTAATTTATCCACAGAAACAGCCACAATGTGAACAACCAATTTTGATCTGGAGGATTGTTGGCTGGGACACCAGGAGAAATTCCCTACTGTTTTTGAAAAATCTTATGGGATCTTAAGAGATGACACAAAACATTTCTCATACCCGAATGTTTAGCAATATCACAATGTTTAGCTTTGCTCAGTAGAATCCAGCATTTTTGTTGCTGAAGTACAACTGTTAAATGCCCAGAGAACCTGCACTGTGATTAACAACCTTGCAAAATTGCTTCAGTTAACCCATCTACTCTGGGTCTCCTGGCCCCAGAACAGAAATGATTATTCAGCACTTTAATCGACCATGACAACGATATTTAAAAACAACATTAAAAAAAAACTGATAAATGAGTTTTCTTTTTAAGAAACACATTTGCATTGCCTGCTCCATCCATTGCTCCGTGGCTTTTCTGTCTCCACATTGCCCTCTAGTGCTGAAATCCCACCATCCTCGCAGTAAAACAGGGTCATTCAAATATTTATTCAGACAACACAATAATAAAAATCCTTACATTTGATGTAACGCTTTTCAATTCTGGGGGACATCACAAAGCAGATCACAGGATAGTGGCTGTTTTTTTGCAGATGAAACGAGCCAATTTGCTCACAGCAAATTCTCACAGCCATGAAGTGAATGGCCAATTTTTTTTTTAATTTGAGAGGATTGTTGGCCAGGGCACCAGGAGAAACCTGCTGGTTGAGGTGGGGGGTGGGGGGAGAGAAGAGGGTCCATTAATTCTGTAACAGCCTTATAACAGGATGTTATTGCTGGTCAGTCCTTAACTTGTGTATTCACTGCGCATGTGCAGTGCGTGGAAAGTGATATTAGTGGTGACCTGCTGACCCAGAAAGTGTATTGTTTAGCAGGCGAGGAGCTAGCTGACATTTTGAAGTGAGCTGGCTGTTTTTCTGCACACATTTTGGATTTTCAGTAAGTAAATTTGAGGTCCATATCCCTAACTATATTGGACACTGGCTGCAAAGCTCTGGGTGGTCTGCAGCTTGCATAGGGAAGTGCTGTGTTGTCTGCTGTGCAGGGTATTAATATAGTCAAGCCTGGCATTATAAAGACATGGACGTTATGGGAGCCTGGGGGAGGGGCAGTGGCGGAGGTGGATAGGAAAGCATCAGGAATATTGTAAAACTCAACGTTGAAATCTTCTCCAATTCTGGACAATTGCTGAAAAAAGGGCACAGTAGTTTCTCAATGCTCCCTTTCTACTTAACATCTAAATATCAGATGCATCATGCACTTCTTCAATCAATGTTCAACACTGCAGGATTCCTTGAAATGGCAAACACATACCCCTACCATGGACTCATTCTTCATTCTCAGAAATGAATCAGGTTGACTAGGAACTACTGGGTAGAATAATTCTGGAATTGTAACTGTCACAGAATTTGCTGCAGCTGTAAACTGTTGGCTTTCTTCAATGATTCATACACCACAATTGTGCAAGCATCCCCAGATTGCACTAGACCGCTTGTGAAGCCAGGCCCTGAGACAGAACTGATACCAGAGCCTTGGGACATCCTCCCGACGTGAAAGGCGCTATACAAATGTAATCTTGTTGTTGTTGTTGTTGATACAATTGCTTAGTAGTTAACGCTGAACATGACAGGCCAGACTTAGTTGTGTTTTAGCTATTCAATTTGTGTTCAAAGTAAAATGTCTGAATAGATATTAACATGTGAATTGGAGCTGCAGCAGAAGCAAGGGATTAACAATGTCACAAATGTGATGCGCCAATTCATCAGTGTAATACTTTTTAAAACTATCAACCCTTCGTTGTATAATTAATTCTCACGATGCACAGTATTGTCCTATATTGAGCTCCATAAGATGTTCAACTAGCTAATGGCTCAGGTGGGCTCTGTTGACACCGTGCATTATTGCAATCCAGCTTAGACCTTTGAACTTCAAGCTCATTACTGAATTGCTGGCAGTGCTGTTAAATGCCATTGACGACAATCCAAATCCATTTACTTTTGCTTGATCTTCACAACGCACTTCCTCATGAGTTTCTTTCGTTCTTCGTAGAACTGCTGGCAGCTGACGTACGTGCCTAAATGTCGTGATAAACAGCAGAATGTCAGAATACAGTGTCTTGAACTCAAAATATTGCAGTAGAAAAATAAGCCTGGAATCCTGCTTTTGACTATGTGCTTTAAGGTTGAAGAACAAGACTTTGTTGAAATGCAGCATCACTGGGTTATAAATTTTACCTTGGTTTAGATTTACTCTATTTCTTTAGTAATTCGGAGCATCCAGAATTTGGCAAATAATAATATAGCGTTTGATATAGCACCTAATCACATCTTCAAGATGTCTCAAAGCGCTTTACAGAATATACTGTAAAGTGAACTGACTATATTTTGTGGACAAAACGTGGCAGCCAATTGCACACAGCAGTGCCTCACAAACAGTCGTGGATTAAGTGACCAAATTATTATCATTATTTGATGCTAAATGCAGGTATAAATTCCCTTTCAGGAAACTACATTACTTTCCGTAAATAGATTAAGTAAACATTGCAAAACATCCGAGGGACACATACACTTTCTGCACAACTGTGTGCAATAGGGGCACTTCACCCACAGCATATCTTATCAACTCATACACTGTTCCTCTTTCCATTTCCTTACCTCAGTAAATTTCTCCCCCAAAGGACACACAGTTTCCAAGACATGCTCCAAGGTCTCTACCCCTATTAAATACTACAAGGCTTGTTAAGTAATGGGAGGGGAGTTGTGAAATAATTGTCCTCCAACCTGCCCCTTCCTGTATGGGAGCACCTGGATCAGACTACCACTCCTGATCGCTCCATTCAGATTAACATCTTTGCCTGTAGGCATAAACCCACACTGCGATAATCCTTGCTACAGCATGTTGGGGCAGCAACACACCACACAACTGTACAGTTGTGACATATTAGGGGAAACGAAGCATTTCAGACTTACCGAGAATAAGTATTATAATGTACAGCTGTAGTATGTATGGGAAATGGATCACAGCGCCAACAGGCCATGCCAACTGGAAGGAATAAGTGCCCAGGGCTTCAAAGTACGGCAATGCCTGGTAAATGGCAATTCCTAGATAAAAGAAAAGACAATAATTAAGCCTAAGAGGAAGCCTTACATTTAATTGAGAATGGGCATGAGAGTGTGTGTGAGAGAGAGAGAGGTGGGAAAGATGGAGAGAAGGAGATTGTGAAAGTGAGTGCGTGGGTGTGACGAGAGAAATGGATGGAAAACATGATGTTTCACAACCAATTCTATTTGATAACTGAAAACAAAAACAGAAGTCGCTGGGAACACTCAGCAGGTCAGGCAGCACCTATGGAGAAAGGAAAGTGAGTCAATGTTTCGAGTCCACGACCCTTTGTCAGAACTGGGGCATGTTGATGAGGGGAGAGGGTTTTAAGGGCTCATGGAGAGGGGGGACAGGGCAAGGAAGACAAAGGAGAAAATGGGGTAGAGGACATCTGTTATCCCTTAAAAGCCTCTCCCTCCCAACATGCCCCAGTTCTGACGAAGGGTCGTGGACCCGAAACGTTGACTCACTTTCCTTTCTCCATAGTTGCTGCCTGACCTGCTGAGTGTTCCCAGTGACTTCTGTTTTTATTTCCGGATTTCCAGCATCTGCAGTATTTTGTGTTTTGTTTCCATTTGATAATTATCACATTCAATCTGTCAAACAGCAGAAATTCAGTCAATAATTATCAACTGGTATTGGGTCCACCTACATCAAAGAGGTTGAGGTTGGTCACATACGTAGAGAGTCACCCTCGACTTGGTTACTGCATTTTAAAGCTTTGAGTGCAGCAAGTTTAAAGGTGGCCACACTGGGTATTACAGGCACTGAATAACAGTGCAACACTGCCCTATTCACCTCTAAAAAAAACGTGGTGTGACTCCTGCTTGGGGATAAAGGATGAAAGCCCCATCACTTAATGTGAAAAAAAAACTCTGACAGACTCTACCCAATTTCCAGTCACATCAAATTCAAAGCTGCTTTTGAAATGAGTGCTAAATAATAATAATAATCCTTGCATTTGATATAGTGCCTTATCACGTCTTCGAGACGTCTCAAAGGGCTTTGCAGGATATATTGTAAAGTGAATTGACTGTATATTTTGTGGGCAAAATGCAACAAGGTCCTGGTTGACAGAACCAGTCTGCAGAGAATGGAAATGTCATGCTTGTACAGCTCTCTAGCAGAAAGTGTTCAACTGAGTGCAAGGACAAGAAGCAGCTCAAGTTGACGAGGGTCTGTTGGGCCAGCATATAACACTGAAAGCCCAAAAGCACCAAATGGGCAAGAATGTTACAACGTGGTCGATGGATGTACCAAAAATTAGATAGAATGGTAAATATTTCTGAGTCCCTTGCCATATTTACTGTGAAAGTGATTGAGAATAATAATCTTTGCATTTCATATAACACTGCATTGGAGTGTCATCTTACACTATATGAATTCCAACAACCTGACGTGTGGCTTGAACCCACAATCTTCTGACTCGTAGACCAGAGTGCTAGCAACTAAGCCAGGTTGACACACAAACAGAACCTGAAGGCTTGGCTGATGACGGGGCGAACGGCATACACCAGGCTGGAGTTAGCTGAGCGGAGGAGGCGAGCAGAGGAGTCAGGCAGGAACAGATCAGAGAGATAGAAAGATACTATAATAATAATAAATGTTGCATTTGCTACAGGACCTTCTCACGTTGTTGAGGTCTCAAAGCACTTAGCATGATTTACTGTAAAGTGCAGTGACTGTGTATTTATAGGCAAACACAATAGCTAATTTTGCACTCAGCAATGTCCCACCAACAGCCATAAAATGAGTGACCAATTTTAAAAACTCCCTTCTCTAAGTGCTAGGGCATAAAGAGATTTATTGGTGAGGGCAAGGACCTTAAATGAATAATATTGCATTTGGGTTCCATAATATCCCATGTTTGCTACTAGGAGACATGATAAAAGATCCCTTGACCCTGTTTTCCAGCAGGTTCATGCTGTAAAATAAATATGACCAATGTCCTGTTCATCAGGTCACCATCGACATCACTTCCTGCTTTGTCCATGTGCAGCAAAACAGGAAGTGATGTTGACAGCAATCTGATGAGTCAAAAGTCATCCATTTTAGCCCAATATTCACCCACAAAATAAACAGTCAATCCACTTTACACTTTATACTGTGAAGCGCTTTGAGACGTCTCAACAATGTTATAAAACAGGATATCAAATGCAAAGATGAGTACTATTTCTTATGAAAGTCAACTGGCACACAGAAACTGGCTACTCAGTTAATGGGATCTACCTGCAACTGCATTATAACGGATATCCATACTATCAAGAAGCACGTTATAACCAGGCCAGATTGTACTGACCATGAAGTCACTGTCCTGTACAAACCAGCAGTTGAAAACAGTTTTGCCTGGAAGGGGAAGGGGTTGGAGGGTGTTTTATCTCTTTTACATCCAGATACTTCTATTCAATACTAAATTTTTAACTAAGATCAGAAAGAGTGTCCGAGATATTCCTTTATTCAATCAGTGTCTTGGATGAAAGCAAATTACCTTCTGCCATCACTGCCAGGGGGTAGAGAGGGATCCAAAGAGAATGATGAATCCATGATAAAATATGTAAATCAGTTGTTATGAGTGACAGCATGAGGTATGGATATCTAGAATATTAAAAGAACAGGATTCATTAGTTGCTTTCAAATTAAAAACAATTCAAGAGAAAAGTAATAATAACAACAAAATTACATTTGTATAGCGCCTTTCAAGTCAGGAGGACTTCCCAAGGCGCTGGACAGTCCATGGAAGGTTATCTGCACAGGGAGTTTCAAAGAGAGCATAGTAAATCATAAATGTTTTTATATATTCTCTCTCGCCTTTGCCCCTATGGCCCACATCCTATTAACCAATGCACATTTTGCTCTTGTATTTCTCGGTACGTCCATGGAAATTCCTTTCTACCTGGGTGAGCTGGTTTGCAAGTTTCAGCTCACTGAAATGAAAGCTAATATTACAGCAATAAAGGTTTATTGCATAGAATTGCAAAAACAACAACAGCAACAACAACAATACAAAATTACTTTTGTATAGCTCTTTTCATATCAGGAGGACATCCCAAGGCGCTGGACAATAAGTGTTTCGGACCCGAGCTGGGGGTCGGCATTGGGGAGGGAGGGCAGGGGGGAAGGAGCGTAATTGAAAGCACGGTCGAAGAAGAGGGTCTTGAGATGGGTCTTGAAGGAGGCAAGGGAGGAAGCGATGCGGAGGGACTGCGGGATGGAGTTCCAGAGGGTAGGGGCAGAGTGGCAGAAGGCCCACCTGCCAATGGTGGGAGGTGCGAGGCGGGGGAATGTGAAGCAGGCCGGAGCCAGCTGAGCGGAGGGAGCAAGCAGGATGATACGGGGTTAGGAAGTTGCAAAAGTAGGGGTTAGCAAGGCCATGGAGGGCTTTGAAGGTGAGGACCAGGATCTTGAACTGTATTCTCTGTGTGATGGGAAGCCAGTGGAATTGGGCGAGGATAGGGGTGATAGGGTTACAGAGCCTGGTGCCGGAGAGGACAAGGGCTGCAGAGTTCTGGATGATCTGCAGCCTGTGGAGGTAGGAGTTGGGGAGGCTGACAAGCAGGGCATTTGCACAGTCATGCCTGGATGTTATGAATGCATGTATGAGGGTTTCGGTGGCCTGCGGTGTGAGACAGTGGCAGAGCCGGGCAATGTTGTGGAGGTGGGGGAAGGCAGAGCGGGTCATGACACGGATGTGGGGGTAGAAAGGATAGTTGAGGGTCAAACAAGACCCCAAGGTTCTGGACTGGCTCAGTGAGGTGGAGTGTGCAACCATGGATGGTGATGCTGTCAGCGCCTGAGGTGTGGAGGTGCTGACGGGAACCAATCAGGAGAGCCTCGGTCTTGTTGACGTTCAGCTGAAGAAGTTAGCTTCTCATCCAGGACTTGATGTCATGACAGACATTCTGGTTGAGTAAAGGAGTAACTCGGGCGATGTTTCCGATATTAGTTAAAAATTTTGTATTGAATAGAGGTACCAATAAAATGCAAACTGCACATGTACATGAACAGTGTACATTTCAATGTTGTAAGATGTGCAGTTGTGGAGAGGAAACAGAACTGTCCCTTTCACAGGAAAGCCCATTCTGTTTTTGAAGTGGTTCCTTTATTATAAGCCAATCTAAAATGCTTGGTGCACATCACTGCAATTTGCAGCAAATCCTGTGAAGTATTTTCGAATGCTTCAATGATGTGATAAGATCCCTCATATCATTAAAGCGTTTCAAAATACTTCACAGGATTCAAATGCAAGGATTATTATAATAATGATAATAATAATCCTTGCATTTGATATTGCGCTTTTCACGTCGGGAGGACGTCCCAAAGCGCTTCACAGAACACACTGTAAAGTGAATTGACTGTATATTTGCGGGCGAACGCGGCAGCCAATTGCGCACAGCAATGTCCCACAAACAGTCGTAGATTGAAAATGACCAATTTATTATTGTTTTTTGTTTTGTTTTGTTTTGGAGGGATTATTATCTTTCACAGTGGCATGCACAGGCTGCTCTTAAAGATTAAAATAAAATCTATTCAAAGTCATCAACAGCATGCCTTGGGGGAGGGGGGTAAATAGGTAAGTGGGACCCCCTTGGAGCTGAGCTGGCACCAAGGTGACATGTTTGTCAGGTTTTGTAACCGGGGGAGGGGGGCAATGGGTGATTAATATGGAATCCTGTATCTTAGTGGTTAGAGCACTCGAGAGGACCTGGGTTGGATTCCCAGGCAGGGTGAAATATTAGGCAAGTTTCCTTACTCCACAAGCCTCTCTTTAGCTATCTTTAAGTAGGAGTCTGGTTGTTAGACAACTGTCTCTTTCCGAGGGGGGTGGGGGTGGAGTGGGGGTGGAGTGGGGAACAGAGTGGGGGTAGAGTGGGGGTGTGGTGGAGAGGGGGTGGAGTGGGGTAGAGTGTGGAGATGTAGTGGCGGTGGTGTGGGGGTGGAGTCAGGTAGTGTGGTGGCGGTGTGGGGGTGGGGTAGAGTGGGGTGGTGTGGGGGTGGAGTGGGGGTGGAGTGTGGTGGTGTGGGGATGGAGTGGGGTAGAGTGTGGTGGTGGAGTGGGGGGGGAGTGAGGTAGAGTGTAGTGGTATGGGGGTGGAGTGGGGATGGAGTGGGGGTGGAGTGTGGTGGTGTGGGGATGGAGTGGGGTAGAGTGTGGTGGTGGAGTGGGGGGGGAGTGAGGTAGAGTGTAGTGGTATGGGGTGGAGTGGGGATGGAGTGGGGTAGAGTGTGGTGGTGTGGGGGTGGAGTGGGGTAGAGTGGGTGGTGTAGAAAAACGACAAGTGACATCAGTGTGACGTTATACTTAAACAACTAAACCAGGGAAAATGTAGAACAAACGGCAACACAAACAACACTAACAACAACACAACACAAACAACAACACAAACAATACAACACAAACAACACCACTAACAACACAAACAACACTAACAACAACACAACACAAACAACGACACAAACAATACAACACAAACAACATCACTAACAACAACACAAACAACACAAACAACAACACTAATAAAAAACCAACAAAAAACTTTTTAAACTTATAATTTTTTTAAAAAAAAAACTAAAATCCAGAGTGAGAGAGAGAGGAAAGAATGGCATGGAAGGTGATGTGCGAGGACTGAGGTATGTGGGAGTTGATGGAGGGTAATAATAATCCTTGCATTTGATATAGCGCTTTTCATGTCGGGAGGACGTCCCAAAGCGCTTCACAGAACACACTGTAAAGTGAATTGACTGTATATATGTGGGCGAACGCGGCAGCCAATTGTGCACAGCAATGTCCCACAAACAGTCGTAGATTAAAAATGACCAATTTCTTATTGGTTTTGGTTTTGGAGGGATTATTATTAGGCGTGTGGCGTAAGGAAACTTGCCCAAGGTTTCGCCCTGTCTGGAATTGAACTCAGGTCTCTCGCTTGCAAAGCGAGTGCTCTAACCACTGAGCTACAGGACTCCACGTAGTCTGAGCCCGGGTGACTTCATCTGCAGCAAGTGTCTGCAACTGAGGAAGCTCCAGCTCAGAGTAGCTGAGCTGGAATCTGAGGTGCAGACATTGCGCAGTTAGGGAAAGTGAGAGCTTCCTGGATAGTTTCATCCTGGAGCCAGTCACTCCCTTGAGGCTCAGGGAACGTACAGATTACGTTACTAGTCAGGGACAGGACTGGGTGACTGACAGTCAGGCAGGTAAGGGGACCCCAGAGAGAGTGGCGGAGAAGCCTCAGGCTTTAACCTTGTCAAGGGGCAGAAAACACTAGTGGGAGTAGTTTACAGACCCCCGAACAGCAGTCACAGTAATACGTAGATTATTAACCAGGAAATTAGTGGAGCATGTAGCAAAGGAAATATACTAATAGTGGGTGATTTTAATCTTCATATAGATTGGGAAAACCAAATTGACAAAAGTAAGTTAGAGGAGGAGTTTATAGAATGCATTAGAGATAGTTTTCCAAATCAGTATGCTAAGGAATCAACCAGGGAACAGGCGATCCTAGATCTTGTTTTATGTAATGAAATAGGGCTAATCAGCAATCTGGAAGTTAAGGCTCCTCTCGGGCAGTAACCATAACATGATGGAATTTAACATTAAGTTAGAGAGTGATGTAGTTAAGTCTGAAGCAGGGGTCCTAAATTTAAATAGAGCAAACTTTGCAGGTATGAGAGAGATTTAGCTAAAATAAACTGGGAAATAAGATGAAAGGACATGACGGTAGACCAGCAATGGCAAACCTTTAAAGATATAATACATAATTCCCAGTGATCACATATTCCCTTGAGAAATAAAAATACCACGGGTAAAGTGGTTCAACCATGGCTAACTAGAACAGTTAGGGAAAGTATAAAATTAAAAGACCTATAATACTGCCAAAAAGAGCAGTACACCTGAGGATTGGGAGGGCTTCAGAGACCAACAAAGAAAAACTAAGAAACTGATTAGAAGGAAGAAAATGGATTATGAGGGCAAACTAGTTAGGAACATAAAGACAGACTGCAAGAGTTTTTACAAATACATAAAGAGGAAGAGACTATCAAAAGTGAATGTGGGTCCATTACAGGCAGAGACAGGAGGAATTATAATGGGGGATAAAGATATGGCAGAGTCCTTAAACAAATACTTTGCTTCTGTCTTCACATTAGAAGATACTGAAAACTTACCAAAAATAGAGGGAAACCAAGAAGCTAATGTTAGTGAGCAGGGAAATTAATATCAGTAAGGAATTAGTGCTAGGGAAACTGTTGGGATTGAAAAATGACAAATCCCCTGGACCTGATGGCCTGCATCCTAGGGTTTTAAAAGAGGTGGCTGCTGAGATAGTGGATGACTTGTTTTTGATATTCCAAAATTCTCTGGATTCTGGAATGGTTCCCATTGATTGGAAGATCGCAACGGTAACACCACTATTTAAGTAGAGTAGGAGAAAGAAGGATCAGTGCTTGGGCCTCAACTATTTACAATCTATATCAATGATCTAGACAAGGTCATAGAACTTAAAATATCTAAATTCGCGGATGATACTAAGCTAGGTGGGAGAGTAAGCTCTGAGGATGACACAAAAAGATTGCAAAGGGATATAGATAGACTAGGTGAGTGGGCAAGAAGGTGGCAAATGGAATATAATGTGGGGAAGTGTGAAATTATTCACCTAGGTAGTAAAAACAGAAAAGCAGATTATTTCCTGGAGAAGGAAAGACTAGATAGTGTTTGTGTTCAGAGGGATTCGGGTGTCTTTGTACACCAGTCACAAAAAGTTCGTTTGCAGATACCGCAAGCAACTAGGAAGGCTAATGGCGTGTTGGCGCTTATTGCAAAAGAGTTAGAATACAAGAGTAGGGAAGTCTTCCTGCAACTGTATAGGGCCTTGGTGAGACTGCACCTAGAATATTGTGTACAGTTTTGGTCTCCTTATTTAACGAAGGACATACTCGCCTTAGAAAGGGTGCAGGTAGATTCACTGGGTTAGTTCCTGGCATGAAGGAATTGACCTGTGAGGATAGGTTGAGTAAACCAGGCCTATATTCTCTAGAATATAGAAGAATTAGGGGTGATCTTATAGAAACATATAAGATTCTTATGGGGCTTGACAGAGTAGACAGTGTGAGATTGTTTTCCCTGATAGGAGAATCTATAACTGGGGTCACATTCTTAAGATTAAGGGTCAGCCTTTTCGAACAGAGTTGAGGAAACACTTCTTCACTCAGAGGGTAGTGAATTTATGGAATTCTCTACCCCAGAAGGCTGTAGATGCTCAGTCCTTGAACATATTCAAGACTGAGATTGATAGATTTCTAAAGGGTAGAGGCTTTAAGGGATATGTGGATAAGGCGGACAGATGGAGTTAGGTTAGAAGATTAGCCATGATCTTACTGAAAGGCGGGGCAGGCTCGAGGGGCCGAAGGGCCTACTCCTGCTCCTATTTCCTATGTTCTTATGTTCCTATATTCAATCCACAACTGTATGTGGGACACTGCTCTGCATAATTGGCAGCCGTGTTTCGCCCACAAAATGTAGTTAATTCACTTTACAGTATATTCTGTGAAGCGCTTTAAGACGTCTCGAAATCATGATAAGGCACTATATCAAATGCACCTGGGGCATGAGCAGGACACAGTGCGATTGCACATTGAATGAAGTCTGCACCAAAACTGCATTATAACTAAATTCCAGTTGAGAAGCGTATTATAATGGAGCTGCCCTGTATTATATATGACGTACGTTGACATGTCAGTCCTCAGAAGGCTAGTGTTTCTGTGCCCTGTATACAAATAAAAGTTCCAACTTTTCAGAGCTGCAGTCAAACGTTAATGCTTTTACTCACTTCCTCTTTCTATAGAACTCTAACTAAAAACAGTGGTGGCCAACCACAGGAACTTATAATAAAACTTGTCACAAGGTGGCACTCCATGCCCTGATAGTGGCACAGAAGACATGTTATCATTGGAGTCCACTGTGTGGAGGTTGCTGCTCCCCGGGCCCCCTCTGCCAGGGTCACCAGGAGCTGTGCGTGCCCAGGACGGTGACGAAGGCTGGGCCGCGAGGAAGCGTCACTGGGAGCCAGGGAGGAGGAGGTGGAACCGTAACTCACTGGTTATTACACGTCCCCTCGGGAAACGTAGTGAGAGACTGTGAGTGTGACTGTGTTTGTGTGTCAGTGTGAGTCTGTGTGTGTGTGTGTGACTGTGTGTGTGTGTGTGGGAGGGTTTGTGTGGGTGTGACTGTGTGTGTGTATGTGAATGTGACTGTGTGTTTCGATTACCTGACACACAGCAAGGTTGACATTTTGCTGTGTTGAGGCCAGAATAAGACTAATATGGGCCTCAATAGTGACAATCGTTTGATAACACCGCTTGCATCTATATTAACTCTGCTGAGAGTTGTGTAACAAACAGACTGGTCACTTAGGACTCAGTCCAGCTCATTTAGTAGCACTTTCACTCTCACGTCGGACAAGGCTGATTTCCAATACAGTGCTGGGGGTGCACTACGTTGTTGGGGACGCCATCCATCAGATGAGATGTTAAACCAAGGTCTCATCTGCCTCTTCATGTCAACGATAAAGATCTCAAAGCATGATTTGAAAAGTGAAGGAAGTTTTTCCCAATATTCTTATCAACAATCCCCAGATACAATTCGTCTTTCATTTCATGGCTGTTTGTGAGACATTGCTGTGTGCAAATTGGCTAGAAGCAATCACCAACAAAACAATACACATTATAGGAAAATCCTGTGAAGCCTTCTGAGATGACCTCCAGATGTGAAAAGTGCTAAATCAAATGCAAGGATTATTCATTATTTTACAATTGTTATATTTACTCCAGTTACCATCTATCTGTCCGCTCACCTGAACACATCCAGAGCACTCCAGAGGGAGAACAAGACGCACACAATATTTCTGCTCTGCAGTTCCTCTTGACTTGTAATGACCACAAACAGAATAACGTTCCTCTCAGACACCTACAAACAGAACAGAACATCAGGTACTGCAAACTACAAATGACTGGACTCATTTAAAAACAACTTGATGCTGTGATGGGAACATGGTAGGATGGGTGTTCTGCAAGCATAAGATCAAATGGGACGAAGGACCTTCTTCATCTAAACCTCCCTTGTGATCTATTTTGTTAAGTTATACAGAGAATCTGCCGATTCCAAATAATGGAGGCCAGGATGGTTTAAGATGTAAATCAGAGGCTGTATTTAATGGGCCTTTTCCTGAAGTCTATTACTTTGTTTATATGGCAGAAAGGAATCACATTGACTCTGTATTCAATTTGAGTGCTGATTTCCAATTTGCAGTGTGAACGTTGAAAACTACTCCTGAACTGTGGTAAATCAGCAAAGACCACACTGGCGTTCCGCCTTGGTACGTCCTCCTGACATGAAAGGCGCTATATAAATGTAATTTTGTTGTAAATGGTGTATCTGGTCTTTGGTATATCTAAAACTACTTGCAGATATTCTTACTTGAACACTACTTACTTGAATTGTTTACTAGTACATGTTGCTCAGATACAATAACATTTTAGATATACAGTATATCTACATGATGAAAGTCTTAACCAGTCCAGGCTGTTATTAAAATTCTGAATATTAGTTTCCCATCTTCACTACAGTCACTGAGTTTTCAATAACTTTTGACATATTTTGCTAGGGACATGTGTCAGCTTTGCTCAGTTTGATAGCATTCGCTTCTGGGTCAGAAGGTTGTGAGTTCGAGCCCCATGCAGCCTTTTGACCTACAACAAAAATAAATAATCCTTGCATTTGATACAGTGCCTTATGACATCTTCGAGATATCTGAAAGAGCTTCATAGAATATGCTGTAAAGTGAACTGATTGTATATTTTGTGGGAGAAACGCAGCAGCAAATTGCAAATTTTGCCTACAAAATACACACTTTATAATATATTCTGCGAAGCGCTTTGAGACATCTCAATGACGTGATAAGGCATTCTATCAAATGAAAAGATGATTATTATTATTATTGAGCTAGACACTTCAGTGCAGTGTTGGGAGCATTGCATACTTCAAGTGACATGAAACTGAGGTCCCGTCTACCTGTTCAGATGAATGTTAAAAATGTAATGACACTATTTGAAAGAGAAGCAAATTTAATCTGGCCAACAATCCTCCAGACAAATTGTTAATTCACTTGACTATGTGCAAAAAGGTTTTCCTGCGAATACACAGTCACTACCTTTCACACCAATTCCCTTTGGAGTTGTAGATGAGATATTTTCAGTTCACAACTGAAATTGTATCATGAAAATGGTTTGGGTTTATAATCTTTTCTGAATATAACAATCCATAAAGCTGATTCCCACTACCTGCGGGATACATTTACTTTTCAAGCTAATGTTACATACAAAATGACAAAGCAATCTATGTGGGAGAGAACCTGTGGAATCAAATATCTCAAAGAATTGGAGTGCTCCACTGACACAACTTTTCCAGGGCCAAATATAGAAAGATAACAGTGAGCTATAGACACCAATGAGAAATGCTGATCAGTAATAAAGGCATTGACCATACATTTCCTTCCTCCCAGTATAACTGAACTGAATTATCAAAATCCACTCTTACTGAAAGAGGCACCAGAAGGCAATATAAGCAAGTCACAGCAGCACAGTGTTAGTGGACCGTAGCAAACAACTGCTGTCTTTGTAGTGAGACAAGCCTGTCTGTGCAATGGGTTTCTTTCCAAACCAAACAAGCTGGGAACTGTCTGTGATTCTGGGAAGACTAGGCTCTCTGAAAGGGAGTTTTTAAAAAGGCTGGCTTGTACGTTACAGCTTTAACCCAATTAATGCACTGAGCAAAGACCTAACCTAAATTACTCTGCAGATGACAGACCTCGGAGACACAGGTTTGCTCTCTCTTGTCACTGGCACTGCCAAGCGGGTGTCTCTCGGTAAAGTGAGGTTTGTTCAGTGCCTGGTGTTGGGAAGAGCGCAGGATTGCTTCTGATAGTTTAACAATAACACCACCCCCTCCATTGCCTCGTAAGAGCTCTAAGCTACTACTCTGCATGAGGGGTGCTATATAAGTGCAAGTTGTTGTTGTAGTAAACTCTATGCCCAGGAAATGGGAACGGGAGCCATCCCAGGAGTTACAATGGGTGGGGCATTTGTAACGGGATTCCTTTATAAGGACTCACAGGTAGGAAGTGGGGTCTCCTTTCTGTAAACCGGAAACATGTCACACCAACCCACAACTCTGGAAACAAACTGTGTGGAAGTGGTAGTTCATGCAGATCAGTGTGGCCTGTTTCCAGTTAATAGGAAGGAGTCTCAATTTACCACTCAGTGCCCCTAATGGGCAAACTGCAGATCTTTAGACCACAATGTTACTGTTCCTCTCAAAGAGGCTTTTAATATTGCTGGTATTGTCATCAGGGAAAGGATATCACACCCAAAAGCTGTATGTAATGAAAGCTAAAAGAACATAAAAGCACTGATGCATTATAAAACATTTTCACAAGAAGCCAGCCTTGCGTTAAGGGCAGGCAAACGGGAACATGAGGATTGCTCTTAAAAGAGCCAGCAAAGACTATTGGCCGAATAACTTTCTTGTGAGCCATAAGTTTCTATAAGGAGGCAAATCTTACAGTAATATCTGAAATCTGGTTTCACTGTCAATCCAAAGCATTAATGAGGTTCAGACCTCTATTGTCTTAACCTTTCAATATAAAGCAACTGCTGTACTTGCACTTGCATAAAACCTTTCACATAGGATAATATTATAAATATTATAATGAATAATATAATAGCTCAATGTATTGCACAGTAAAAATATCTCACCTCTGGGTCATTGCCCACCTCTGTTACTAACTCTACCCTCGGGCTGCTGAGACCCTCATCTATTAATTTATCACATCCAGGCTGAACAATGGCAAAGCTCAATTTTCCATGAGTCTATCAACCCCTTCCTGGCTCAACTCTACTGCCTCCCCATCCCCCCAGCATATTTAAATTCAAGATCCTCTTTCTCACATTTTTAAATCCTTCCATGGGTCGCCTTACCTCTGCGAGTCACCTCCTCAAACCCTACCAACCCGGTCTCTCCCTTCACTCAGTGCAAACTGGCCAACTTCACATCTCCTGCCCTGTCTGTCAGATATTCTGCCTCTTTTTCTCTTGAATTCTATCCCAGAGTCACTCTGACTTGCTCCCTCCACCACCTCATTCAAGGCCTGTCTCAAAACATGCCTCTTTGTATGCACTTTCGGTCATCTTTCCCCACCCCCTCGGTTCCTACCACCAGCTTGGGTGCCTACATGGCATTGTCAAGTAATTTGCGATGCCCTCCTGATGTGAAAAATGTTACATAAATGTAAATTATACTGTAAGTCAATGGTAGAGGATGGGTGAGAATCATCAAGTAAGAGGGGAGGAGGGGTAGGTAGAAGATAGCTAACCAAAACCACAAAGAACAGGTTTCTAGGAAGATTTTGAGAACAGGAAGAGAGGGCACAATGCAAAGGAATTGGTAGAGATGCAGAGAGTCTGAGAGGGCATAAAGCGTAAAGAAAATTAAAAATGAAACAAGGAAAGAAAACAATGTATTTTTAGAGCTAATAGAGAACTCCCAGATCCACCCAAACAATGCTGTTTTACTTGCGTTGCTGCCTTTAAAAGGACTGATTGTGTCTATCTGCTTTCTCGCTAACATGGCAGGGTGCCCACCAGCCTGGCCTTCTAGTGTGGATGGAAGAACACTCCACTATATTAAGATTAATCTACAAAATACACAGTCAATCCACTCTACAATATATTCTGTCAAGCACTTTGAGACATCTCAACAACTTGATAAGGTGCTGTATCAAATGCAAGGATTATGATTCTTATAAATATATTTTTTTGAAAAATAATGCGAGTTGGAAACTTGCTAAAAAATGAATCCAGCTGTTGTAAAAGGTTAAGGGTTAGGTTAGCATTCCAGTGATTCCTTTCTCTGAGAGGCCGTACTTACGTCGCAGAGAATAAACAAGCAACGCATCAATATCATATTCTGGAGTCCTGTAGCTTAGTTCCTAGAGCACTCGCCTCGCAAGCGAGAGGACCTGGGTTTGATTCCCGGCAGGCCAAAATGCTAGGCAAGTTTCCTTACTCCATTCACCTCTGTTTTCTCAGCAGTAAGTAGGACCCGCTTATTGATCGATTGGCAGATTGGTTTTCCAGGGGTAATAATCCCTTCAAAACAAAAATAAACTTAAAATAATAATAATAATTTGGTCACTCAATCCATGACTGTTTGTGGGACACTGCTGTGCTCAATTGGCCTCCGTGTTTCACCCACAAAATATATAGTCAATTCACTTTACAGTATATTCTGTGAAGCGCTTTGAGACGTCTCAAAGCCATGATAAGGCGATATATTAAATGCAAGGATTATTATTATTATTATCCAGTTCTTGAAGGTTGACCATTTGAATGTTTAGTAAACAAGTCTACTTGAAGGATCTCAGTCAACAGTTTTCACACAGAAAATTAATTGAATCATGACATTACACAACAGAAGGCACAAGTTCTTAAGTCCTACCTGTAGAAATCGGGGAAGAAATGGGCTGTGATCAATACCCATGGCAATATGAATCAGTTCCAAAATTGATAACAATTGGCAGAGACCCATCACATCTCCAATAGAATGGTACGTATCCACCAACGAATCTCAAAGCAAGAAGAGGTTACAGATTGAGCTTAGCTTCAAGGTTTAACAACCAGATACTGTACACTGACAAACTCCAAATGGAAAGACATTCATTGATGAGTTATTTAAACACCAGGCAACTGAGTGCAGTGGAACAAGAGGGATGGTGGCTATTACAGTGCAGGCTATTACAGTCCTCTCACTTCTGGGACTTGCATTGCAATGCAGCATCAGTGCATAGTCAAGCCACATTATAATGTTTTTCACTGTAGCGCAAATTTGCTATAAGGCCGTCACTCTGTGGGCCCCATTCACTGTGTATGCACACACCCATTAGCTTCCCACATACCGGCCAACTTTTTGCACCAAAGTAGCAAATGGCTGATTATGTCATTAGGTTGCCATCTATTTATGTTATTTCCTGCTTAGCTTGTCATGAACAAAGCATGAAGGGATGTCAATGGCAAGCTAGTCATCTGGACATCGGACGGTTTTCATGTCCTGCGCTAAAACAATGGCTGACTTCTGGTTCATCCGGTCACTGACAATGCATGTCTAGGTAAGCAAGGTGTAGTTCTCTGGGACGAGTGCGCGTTCTATTCTGCACACGGGGAAATTTCCAGGCAAGGTGGAATAAACATGTGGAACTCCCAGTCTGATTAATAGCTCTTAAGCATGACAACGGGTTTCACACCTGTCAGATACCTGGCTGACCAAAACACACGGTAATTACAAAACAAAGAGGGAGAAACAGACGCAAGACAGTGAGGCAGAGTATTAGCGAGAGGGAGGCACACACACACACAGAAAGAGAGAGGTAGACACACACACATACATACATACACAAACTGACACATAAAAGCTTACATGCACACAGAGAGACCTTTTATCCACAATTTTTTATATTCATAATCAGGCTTTCTACTGTAAAATATAAAACCTCATCTTTGCATAGCTTTAAAATATCCTATTTTTAAGTATTCTATCAATGTGTGTAAATTTTTAATGTGCCCTTCTGAAAATAAAGGGTTTTATTTTCTCCTTCAGTGAACTTTATGTACATTGAGTTTAAATCCTGGCTAATTGTTTCCATTTAAGTACAGTTGAATCTCAATCTAGAAATGAATTTGTTTATTCAAAACCTGTCAGTGTGTATCTATAATGTCTCAGGCACTGCACTCTGTTTGCCAAATATTATGGAAAAAGCTTACAAGTTTAATCTGGACATTATATTTTGACGATGTTACCTTGGAGGGTTTAAGGATTTCTGTTCAAAGAGGTTATGAACCAACATGTGGATATCTGTGCTGAATTACACACCTGCACAGAACAAGCGCTTTGGAAAAAGGACAATATAGTCAACATGAAAACAATCTCGTACATTCTCATAAGCAGCATAAAGTGTTTACCTTCCCCAAATGTTAAAAATCGCACTGAGATATTCGAAAATATCCATGAAGATCCACAGAATTGCACCAGGTTATATGTAAAAAGATACCACGTCTTTATTCCATAACTGAAAAAAAGAAAAAAGAAAACTATTTTGCTTTATCAAACATTTAAAGTCTCCAGGGGACCCAGTGAATCTGCATTGGTACAGATGTGTTTGATCGCAGTCCATTAAGAAGCTTGGCAAGAATTAGCAAAATCCTCCCCCCAAAAATGGACATTCACTTCATGGCTGATTGTGGGCCATTTCTGTGTGCAAACTGGCTGCTGTATTTGCCCACAAATTCACAGTCACTGCGCTTCAAATCTTGTGAAACGCTTTGAGACATTTCAACTCGTCAAATGTGTTATGTCAAATGCAAGTATTATTATTATTGGTTAAAGGTCTCATCCAAAGGACAGCACATCCAACAAACCAAGTGTCAGCCCAGACATATGTAGGGCTTGAACCCATAGCCTTTTGACTCAGAGGCAAGAGTGCTGCCAACTAAGCCAGGCTGATACCTGTGCACAGTTACTAAATGACAAAACAGAGCTGATTTTCCTTTCCCCCTTCTAGGGCACAGAAGCCATTTGTAGCATTAATCGCGTGGCCTTGTGTGAGACTGGCCAACTGACTATACACCAGGGAATCTGTCAATCTGCATCACTCAGCTATTCACTGAAAAAACTCTCTGAGCCTTCGGGGAGCAGGTCCAGGCGTATGTAAACTTTTGCCACATCACCATCGGGACAATACACAGACTCGATAAAATCTATTTTTACAGGCCAGAGATGCCAATTTAAGAAACGCACATCGCAGTTCAGCATGCACATTGATATACCAACCCACAGGGTTATAGACAAAGCAGCTTGTGTGCAACACTACCAAAGCCCAACACTGCAACCTCCTCATAACTAGCTGCGTCATTGAGGGAAGTGCTGCACTTAGGATAGTGGTTCCCACAGGAAGAGAACAAGAGCGAAAAGCACCCAGCAAGTCACTCTCTGGTATCTCCCGGCTTTTGCTTGCAGAACAGTGCAGACAGATATCGAAGAGTGGGTCAGCTTCCTGGCCTTTTACCTGGGGAAAATAAGGCAAACTGAAGGGGGTAAAAGAACAGAAAGACAGGGGAACAAACAATCATTCAGTTCACACTTTCATGTCAAGCCTCAAAGCCCTTGCCCACTAACACAGCAAAGATGATCTTTGGATTGCAGAACTGCAGGGCACCTCATGCAAATAGTAAAGTTCCCTGGCCAACACTTGCTGAGTTCAGACAGGGCAGCAATGGGAGAGCTGTTGTTGATGCTGGTAATCCCACGCCGAGATCACAAAGGTCCTTAATAATAATAATAATCCTTGCATTTGATATAGCGCTTTTCACGTCGGGAGGACGTCCCAAAGCGCTTCACAGAACACACTGTAAAGTGAATTGACTATATTTGTGGGCGAACGCGGCAGTCAATTGCGCACAGCAATGTCCCACAAACAGTCGTAGATTGAAAATGACCAATTTATTATTGTTTTTGGTTTTGGAGGGATTATTATTAGGCTCTGTGTGGAGTAAGGAAACTTGCCCAAGGTTTCGCCCTCTGCCTGGAATTGAACTCAGGTCTCTCACTTGCAAAGCGAGTGCTCTAACCACTGAGCTACAGGACTCCACGGCCCCTTGGCCCATTTGATTTCATTCTTCCCAAATATCAACCCTATTAGTTCCCGCATTACAGCATTGAGCTGCCTTCATGATCTCAGCATACCCAGCCTCAACTACCCGCCCCGGCTACTTGTCGAATGAATTACTCTCTGTGTGAAGAAATGCCTCTTGGTGTGTCTCGGTACCTTGCCATCCGCAACTCTAAATCTGCGCTCTCTTGATGTTGTAAATATATATCTCTGGGTGCTCTCAAATGTTACTGTGTTTCCCATGAGCAAGTCTACTTCAAGTGGAGCAGTAAACCTGGCCAGTCACATCAGTGCAACCCACAGCAGTGATGGCTGGTTTCAGCAGCTTACAGCCTTGAGGATTCAGATACCAAACAGAAACAACACCCGACCTTTGCTCTGACACTCACGATCTTGTGGGAAGCCCTGTTGCTTCGCTCAAAACATCCCCTCTGTCTCCGTGTCTGTCTGCAACAAGCGGAGGCTGCAATCTCCACCGCCCCCCAAAAACAAACAGCAACAACTGGGGTGTAGGGAGCAATCCCCCCCAATCTGAGGATCAGCAGCCTGTTTCTCTGGGTGAGGGAGGGGAGGAGGGGGGTGGCCTTGGGGCAGGGATCAGAGGTCGCTCGTTGCTTACCTTGTGGGAGCTGATGTCCTCGCTGGTGACTGCAGCTCAGGCATCGTGACTGAGCACACACTGACCACTCACACTCACTCACTGTGTGACTGAGCACACACTGACCACTCACACTCACTCACTGTGTGACTGAGCACACACTGACCACTCACACACTCACTCACAGTGTGACTGAGCACACACTGACCACTCACACTCACTCACTGTGTGACTGAGCACACACTGACCACTCACACTCACTCACTGTGTGACTGTGCACACACTGACCACTCACACTCACTCACTGTGTGACTGAGCACACACTGACCACTCACACTCACTCACTGTGTGACTGAGCACACACTGACCACTCACACTCACTCACTGTGTGACTGAGCACACACTGACCACTCACACTCACTCACTGTGTGACTGAGCACACACTGACCACTCACACTCACTCACTGTGTGACTGAGCACACACTGACCACTCACACTCACTCACTGTGTGACTGAGCACACACTGACCACTCACACTCACTCACTGTGTGACTGAGCACACACTGACCACTCACACTCACTCACTGTGTGACTGAGCACACACTGACCACTCACACTCACTCACTGTGTGACTGAGCATACACTGACCACTCACACTCACTCACTGTGTGACTGAGCACACACTGACCACTCACACTCACTCACTGTGTGACTGAGCACACACTGACCACTCACACACTCACTCACTGTGTGACTGAGCACACACTGACCACTCACACTCACTCACTGTGTGACTGAGCGCACACTGACCACTCACACTCACTCACCGTGTGACTGTGCACACACTGACCACTCACACTCACTCACCGTGTGACTGAGCACACACTGACCACTCACACTCACTCACTGTGTGACTGAGCATACACTGACCACTCACACTCACTCACTGTGTGACTGAGCACACACTGACCACTCACACTCACTCACTGTGTGACTGAGCACACACTGACCACTCACACACTCACTCACTGTGTGACTGAGCACACACTGACCACTCACACTCACTCACCGTGTGACTGAGCACACACTGACCACTCACACTCACTCACCGTGTGACTGAGCACACACTGACCACTCACACTCACTCACCGTGTGACTGAGCACACACTGACCACTCACACTCACTCACTGTGTGACTGAGCACACACTGACCACTCACACTCACTCACTGTGTGACTGAGCACACACTGACCACTCACACTCACTCACTGTGTGACTGAGCACACACTGACCACTCACACTCACTCACTGTGTGACTGAGCACACACTGACCACTCACACTCACTCACTGTGTGACTGAGCACACACTGACCACTCACACTCACTCACTGTGTGACTGAGCACACACTGACCACTCACACTCACTCACTGTGTGACTGAGCACACACTGACCACTCACACTCACTCACTGTGTGACTGAGCACACACTGACCACTCACACTCACTCACTGTGTGACTGAGCACACACTGACCACTCACACTCACTCACTGTGTGACTGAGTCTGATCACCACTCACACACTCACTGACGATCCACTGTGAGGAAGTTCAGGCAGTTGCAAAACAATCTTACGTCAGGACTCCTCAACCCCCTCTCTTTCTCCCAGCTACGGAAGTTCCCTTTTGTTCCAGACAGATGGCTTTTTCTTTCCTGGAGGAATGCCTGCGATTTGCTTAAAGCAGGTCAGGAAACAGAAGGAAAGCTCACATGAAAATTCTGCACTTAACGCCGTAAAAGCATTCTCGATCTTAATTCTGGGGAATTAACTTGACTTCTCACCATCCACAAACTCCAGCTTTTTTAGACTCCAAATGTTTCTGCCTCCAGTCCCAGCCAGGCTCCACTGTCTCCCAACAACAACAACAACAGCAACAAAATTACATTTGTATAGCGCCTTTCGCGTCAGGAGGACGTCCGAAGGCGGTGGACAGTCAGGGAGCTACACCCGCTTCCAAAGGTTCAATTTAAAGGTAGTCCTCACCTCACCTATAAACACTTTAATGCCCTAGTACCTCCATATCTCTGTAATCATCTTCTAATCCACTCTTCTGTCTGGCTACGTCGGACCGGCTGGGTATCCCTCAGCCCCTCCACACCACCATTAAATGGCCAAGCCTTCAGCCCCTAACATTTGGAACTCCTTCCTTCTATCCCTCTGCATTGCTCCCTCTCTATCTATCTATAAACCCCATCCCAAAACCTACCTCTTCAACTGTGCCAAAGATCACCTGCTTCTCTCTTGGTCCGTTTCCAACTTTATCTCTGTGAAGCTCTGAGATATTACCCTATGAGCAGGGCAGTATAAAAATGCAAGTTGTTGCCCTCTTGTTCTGTTGCTCAGTTCATTCTGAATGTATTGTTCTAGATGGACTTGCTTGATCACAATCAAAAATTTATACAGTAAAACTCACATAAGTCTGATCTGAATAAATCGTATAATCACCTAAGTCAAACATCTGCCATTCAAGAGTTTATATTCTATGCAAGTTTTACATAACTCATACTTTGCATAAGTCCAATTAAATGGTCCCAAATGATACGACCTATGTGGGGTGTATTGCTACTGTACAACTCTCTGAGAGATCTCCTTTCAAGACTGAAGAACCCTAGCCTATTTAATTATTACTCAGTCATACCTTATTTTCTAAACAGTGGGGATCATCTTCATTGCTGTTCCCTGCACTGCCTCTAAGAGGACCTGTGCAGCTCCAGAACTGTATGCAGTATTCTTGGTGTAGCCTGACAGAACAGCATGAGATAACTTCTGGGGACCTGAACTAAACTGGTTTGGCAATACAGAGTCCCGTTTGCCTTATGTAGCACAGGTACATGCCTAAGTGCAGTAAATTAAACAAGCTTGTAGGGAAAAAAAGGAGAGGGTGATCATCGAACTGAATACAACACAAGACATTAGCCTAGTTCTCATCCTGTCCATTGGGAAAGGTGTGTCAAACAAAGAAATGTAGACGAGTAAATTAAACAGGAAACAGAAAGCAGCTATTAGACGTAATGGTTATTTGCTCTTGTGCTTTGAAACTAATGTGCAGGCAAAATCATGGATAATAAAGGTTACATGTCAATAAGTTATGATCGCATTGTACACACATAAGTGCACACATACTGATTAGTATGTGTATTAAAACCTTTTACAAACTTTAATGAGCAAAATCTATGTATTTATAAATGAAAAAAACACTTTAACACATACACCAATGAAACAATTAGGTGTAACTTTATACATTTAGACTGTCACTGATTTGGTATGTAACCCCAAGATGAATCACACATGTAAATGTATCTAAACTGTAACCAGCAAGGCAATTGTGAGGAAATCATTCACAAGCTCAGCATGTGTTTAATGATAATCACAGCTATAACCATACCCAGCTTCAAGGTGGCACTGTGGGTATTACAATATACAGGTCTGCCATTTTTCGATAGTTAGGGACCCAGATTTGGGTTGGGGAAGGATCCTTTCGAGGCAACCTATGTTCCCAGTTGTGGAATGTGATTAGGTTTAATTCATCTTGGTGGGGGTGAATGGGGAAAACACCCCTCATCAAAAACATTTTTTACAATACAAATCTACATTTATATAGCTCACGTACAGGCTGACCACCCGACCCACTTGTGAGAGCCAGGAGGAGGTGGAAGGTTGACTGAAAGCACGGTCAAAGATGTAGCGACCGCCAAGAAGGTGGAAGGCAAACTAGATGGACCTTGGTCTTTTTATGTCTAGCATTTCTTATGTTCTTATGTCTTTGAATGAGATGGGGGAGGGAGTCAGAGGGATTCCTTTCAATTCAATCAAAGATTTGGTTTTAGCAGTGTCATTCTTATTTTAAAATGGACAATTATTTAGAAAAGTAAAAATCAATCGAGGGGTATGAAAGATGGAGTGCAGAATATCATTTTGTTTTCACGTTAGTCAGAAGGTCCTCTCCAGTCTTATATATGTACATTTCCTGGTTAGATTGTGCCATTCCATTAACTCCTCATATGATGCCAGTTACTTTTTTTGTATGTTTCAGATTTTGGTGTGGTTTTTACAGAAAGGCGTCGGTGACAACATCAGGACAGTTGTTCTAAATGGATTGACTGCTGCCCAGGTACAAATGCCACTCTATATATTATTAGTTTATACTACACAGAAATGTATCTCTCTATTGCCCTCCCCTATTAGCAGCACTGCAAATAATGCTCCCATCAACGTGACACAAAGACAGTAACACGAGCAGTAGTCTAACACAGCTGTTAATTCAGTGCTAATTCTATTTCACTGAAAAGGTGAAGTGCAGAACACAACAACCAGAATGTGGAAGAGATGTCCCCATGAAGTTCCCTAACCCATAATTTTAACTTGTTTTCAATGGCTTGGGACGTCCTTCCAATGTGAAAAGAGCTTATATAAATGTAATCTTGTGTTTTCTATCAGAAGCTGATTGCCCTGTTACGTTTTTGCAGCTATTGACTTTCCAGCATTCGACGACAAAATGCATTTACATTTACAAAGTGCTCAGAGACGCTGCCCGCGTGAAGGGGGCTATATAAGTGCAAATTGCCACATCATGTAGGAGAACGCAACGTAATGCATCTTACATGGATGGTGCGTGCGTATCATCGAGCACGTTAGGAGTTGGTTCGGGTATAAGGATTGAAGACAGGTAGGATTTTAGAAAAAAAATTTAAGTCAGCGAGCTATCAAAGAAGGTCTAGAGTTGAGATGAATGACCTGATAGAAGTGTAAAAGATTATGAAAGGATTCGATGAGGTGGATGTTTATAATCTGTTTCCACTTGTTGATGAGTCCAAACTAAAGGACATAAATATAAGTAGTGGACAGTCAGGGATAAATAATCAGTAGTGTACCTAATCAGGAATTTAAGAGCAAGTTCATTCTCAGAGCGCGGTGAGAATGTGGAACTCACCATCAGAAAGTACGGTTGACACAAAAAGCATCAATCTGTTTGAGAGGAAATGGGGGAGAAGGGAATAGAGGTGAATAGGAGAGAAGGATAGGTAGGGGTGATGCGT